GGACTCCCAAACGAGGCTTGAACCAATTGAGGTATTAACTTCCCACGCTGGCAGCTTAAACGAGGCTTGCACCAGTGCCAGCAGTCAAGACATAAATAGTGCTATGGCTAACTGTCGAGCTCCTTGAACAGTCTCACTGTCCTTTTGAAATATTTCATGGAAATATTCGGTCTCTGTATCCTGTGGTATTCCTGGTTGAAAATGTTTACCCCGTACAGAGTCCGTAGAGATATTTTCTCATTTGCCTTACTCAGATTCAGGGGCTGAAGGATGCGGCTACATCCAGGGTCATAGCCCTGTTCAAAATACCAGCGAAGGATAAAAAAAAAGCAAGCATAAAAATAGAAATACGCAGTGCAGAACAACACTGCCAGCTGCGCCCTGGGGACAGAAACCTGTACCGTGTGGTAATACAGAAACAACCATCTCTTGGTGGTAGGTAGAGCGAGCCAATTGGATGGTTACCGAACCGATACACCACCTCTGTTTAGCGAGAGCTATCAGCCTCTTTTTCCCCCATGCTTCCCTGCGACGCCTCAGCCGCAACAACATGAGCATGACACGATAGAAAAAGGCGAGCTTTCTTTCATGTCTTTCAAGTCGCTCGAGTGCAAGACCACGTTGTTGCCATGCTACCCGTCGCCATGCAGTGCCATGTCTTCCCATCGTTCAGGGACAAGGACGATCTTCAGGTGTCAAAGAAAAGGAGGGTATGCTTTGCTTCAAACTGTGAGGTTATTTTTAGCTCTGCCCGCCCGCTTGCATCTTGACATATCGGATGCCTTTGCTTTGCCACTGCATGGCCTTAATTTTAGCCCATGGGGTCGCCTGTCAAGACTTTTGCCGGCCTGGGGTTTCTCGTGGGTTCTTGATGCTCAGTTAGCCTTGATCTCTTGGGTCTTGTCTTATCTTATTATCTCTTCTCAGCTCATTATCAACACCCATCTATCACCCCCGTTTATTGTCCACTTCATCATCTTCGTCCTCTTTATCTTCTTTCATGGTGATGTTATACTAATGTTACGTCGACGTTGACGTTGAAGTTGAAGTTGACGCCTTTCGCTCTTCCTCCTTTTACCGCTTTGGGACTACCACGTGATTATCACCTGATGTCTTACTCATCCCTTAGTCATGTTCGGGTGAAATCGGTTCTTACTCACGTGCTCTCACGTGCCACGGGAACTTGCGGGTACGGGGAACCTCGGGCCGGCGGAGACTCTTCCTCCGGACAGAACCCGTGACCTCGTCGGCTATCTTACCTAAGCAGCAGAAAAGATACCTCGGAATACTTCCTCTGCCACTGCAAAATACCGAGATAGAGAAGTATCGCAAAGTACCGCCGGCGATGACGAGAGAGGGGGACCTGGCTCGTCTTTGCTTTTTGCTGGCTGCGGGAAACTTCCTCGTGCGTCTTTTCCGCTTGAGTTGAGTTGAGACCTTTTTTTCCCTCTCTTCTCCTCAAAAAGGTTGTCCTTTGCCGTGGTTCTATTTCGGCTGCGTTTATGGCTTCACGTTTGCCTTTCTTGGAACTGGCTGGCTAACGAGCTCAATTGGCGCGAGCACCCGCGGTGGTGCAGAGCGAAGAAGAAGAGGAAGAGGCAGAAGAAGAAGAAGAAGAAGATAGAAGTAGAAGAGTAGGGACCCGGGGAAGAGAAAGAGACACCCACTCAGCGGCAAACTTACGACTGGTCGACCTCGGCAGCTCTCCATGCTCTCGTGACGCCGGCTAGAGTCATAGTCGTACGATATAAGGGATTTCTGCGGTTGCAAGAGAACGTCTTGAGATACAAATACACAGATAGGATATACAGCTAGTCACACTGGACGCTGGGAGGTTACTGAGGACACCGTGAGATAGAGGGCAGCCAAGGTAGCCATGGCGTGGAGGGCTTCTGAGCGTCTCATGGAGACCATCCGGCATTATGCCTCGTTCCCGGCAACAGGTGTGTCGCTGCGCCAGATGGTGCAGTTTGGCGACAAGCCGTCGACAGGTATGTCTAAACATCTTATCGTCTTGTCTGCGGCGTTTGGTACTGACTCATTCCTTTCTAGGAACGCTTTTCCGGGCGTCTCAATTCCTGTCGGAGGAGCTCCCCATCCGTCTGGCTCACAGGGTACGGGAGCTGGGAGATCTACCGGATGGGTTGAACGAGATGCCGTCTATCAAGAAAGTACAGGAGTGGTACGCTCAGTCATTCGAGGTATGTCTACATAGCTACTGACTCACCATACATTACCTGTCAGTCTGACTACCTAAGAAAATGGCTTGTTAACATACGCATAGGAGATCACGAAGCTGGAACGGCCAAAGCTGACAGAGGAAGTACGGTCACGATTGCTCAATTCTAGCAGGATGAACGGCCGCGAGCCACGGATGCTGGAGCAGGCGACTCCCAACCCCAGCATAAAGCAGGGCCAGTACCGGTCCTCGCCAACGACATCCATCCTCAACAGCATCTACAGCAACGGTAACTCCAGCGTAATCGGCAACAATGGCAGTACGACGACAACAACGACGGCAACTAACGGCGCGAAACACCGGGTGGCAGGGACTCGCCGGTACTTTGTTGCTGCGGACGACGGCGCCGATTGGCCGCCAGAACTGATCGACTACAACGCTCGTTTGGCGTCGACCCTGGACACGATCAAGCGACGACACGACAGCGTCGTGACGACGGTGGCGCAGGGCGTGCTGGAGTGGAAGCGCAAGAAGCAGCGGCTGCAGATCGACTCGGGCATACAGGCGTTCCTGGACCGGTTCTACATGTCTCGTATTGGCATCCGTATGCTTATCGGCCAGCACATCGCTCTCACCAACCAGCACCACACGTACCATCCAAACTACGTCGGAATCATCTGCACAAAGACAAACGTCCGTCAGTTGGCGCAGGAAGCCATTGATAACGCTCGCTTTGTCTGCGAAGACCACTACGGGCTCTTTGAAGCCCCCAAGGTCCAGCTCGTTTGCCGCGATGATCTCGACTTCATGTATGTACCGGGCCACTTGTCACACATGCTCTTTGAGACAATCAAAAACTCGCTGCGTGCGGTGGTAGAGACCCATGGGCCGGAGAACGATTCGTTCCCTGTAACCAAAGTCATTGTCGCAGAGGGAAAGGAGGACATCACCATCAAGATCTCGGATGAAGGCGGTGGTATTCCTCGATCAGCCATTCCACTCGTATGGACGTACATGTACACCACAGTTGACCAGACGCCCAACCTCGACCCAGACTTTAACAAAAGCGACTTCAAGGCTCCCATGGCTGGATTTGGATACGGTCTGCCCATCAGCCGTTTGTACGCCCGGTACTTTGGCGGAGATCTCAAACTCATCAGCATGGAAGGGTGAGTCCTTTTTTCTTCTTCTTCTTCCTACTCAAATCAATATTAGACCTCGACTAACAGATATAGATACGGAACGGACGTCTACCTCCTTCTCAACCGCCTCTCGTCCAGCTCTGAGCCTCTTCAGTGACAACTACCAGTCATGAGGAATGGGCGCCCCTTAGTCCAAACAGCCCGACATTTCACTCCAGCCACGCTTGCACCTACTCTCCCAAGCCCATCCTCAATGACGCCAACTACTGAATCAGCGATCCCGCCGCCCCCAACCACACCCGAACTATTCCCATTCCTATATAAATCCTCTTCTCGCCCAGCAGCCAAGGAAGCAGGACCCTCCTGGCTAGCGATACCGGCCTCGAACAAGGAGCCGAAGCTGAATCTATACCAGCGTCTGGCTGGCGTGACGGGCTTGACGGCCATGAATTCATCCGTGATTCGATCGCGGGTGAAACGCAGAGAAGTCTCGGAGAGAAAGCAAGTTGGTGATGCCGAGATATTGGTCAACCCCGAGAGAGCAGGCTTATAGGCCTGCCTATCTCTTAGATTCTTTTCTTCCATTTTTTTTTCTTCTTTCTTTTTTCTCTCCTTGGTTCGTTTCATTAGTTACTTATGCATATGCACATATCCACTACCACCGTCTACATCCTTGACTTGAACAAGGACGGATGAGACAGACGGGTGGCACATTAGGTGGAAGTCACCTACCATGCAACCAGGGACGGTACGGTGAATACAACAACCCACCATCTACCAGGCTATCTTACTGCATTTACCGCGGAGCTGGAGCAGAGAGGAGCAAACAGGCAGGTTAAAAAAAATCTGATGTCTTGGGGGGAGGGAGTTTATTGAGACGATATCACAACGCACAACTAACATGTCAGCGTAACACGAACCACATACAACCACATAAACGTCTTGGTTAGGTCTGTCTTCCTTATTAGTTAACTTAAGAAATACAAGCGCTTAAAACACTTCATCTTCATGCTCTTCCCTTCCCCTTCCTAGAAGAACCTGAACTCGACACAGCACCACTACCCGCACCTGCACCACCACCACCACCACCACCAGCAATATTCCCAACGCCAACTCCAACGCCAACACCGGTGTTGTGTGGGATATATTCATTTCTCCACCCACCATTAACCTCCACGATATCAACGATCGGCGTATCCGTTCTGGCCGCATCAATGGTGCCAGTCGACGACCGCCCGTCATCCATCCACCTCCGTCCCGGCATAGACTTGGGCATCATCCCCGTAAGACTAGCGCCTACAGCATCGGACTTGTGAGCCTGTAGAAGCCTGCCTGCTTCAATGTCATGTACCACGTATTTGCGTAGAGGCGGTTTATCAGCTGGCCTGCGAGCAAGGGAGTGAATGAATCGTTGTCTTGTTTGGGGAATTGACTAGACACTTGTTAGCGGACGTAGCTAAACACAAACACATATCAAGCCGTAGCTACTCCTGTAGTTGTGTGTATGTGTATGTGTATGCACATATAGCGCCAGGCCGTACCTCATTGTTAGAAACGGCGTGGAACATGAGCATTTCCAAATCATCCAGCACACCTAGCGCTGCGTGCCGCCGTTCTCGAGACTCGGTTGGTTCATGTAGTTCTTCTGCATAGACGAATTTCGGATGCAGGTCTTGAGTGCGGTATGGTTGGCCGGGCGCTGTACGAGTCAGCATGCTCTTCTATCCATGTATCCATGTATCCCTTCATCAGCTGCTGGTGGGCGGTTGGTAGACGTACCTGGGGCGCGAGGGGCGATTTCGTATGCTTCCTCCTCGACGGTGGGCGGGTGAGTTGGAGACGTAGGGCTGTCGAGCTCCATTGTGCAGTCTCTCTATATATATCGTCTCTATGTCTGTCTATGTCTGTCTATGGGTATTATATGGGTATGGGTATGGGTATCAAGCTGGCTTTGTTGTTGTCTGTCGTTGTCGATCTATGTAGATATCACAATCACAATCACAATCACGAAGTCGAGATCTTACATAAGCAGCAGCCACTCTCGCGTCTATCGAGTCTAAGTCAAAGAGAACAAGTCCACGCATGCATGGGTAGAATTAACCGATTAATTAATGTACATAAAAGAAAGCAAAAAAGACAATCAACCGAGCACGCATCTATCCCTCTCTCTCTTCCCTCTTGGATCTAGAAGTAAGAAGCAAGGAAAACACAGTACTCGTTTCATCCAAGCAACCAGTTTGCCTGGTGGATGAAGCGAAGAAGCAAGTAAGGAAATGAAGTAAAGTAACAAACAGCAAACCCATTCTATCCCTCCGCATAACAGCATACATGGCAAGTAAGGCAGTAAAGTAAGTAAGTAGGTAACGTAAATAAAGACAAGGTAGATAAACTAGGAACGGGAAGACGGGGTAACTAGGGGAATGGGTAAGTGTAGTTGGAAGAGAACCGATTAAAACGCCTGGAACTCCTTGAACCCACTGGACGGATAGACGGTCGGGGTCAGGGCGTGACGGTCTATCTGTTCGGTCGTGGGTTTCGTTTGATGCCGCTAAGTGTGGATGGACGAGCTGCTTGTCTTATCTTGACGAGAGACAAGACGAGACATAACTATCACTGACATTTTTCTGTGCTTTTGGTTTCTTTTTTTGGTCGGCTTATTTATGATATTGTTCGTTCTTTTTTTTTTCATGTTTTCGTCTCATTTTTTGTTATAGTTGTTGTTTGTCATGGTTATAGTTGTGGCGGTTGTGGTTGTGGTGGTGGTAGTGCGTGTTTCTCGGTTGTTAGACCCGACTCGATTCGAGCTGGCTTGATCTGGCACGGCATGACATGGCATGGCGGCATGTAGCGTGGTGGTAACTATGTGGTGTGGGTGTGATGTGTCTTAAGCCGGGCCAGGTCTGAGGCAGCCCCAGTTGAGCGATGGATGGTTGGATGTTGGAGCAAGAAGCAACCGCAAGACAAGGGTCGAGTCATCCAACGCCAGACATGGCATGTTTACTTGCCAGGGCGAAGTAGGTACCTTGCCGGGGTCATCCATCGTCGAGGGCTGCGCTGGTGGGCTCGAGCGAGCGAACCAACACGCCCGAGAGAACGGCGCAAGCCAGCAACGGGTTCAGCCACATCCATGCACAAAGCTGTTCTTCGGCCAAGAATAGTCCGTATCCGCCCTGTAGGAACAGTCCCACGGTTAGCAAGGCTTGCTCTCTAAATTTCTAGCTTGCTTGGCGTGTCGCAAGTTCGGGTTCGGGGATTGAAGGGCGGGTTGGAGGGAGGAGGAGCAGGCAAAAAAGGCTAAAGGCAGGGCGCGGAGATGGGGGGAGGATTCGGGGATACGAGGAGGCTCTTATTTGGGTACGAGGGATGTATATAACACCCGCCCACCGCCGTGCATACATAAAAATAAAAGGACGAGGGATGGGGGGAAGAAAGAAATGGGAAAAAAACATACCATAATGTCAGGTTGGGATTGTGGTAGACGTCCTTGTGTTTCTTGATATAATCCGTGGTCTCCATACCGGGAGGATCACAGGTGACGCTCTTCTTGCCCTTCTCTTGATAGATGCGGATATAATCTATCCTCATCGTTGCCGGAAACAGCGGCGCCAGACCCGTCAGGTTCAACGCAGCGAAACTGTTCGACATGCCCAAGTTTGCAATCAGGGCCATGGGCTCGCGTGGGATGATACGCTGACCTACGTTGCCATTGGGGCCGAGAGCGCGGGCGTCGAGTTTCCAGGACTTCTCCTTGCCTACGTACCAGGTGATTTCGCCCTTGTCGCCGGGGATGTAGTCGAAGGCGTAGACCTGGTATTCTTTGCCATCGTACCACCTGTTGTTGAGGTTGGTGACGCCGGAGATGGCCTGTTGGAAGACACCTCCTCGGTAGGCGTTCATGATGGTGATTTCAGGGTCGTATAGTTCGGTGAATTCTACACACATCTATCGTTAACTCTGGGGATGACTCGCTAATCGAAATCGAAATACAGAGAGAAGAGAGGCTTACCGTAGTCTGGCATGTACCAAACGTCAAAGGGAGCGACTTGACAACTCTGGGAGACGTCTCCGATGACGTTGATGGGCTTCTTGTCGCCATGGAGGGCGTGCACACTGGCTTCGATCACGTCTATCTCGGGAGAGGTACGTGACTTGCCTGGCGTGGGATGGTCTGCACCGTCACAGGTACAGGCAGGTAGCTTCATACCCGGCAAGAAACTCAGGCCACCGGGTCACTCTGGTTGGCGGTGATACCAGCATCACACTCGTCGTGGTAGCTGTAGGGCCACATGCCGTCTGTGGTTGCAGGATATCCGGGCCTGCCGAGGTTGCCCATGGCCCAGAAACCAGGCCAGAGACCCGAGACGTCGCCTCGCCCGGGCAGGGAGATGCTGGCCTCGAGTCTGCCGCCGGTGAAGCACATCTGGTTCCAGGACTGGACCATGCCGGAGCGGTAGTTGAGGTAGTGGTTCTGGAAGGCGTCGAAGCGGAGTTCCAGCTTGCCGTTTTTCGTCGTTACGGCGTCGGGATCGTACCACTGCGTTTCTGTTAGTTCCAAGCTGCCGTTATTCAGCGGGGGAGTGGACGTTGAAAAACGGTGCGTACCTCGAGATCCTGCGTGACACCGTACCAGATGTCGACGGCCTGCAGGTACGGGTCGTCTTCCTGGAAGAACGTCCGTCCATCCAAATTGAACTCATCCGAGAACTACTCAATTAGCATGTCACACGTATGTACATGTATACAGGAGGGATGGAGAGGTAGAGACGCACCACGAGCTCGAGGTCGTTTCCGTTGGCTCCCTTCTTGGTCATGGCGGACTTGGGCGTGTCTGGATCGATGAGACTGGTCCGTATGTTCTTGAGCAGGGGTATATCCACGTCGATACACATGGGATCACCAGCACATCCTCCCTTGAGGGTGGTCAATCCTTGGATATACGATCTAAGAAGTCAGGAAGTCAGCCAGAAGAACCACGCAGAAATGAAGAAGAAGAAGTCAACATACATGACAGGATAGCCGATGAAGAGAGTCAAGACACCGCCGATCAGCAGTATCAGGGCCCCGATGTTGGTGATGCCACGCTTATGCCAGATATCACACTTCCGTTCCTTTTCGTTAGGATCCGGGTTATGCAGCTCGTCGTCCTTCTCGACATCATGCGGATACACGATCAGGTCTCCGTCGGGGAAGATGGCAAACTTCTCCGTCACCGTCTGCGTGGTGATGCCGCCCTCGTCGTCGCTGCTGCCCGCTCGCGAGGGGACACGCGAGTCGTCAAAGGGAGAAGAGTAGGTGTACCCTCCGTACCCGTAGCTGGCATGGCGACTGGCCGCGTCCGAACTCCAGCTGGTGCGCCGCGAGGAGAAGCTGGAGTAGTCTGCGCCGCCGCCGCCTGCGCCCGCTGCACCGGAGTATCGATAGGGCGACTGGGTATTGCTGTTGCTGTGGGAAGGGTAAGGGAAGCCGCTCTGGGAGTCGTCTACGTATGCTCGCGAGCGGCCTGGCACGGCGAGGCGTTCTGTGGACTCGTTGCGGGAGAGCGAGTCTGGGGGCACTGGCGAGGGCGAGAAGGTGCGCTGCTGGGGCGAGATGAGGGCTCGCGGCGTGATGGGCGACGGGCCAGCGATGGTGCTGGCTGAGGAGATGTTGTTGCTGGAGTCTGCGAAGGGGTTGCTGGGTTCTCGCTGGACCTGGGAGTTGATCTGGAGCGTGGGAGTCTTGCGGAGGCGGTTTGACGGCTGCCCGCTGCCATTGCCGGGCCCGAGGGGGTCCATGGTGCGTCTCCTATATCACAGTCATCTGTTGGGCGTTGTTGATGGAAGATGCAGCGGCTGTGTGGTTGAGGTTGAAGGTGAGGTCGGGGTGTTGGTGTTGATGTTGATGTTGATGTGCGATGGCGACGGCGATGCTGACGTAGACAAAGAGGCGGTGGTTGGATAAGCAGTCAGACGCAACTCGGTATAGCCAACTAGTCTTTATTATTATTATTATTAAGGAGTACGCAGTATCGGTGAAGTTGGTGATGATGAAGATGAAGATGAAGCTGGTGAAGTAGAGAAAAAGCGAGCCTGAGGCCAGACAGAAAAGTTGCAGGGAAGAAAAAGTCGAGGCGAAGCTAAGCAAGACAAAACACTCGACGGACTCAAGCACCAAGAGAAAGACAAGACGACAAGCCGACAGCAAGATACAAGATGAAGACAGCGAAGACAAGAGAAGAGAGAGATAGATCCACCGCGGGTTCCTGAAACCCTTCGTCAACCTGTCTTACTCCTATCTGTCCTGCGCATCTTCGACCAGCAAAACCTCCCCCTTCATGACGTCGCCACCAGGTCCCAGGCCTTGCGCAAGCCTCTGCTCCATCTCCATCTGCATCTCCTCCCTCTCCCCTGGGTGGCCAGACGAAAGGCAAGGGAAATTAAGTGATACATCCCAGTCCCGTCCTTAGTCAACCCGTCCGCCGTCCAAGGCAGGCCTTGTCTGGTCGTCCTCTGCTCATCTGGCCGCTCTGCCTGCCGCCCATCCGCCGATCATCCAGCGCCCCAGCCAGCCAACCGTCCGCCCCTTTTATCGTAAGAGATTTCAAGCCAAGACGATCCTCATCTCCAGTCCAGCCCGGTTAGAGTCACTTTGTGTCGTTGCAGTAGTACGCACTTAGCAGAAATTAAGTACTGGTTAGCTCTCTAGGTCTCGATGGCCCTCGCCTTCAGACCGAGCAGGCGGCCCTCGTCTACCGCCAGCAGCCAGTATTCCACTCTCGCGTGGTCGTGCTGCACTCTGTAGACCTGGATGCTGCCGTCTGAGGAAGAAGACTCCATGACGCGTTCGATGACCTCTTTGTACTTGCCCCGAGGGTCGAACTGGGTGGGCGAGAGTATAGACACCTCTAGGGCATCATGCTTGTTGCTGTAGGCGAGCTGCTTGAACTCATCTAGACATCACCGTAAGATAGGCATTAATACATGTGGAAGTAGAAGAGAGAAACTGACCTGCGGATGGGAAGTGGTCGGCGTGGAGGACGACGGGCTCAAAGGGCATGTCGGTCTCGGAGGCGTAGGTGGCTTTGGTGTGCAGAGACGGCGGGATCTGCTGCTCGTCGACATCGAGTCTCTTGCTCGAGATGAAGCCAGAGTCTTCTCCTTCTTGTCCTTCTGGTTGCTTGTTGCTTGTAGTTGCGTTGTCGAGGCCCTCGTTGGCCTTGTCAAGGAACGCGGCGTAGGCAGCGTCAGAAGACATCTTGTGATGAAGTCGACAAAGTAGAGGGCGTTGATACAGTTGATACGATTGATTTAGTCGTAGAGAAGTAGAAGTTGACAGGAGAGTAGATGTTGATTGAAGTAATAGAGACCGCGGGGGAAGAGACGGCCTCGTTCTTGTTCTTATGACGCAAGCAAGTCTGGCTCGCATGGTTGATGTTTGGTTGCTGGTGGCGAGTTGCGATTTACTCTTACTTATATATACTTATACACTACGCTACCACAATCAATGCTACTACTTCTACTAATGAAGATGATGAAGATGAAGATTTCTTTTATTATGATATCATCAGGCTAGCATGACATGAGACAGTTACGAAGACGAGGCAAGGTCCTTCTTGAGGGTGCCCAGGAACGCCCGCTTCTCTGCTGGCGTCTGGTAGGCTCCGTGGCCGAACTTGGACGAGGTGTCGATCCATTTGAGGTCGACCTTCTCGGTGGCCTTGCGGGAGACCTGCGGCCACAGGGTCTTGCGCAGAGTGACGACGCGCTTGCGGACGCCGGGGATCGAGCCCTTGAGCATCACGTAGTCGTTCTTAACCTCACCGTAGCGTACGAAGCCGCCCATCCTAGACGCTGTTAGCACTATACTCGTGGGACAAAGCAGAGAAAGTAGCTCGAGAATATAACTTACGGGGTGATTCTCTTCTTGCTGACGTCAAAGTCAGTCGAGGCATTGCCCTCATCATCTGCCTTGCCGATACGGTAGATCTTGTGGTTGGCAGAGGTACGGTGGTGGTATCCGTCCTGACCGGCACGGGCAACGGTCCACTGCACATGCGAAGGATGCCAGGCACCGATACAGGCAACCTTTCTCAAACCCTTGTGCGTCTTGCGAGGCAGCTTCTTGGTGCCCCATCGCGAGGTAACGCCGCTGAATCCATGACCCTTAGTGACGGCAATGACATCAACAACTTCGTCCTTCTCAAAGACGCTGTCGACGTCAATGGGCTTCTCAAACAGTCCGTGTGCGAACTCGACCTTCTCTGCCACGCTGCCGCCGTTGACCTGCACCTCCATGAGGTGGGCCTTCTTCTGCTTGAGGGGGGTCTTGCGGATCTGGGTGTGGGCGAGCAGTCGGACGACGGTGCAGTAGTTCTTGATGCGCTCGAGCTCGCGGGTGGTGGAGGCGGCGTCGGCGTGGGTTTTGGCGTAGCGGGTGAACGCCTTCTTCTTGCTCTTGTACCAGTTCTTGTAGAACCGGCGCTTCACCTCGTCAGACAGATGCTCGGCCCAGACGGTGGTGAGCGAGCGGAGACCGCGGGGGGTCTCGATGTAGCCAACGATGCCAACGGCGATCATCTATCTCTGTTAACCTCTTCGTCTCTATCTTTGGGTATATATGTGTATATATCATGGGTAACCTACTGGGGGGGTCTCGACGATAGTGACGGCCTCGACAATCTCCTTGCGGTGCATCTTGGCTCCGGGACGCTCAAGGTCTCGCACGATCGTGGTCATGCCGGCCTTGTAGCCCATGGTGGCAGTGAGGTGGACGGGCTTCTTGGGGTCATCCTTGGGGAAGCTGCATCACCATCAGCATCATCTCTATATATCCCACTTTATAATCTGCTGATTTAACCTACCTCTTGACCTTTCCACGGTGTCTGGCAGCGCGCTTTCGTGGCAGGTAGGCCAGAGAGCCTGTTCATCATCACAACCGTCAGTCTCATCCTCTCTTTCACTCTTCATCTGCTTATCATCGTCTTACCGTGCCTCGGGGCTTCGTATTTTCGGTGACTCCTGTAACGCTGTCGTCAGCTCCTGCTCAATTGCAATTGTTATGCTGTCCTGCAGACTCGGCTGGTACTCACATCTTGACCCTCTGTCGACCCTTGGATGTCCTGCGTCGTTGGTTGTCGGGAATTTCACAGCAGGTTGAAAGTTCTTCGTCTTCGTCTTCGTCTTTCGTTTATCTTTTTCTTTTTCGCTTTTTTTGTGCGCGTTTGCCGAGTTTGTGGGGCTTACGTAATGGTCATGTGATGTCACGTGTAGATCACAGAAAGCATAAAAGAAGAAAAGATAGAAAGAAACAGAAAAGAGAGAGATAAAGACAGGAAGATGGACGGTAGAGATGGGAGATTAAGGATGGATAGGTGAAGGGGCAGGCAAAGTGAGAGAAGGATACCTCAGCCTGAACAGAAACACCGATAAAGGTAGGCCATCTTCAACAACCGGATATAACTCGGCTATGTCCATGTATCTCTATGCCTGGCCACCCCTTGCTCTAGGCTTGCGTTACAGAGACTCCTTCTACCCTACTGTGCTCTAGGTAAACAAATACTCCGTGAAGTAAGTAATACAGCTTTGACCAAGACGATCCTTTCTATTTCAAGTAGATATTGCCCAAGTACGGAGAAGATGCAGACTGGAGATGAGGCCAGCCAGACGGATATCAACCCCTTCTTCTCCGTAAATATACCCAACTATACTTATCACCAACCCACCAACTGACTCGACTGACTGGACCCTGCATGCCCGGCATCGTGGCGTGAAAATTCGCCTAACACTTCCTGGCCAGTTAACTTAGGTAGTCCTTGGACTCCCGCTAACCCGAGGCTTCGATCGGCAACTGACGAGAGATGATGCAGTGCAGTGCAGCAAAGGTAAGTGGTTGGCTATATCGACGCCAGTTAAGCACGGGAGAAACACCCACTCGCCCTGCTTGCCTTGCCCATAACCCATAACTCGATATTTAAGGGCAAGGATACTCGGCTCTCGTGGGTGTTGCTCCCCGGCGTCCCATGCAACCAATCACCAAGTCGGCTTACTTCGCACTACAGCACAGTTGGGAAATTGGAGATTGAAGTGAGAGACAAGAGAGAGAGAGTAGCGGTGGGTAGTTTGCGCCCGCTTTGTAGTACGTTACGCTACTTGCGTATAGCTTCATGTACAAGTATTGCAGGCAGTGCGCTATGTGCACCAACATGAAGACACAAAGTCATTTATGCAGCCTTACTTAGTTACCCAATCTCAAGGCTAAACATGGACCTGGTGAAAGCTCCTTTCTCAAACGGTTACAAGCATGGGCTCTTCGGCAGAGGATCGACACTAGACCAGACACACATACATACATAGAAACAGCTGTATAAATATAGCTATGTATGTGAGTACCTAGTCATCATCCGTCGTGGCTCGGCTGGCTCGGGGGGCAGGATGATTCATCTTGATCCTGACATGCGTGCCCAAACAGCTGGACACGTATAGCTCCATCTCCCTCGTCAACGCTTACCGGACCGAGCGGAGCCTCGCCATGGGTTAGCAGCAACATACGAGTAGGTTAGTTAGATCTTCCGTAGCATAGCCTGATAGACGCCTAAGGACTAGCAATGGCGACTCGACTTACGGACATTTGCCCGGCGGCGAAAAAGGAGATGAAGCCCAGCCCGCAAACTCTCTTATGCCAACTCTCTTATGCCGAGCTGTGCAACGCATCGACGCGGGCAATTCAGTTCAGGTCCTATCGAGAGCAGCATCTGAAGAACGGAGACGGTGGCGGCTAGAGTCACTCAAAACCTGTTTTGCTCGCGTCTACTTTGCCGAACCTGAAGATAGACTAATTATATAGTTATTTGTTCCACTGTACAGTGCATGATGTATATGTAGGGGAAGCAAGCAGCGTATGTATGTAGGTAGGTATCCTTCTGTCGACTTGCATGGACCTTGGCTGCGATGGGCGTGTGGCTTGCTTAAGTGACGTGACTGATGCGGTGTCTGCCTGCATGTCCATCGACCTCTCAGAGCCTGTGCCATTATTAGCCAGCTCGCCTACCTCGTCTTCAATCTCATCATCTTCGTCTTCAGCTTCTTCGGCTTCTTCATCGTCGACTTTTCTCTCTTCTTCGCTTTATACCAACGGCCCCACATGCTTACTCACCCGAGCTTAGCCACACGTGACTAACCCTAACTCCGCGGCTGCCCAAGAAGTTTCATGGTTAGTAAGCAAGCGGTTAAGGGGCCACAAGCCAGCCAAGTAAGGGGATAAGGATAGGGATGGCGGGACGGGGGATGGGGATGGGGGATGAATGGGGATAAGGAGAGGGATAGGGGCGTTATAGCTAGTAGTTTGCACGGAGTAATATTCTAACAGCCGGCCCAGCTCATGACATGCATGGATCAACTAGCTGAAGTCAAGAGGTTTCGAGTTGGTGTTCTCCATAGTTAGACTCAACTACTTAACTTACCTGGCTACCCGTGGAACAGCGACGGCGTCCCAGAGCCAGAGCCAGGGGAAGCGGAGGGAACCTATGGAACCTCTGGAACTTATGTAAGTACTCCGTAGTGTCGTAGTTTAGTGTTATACATTAAGTAAGAAAGTAACCCAGAGGCTGGGCTGGCTGGTCTTGCCAACATCAAGACTCGCGAACGCAACGAACTGGGTCACTGTGCTCATGCATATCTGCCGTGCTGTAGCCCAAGCCGAAGCCTAAGCCTCTTGTTCCCTCCCCATGTAAGTACCGTACTCCGTCGGCAGCGTACAGTAACTCTAGCCCTTCTCGCGCCCCGTTCCCCCCTCCCTTGTGCTGCGTGCTGCTGCTGGTGCTGCGTTGCCAGGGTATGCTTCTTTTTCCAACGACTGCTGCAACTGCAAGGGAGCGTGCTACCCTCCTTGTCATAGGTGTGGTGGATGTGTGTGGATGTATGTGTGTATGTGTGTAAGTTAAGTATACATGTCGAGTGGGCAGTGGTGTGGTTGTACACGCTACCCGATCGATCCATGATCCATGAGCCGTGTGAGTGAGAGTATGTACTTACATATACTATACAAGGCCCTGCTGCATGAATAAAGTAATATAAGTTAGAATAAATAATAATGTCTGTCCGCCCGGAACATGCATGTGTCTGTGCCTGTGACTGTGACTGTGTCTGGATGGATGGTACACGGTGGAAGTAAGAGGTGTACTCCGTAATGCGTGTGTGTATGTATGCGTCGATGGAAGCGGACGGAGTAATATAAGTAAATCCGCCTAATATAAATCATCTGCCAGCGAACTTGTGGGATGTGCTGCAGGGGAGGGACCGATGGCAGGCCTGTCCCTGTATCTCCCCATCCAGACAGACACCGCTGGAGAAAGAAGTCTTCTTCTCTCAGGCCATCCACATCCACCTCGACATCGACATTGTCACCGTCATCATCGTCGCAGGGTCATGGTCGAACCGTCCTCCCACGACTATCGGCTTGTTCTGTCTGATGATGCTCGACGTTAGTCTCCGTCCGTGACACAAAAAGTAAAAACAAAAAAACAACGAAAATCTCCCCTTGTTCAATCGAGAGATGATGATGCTCTGCTTTCTTCCGCCGTGCTGCAGCAGTCGATGGTCTGGTTGTCTCTTGTGTCTCCTTCTGCCTCTGCCTCTGCCTCCCTTTCTTTTTTGCAAACTTCAACCCCTTTTTTGCACTGTAGTTGCTTCTTTTCCCGCCCACATCCACATCCACATCCACATCTCCGTCTCTTCTTCTTCTTGTTCTTCTGCTTGCTGGCGCTGCTTCTGGCTCTCTCTTGTTCGCGTTTTTTCCCTCTCGTTTCTTTTTCCGGTTATATTTTTATTATTCCTTTTTTCTTTCTTCTTCTTCTCCCTCTTTCTCGCTTTTTCATTTTTGGGTTTGTGCCAGTAGTTGCTTTTTTCTGGTCTGGCTTGCTCCGTCAGGTCAGGTCAGGTATCCCTCTGCTTTTTTTCTTCTTTTTTTATTTGTGCTTCTTCTCTTTTCTTTTTTGTCTGTCTTTCCTTTTTTTTATATGATTCCTTGTTATTCCTTTTTTTTCAGGGGGGGAATGGAGAATGGGATGTGGATGGGCTGGGGATCGGGCTTGTTCAAGTAGTAGAACGGTCGGTGCCGGCTGTCAGATTGATGGGATGGATGGGCGGCAGGCTAAGGTGCAGGTCAAGCAGACTTTTTCCCTCTCTCTGTATGTCTCTCTCTTGTCTGGTCAGCAGCTCGTATACTCCGTACCGGACTTATGCCCTCTCCCTCTGGTTGTGACTGCTGTCTGTTTCCGAGGACGCACACAGAAGTGAGTGTGGTCCGTATATAAACACAGTCGCATGCGAGAGTGGCTTGCGAGGAGACCTAGGCTGACCGACAGATCGGCTTGGGACAGACATTATAGTCACATATGTAGGCGCCTTCTCGAAGGCAGACAGAAAACGAAAGGCGAGACGAGAAAAAGCGAGATTGTTTGCTCCAGCAGCGACCACAGTTTTAAGTCGTCATATAGACTCCATATAGTCACCCCGTATTCGACGATGATGATGATGATGATGCTGATGGAGAGGGAGATGAAGACGGTGGCGAGGATCGTCGCAAGTAACCTCCCCCTGCAAAAAATAGAAACAAAAAAAAATGAAAATAACCAGCCACCTCAGATCAACTTCTCGCAGTCAAGGTCAACTTGGTACAGCAGCCAGCCATCCAGCAGCAACTATGGGACGGTGCAGGCAGCCTCTTACTCAAGCTCATCACGAGCGTGGAAATGAGCAACGGTGAAATTAACATGCTGTTCCTTGTGAGATTTATTTATAAGTACGGAGTACTTATTTTTCCCTTACTTATTAACCCAACTGTTTATATTATAATGAATATATGCCTGTGATGGGTTTGGCGGAAACGTGCTCACTTCGGGGCACGGGAGAGCAGGGGCGGTGGAGCAAGCGAGGGAGCAGCCAGAAGCCAGAAGCCAGAGAAAGCCAGCCAGAGAAGCAGCACAAACAAGTGGAGAGCTGGAGAACGAGACGAGCAGGAGATGAAGAAGCAGGAGGACAAGCGAGCAGGGGGGGCGCTGCTGGCGGCCGGGGCAGCGCCCGATGCGATCGCACCGTTGGCCTGTTGGCTGGTTGGCTGGTCGCTCTCCAGGCATACTACATAGCAAACGTACTACCTGCTGCTTCGACAGGGAAGCCCCGGGGTTGGCTCACCATGGCTTTTTCGGACATCCACTTTGGCGCAAGTCTCTCATACACGTCAGGTACTCGGCGACTGAGCGACTTTCCTCACCACTGACCCTGCATCCTCGTTTATACATATATACACCCAGGTGAAGGCTACACTCTGTACGCAGTGCACGGAGTATCGTAGCATGTCTATCATCATCGGATGTTCTGGAGTAACACGAAGAAGGCAGAAGACAGAGAGAAGATGACATAAGCATAATTTGCACAGGGATGGCATGACATAAGCACTCTTGGCACCGCACGTTACGCCTTACCTAAGCAAACGCCAGAAGAAGGTGCTGACCTAAGCAAGGAGGGAGAAGAGGGAAAAAAGAAAGTTAGGGCTCAAGCTTGGAGAGGGGAGAGGGAAAAGGGAAAGAACGAAGGAGGGAAGGACACGGGTGGATCCTTCCCTCAAAGATGTGGGTCTACGGGCGGGTCCAGTCTTGGCAGCTGCTAGCGCGGTTCAAGCGTGCAGGAAGGTGGGGACCATGGAGAAAGGACAGGGACCCACTATTCTACTCTTTTCTTTGCTTTTTCCCCTGGTGTTTTTATTTATTTTTTTTGCTGCAAAAATCGGGAAGAGAAAAAGACAAAAAAGAAAAAAAGCATAAAAAGCATAAATAATAAAAGTGGGCCCCGGTGGGTGGGGCGCGGCATGACGAAGGCGGCCGAAGAAGGAAAGGGCGAGCAGAGCCTGTTTCATGGTTTGACCACGCCCGATCTGGCAGTCCTGGACATCCTGACAGTGGGTGTTGTTCGGACAAGAACGCGAGAGCAGATGCTCGCTGGACAAAGCACACCAGTATACACCGCGATAGTCGGGGACAGCAGCTCAGACGGAAACGTGAGATGGTGCGAGACAGCCGCGAGGTCGACGGCCTTGAGCTGTCCCCGGCGGGAGATCGCGATGGAGACGTCAGATGGAGCTGGCTAGGGTGATGGGTGACTGACTAAGCGCCGCCTGGACGAACCCTTCCCACTAGCGCCAAATCCTCGTTCAAGCCCGTCTCCCACTCTTACGCTCTCGTCTTCCTCTCCTTCTCTTCTGCACTTCACGGCCTCACGTCTGCCTCTGCCTCTCTGCCTCGCCCACTGCCCACCCGCACGCTTCGTCTGCTGCTCAGGCCGGCTTCACCTCGCGCCTCGCGCACCCTGTCGTCCCGTCCCAGCAGCGTCGCCAGTCTCTTCATCCTCTCCCGCCGTCGCTGCTCTTGAGTTGACGGTTGCCGTGACAGCCTCTTCGCCGCTGTCAGCGTCGCCGCATCTCAGGCACACCCTTACTGTGCGTTCAATTGCCTATTCCCCCAACCCAGCTCGTCTCTTCTCATGAACTCATGCCAGCAGCAGGTCAGCTAACCAGTGAATAAAGGATAGAAAAAAAAAAAAGCTGCCGTGTTTATTTTTACTATTTTTTTTTATTTTTCTTATTTTTTTCTTCTCCCTCCCCAGTGCCTAGAGAGCAGCAAGATAGCAGTCGAGAGACTGTCATCTAAAGGCCCTCGAGGCAGCGAGTGAGACTCGCGATGGCGTCTCATCCACAGCCATCGCCTCCAATGCATCCCCATCCCTCCCACCACCCGGCCCTGGCAAACCACCCGCAGGTCAACGGCCATCCTCCCATGGCCCAACAGCAAGCTCAGCAGCAGCAGGCTCAGGTACAGGCTCAGCAGCAAGCAGCTCAGCAACAGGCAGCCCAGGCACAGGCCCAGCAGGCCAGCAGCAGCAACAGCCGCCGCCAGGCCCTCAGCAGGGCCCTCAACCCCAGCCTGGCCCGCCTGGTCCACCGCAGCAAACTCCTGGCCAGCCCCAGAAGGGGATGCCACCCACTATCTCACAGAAGATCGCACAGCTCAACGAGGGCGTCTGGCTTCAGATTGGTACGTCTTTTGACATTTACTCTTCTCCTTTTTTCGTTTTCTTTTCGACGTTGACTAACTTGCGTGTAGGAACTCTTTCTGAGCTGATGAACGACCCTGATGGCGCTATGTATGCATTTGAACAGGCCATCAGGCATAACCAGTGGTCTATTCCTGCCATGAGTGCCATCTCCTGCCTCCTGCGCAGCCGTGAGCAGTTCCAGAAGGCGATCGAGTATCTCCAAGCCATTCTTAAGCTCGATCCCCAGTCCGGCGAGTCATGGGGTTCTCTTGGTAGGTTTCACATTAATTAATCACAGACAAGGCAAAGAACAAACATAAACTAACAAGGTGGCCAAGGACACTGCTATCTCATGCTTGATAACCTGCAAGAAGCATACACCGCCTACCAGCAGGCCCTTTACCATCTTCGTGACCCCAAGGAGCCCAAACTCTGGTATGGCATTGGTATCCTGTATGATCGATACGGATCCCTTGACCACGCCGAAGAGGCCTTCTCCCAGGTCATGCGCATGCAGCCGGACTTTGAAAAGGCAAACGAGATCTACTTCCGTCTCGGAATAATATACAAGCAGCAGCAAAAGTTTGGTCAGAGTTTAGACGTAAGTTACAATTCATTGTTTCGATATTTCAAATCGAATAACGGCTTACACCGCTGTCCTACTATAGTGTTTTAGATACATCGTCAACGATCCTCCTCGTCCGCTGACGGAAGAAGACATCTGGTTCCAGATCGGCCATGTCCATGAACAGCAGAAAGACGTACGTTAGTTCCACCCTGCAGTCATTAGCCTCTATATATGCTGACTATCCCACAGTTCGAGGCAGCCAAGGCAGCTTACAGACGTGTGCTTGAGCGTGAGCCCAACCACGCAAAGGTTCTGCAGCAGCTTGGATGGCTCTACCACCAGCAGAACAACAACTACAGCAGCCAGGAACAGGCCATCGAATACCTTGAGAAGTCTGTTTCAGCTGGTACGTCCACCTCTTTTTACTCATCGAATAATATAGATTTTTTCAAGGCTAACAAGTGTATAGACAACAGCGATGCGCAGAGTTGGTACCTGCTTGGGCGATGCTACATGTCCCAGGCCAAGTATCCCAAGGCATATGAAGCTTACCAGCAGGCGGTATACAGAGACGGGCGCAATCCCACCTTCTGGTGTTCCATCGGAGTCCTGTATTACCAGATCAACCAATACACGCGATGCGTTGGATGCATATTCGCGCGCCATCCGCCTGAACCCGTACATCTCGGAGGTCTGGTACGACCTTGGTACTTTGGTACGTTTCCCCCCTCCCCCATGTATTTTTTTTTTTCAGTATTGTTTATTTTCGTTGCCGTTGTCTTTGTCGCGTATTAACGGTATGTAGTACGAGTCCTGCAACAACCAAACAAGCGATGCACTAGATGCGTACGGCCGTGCCGCGGATCTCGACCCAACCAACGTCCACATCAAAGCGAGACTCAACTGCTCCAAAGCGGACAGGCAGGTGGCGCCAACGCAGGCAACGCCCAGCACCCGCAGGATGTGCATCCGCAAGCATACCAGCCGGCAGGCGTCGGTGGCTCCGCCTGGTCTCAATGGGGTGCTCCCGCTCCTGGAACCGGGCGGACTGCGGCCCCAAGGTCCCGCTCCGCCTTCTCCGGTCGCTGAATGGGGCAGACCTAGCGGGGAGCCGCAGAATGCCAGCAACGCTCATGGACCAGGAGGCCAGTTTGAGCAACGAGAAAACGTAAGAGGACCTCCTCCTTCCCAGCTGCGGGTTCAGGCCAGTCCACGCCAGGAGCAGTTCCACGAACCGCACCCGCCATATCGGCCTCCCCCATCCATATCTTCCTCCCGCAAGGGTGGCCACTCCTCCCCTTCTCCCAAATTCCCTTTGTCCAACACGCATACTTATACTGGAACCCAGGTTCTTCCACAGCTAGCTCCCCCGCAACAACAGCAACAGCAGCAGCAGCACGAAGGTCCTAACAACGGTCCAGCACCAGGTCCTCCATCCTTCCCACCGCCACGACAAGGTCTCGGCCCTGGTCCAGGCCACGGACCCGGCCATGGCCCCAACAACCAAGGTCCCAACGGCGCCGGGCCATCACAGTACGGCCGACCGTTCACTCCCCCAACTGAAATCCGTCCTATCCGCGAAGAACGTCCTGCCTCCGCCAACGGCGCTGGCCCCGCAGCCAACAACGCCGGTGGACCAGGCCCAGCCTTCCCACCTCACCCGTCATATCACCATCCTCCACCAGGCGGACCAGGCGTGCAGCAGAACGGTGGCATCGCCTCGGGAGCTCCCGCGCCTGCCTCGGCCATTGCAGCTGCCGAAGCTGCCGCTCGCGAGCGAGACGAGCGACCAGCATCGAGCATGAAGCGAGTGCGCGAATGGGAGCCCGAGCCAGGCCCCGGAGCAGGACCAGTCAAGAAGATCGCCAACGAAGAAACCCGCAGCCGACTTGACGGACGACATGACACCCGCATGGAAGATCAGCCGGGACCAGGACAGGTACCAGTACAGGGACAAGGACCCCCGCCACCACCACCTGGCCCGCCACAGGGGCCATCCCGCCGTGGCTCACCTGGTCCGGCCGGACCGGTGCCGAGCATGGGGGGTGTCAACGTCGGTCCAGGACGCATGTCATCGCCACGGGATCTACGCAGACGCAGCTCTTCCGAAGTCCGTCGAGATGACCGTGACCATGCTCGTCGTGCTCATGAGCCATATCATCCCTCCGAGGCAGCTCACCATCCACCTACCTTGCCACCAATCCAACACATGGGACCCAAGAGCGAGCCGCAGACTCCTGGCCAGGCTCCCACAGGACCTTCAGGCCCTCAGTCTCTCCCCTCGCTGTCCGCCGGTCTCCCAAAAGACGAGCGTGACAGGGACAGAGAGCGAGAGCGTGATAGGGAGCGTGAACGTGAGCGTGAAAGGGAGAGAGAGCGTGAACAACGAGACCGAGACCGAGACCGCGAAAGAGAGCGGGAGCGGGAAATTAGAGAACGAGAACGCGATAGAGAGCGTGAGCGTGACCGTGAGAGAGAGAGGGAAAGAGAGCGTGAGCGAGAGCAGAGAGAACGGGAGCGGGAGCGAGACAGAGACCGCGAACGTGAACGTGAACGGGAACGAGAACAACGAGACCGTGAGCGTGAACGTGAGCGTGAGAGAGACCGAGACCGAGACCGTGACCAGCGAGACCAGCGAGACCGTAAAGACCACTCGACTCTGCCTCCCGTCTCTGTCCCATCCGTGCAGCAGTCCCAGGGCCCCCTCGAGCCACCGGCCCGCAAGATGGACGTTGACGAAGACTACGATGATGAAGGCGACGATGATGCCAGTAGCAAGAAGCCCGCCGCCTTGGTGGGAAAGGGCGGCAGTCCCGGCAGCGTCAATGGAAACGGCAGCGTGACTGGCCGTGACCGTGAGCGGGAGCGGGAGCGAGAGCGGGATCGAGATGCCGCGGGCTCCCAGCGGGACAGGGACAGGGAGCGTGAGCGTGAGCGTGAGGCCGGCCAGACCAAGGGCGAGGCTTAACTAACTCTACTACCAGCTTATCTTTATCGATTGACTGACTGATTGACTGATTGACTGACTTGGACGAGGGGATGATGATGACGTTCTTCTCTCTCTCTTTCACTCTACCTATCTTCACTTCTTCTCTGTATTCATTCCCCCCTTTTCTTTATTGTCCTTTTCTCAGCTTTCTTCAAATAAACTTGTCCTATCCTGTGTCTGCATGTCTCCTATTCCTTTCTAATGTCTTTTTTCTATTCCTGAAATCCTATCTGTTCGAGTTCTAGTTCCTGTTCCAGTTCCAGTTCGAGTCTAGTCTTCTTGTCTTGTCTGTATGTGTTTCCCTTGTTTAGTGTGTTAACTTGCTTTCATTTACTTTTGCTGGGCCTGGATGGAGGAAAACACCGGAGTGGATCAGGAAGGAAACCAAAGCGCAAGGCCATCTTTCTTAACTTGTCACCAACTGTCATCAACTGTCATCAAGCCTAACTACTTACTAGTCTTTACTTGTCTCCTTTTCTAGCTTACTTGTATGTCGTCGTCGTCGTCAACTTTTACTTTTTAACCTTTTATAACCTTCTCAGCCTCACGCTTAGTCACTTCTTAGTAAACTGCCTTACATAACCGCCTTACCTAAGATCTGACTAAAATCTCAGTGCTTACTAATCGCCGATCTCTTGCTCTTGAATTCGCGTCCGTCTCTCCCGCTTCTCCTTCTTCTCCTTCTTTTTCCCTCACGAACATCGCGATGACTCGGCTCCAGCGTCCATCGCCAGCGCTGGCCGTCACCAGCACCAAAACCAAAATGTGAAATCATCCTGTCACCAGCGGGAGAATGGCCTCCGCCCTTGTCCTGCCGCGCCAACCAACTCAAGACCGACAAGAGAGCAAAAGATGGGCGCCACCCTTTCCACTTCCGGGCGACCCTGTCCGCGCCAAGGGGCTCGGCGCCTGGGCGAGCTTGGCTTGCTGCTGCTAGTTAAAGCCCTTAGGCGGCCTCCAGCCCAGCTCCAGTTAAAGGCTAGTTAAAGGCTAGCTAAAGCCAGGCGGAAGGTTAGTTAAAGACTCAGTTAAAGCCCGCCCCCCAGCGCTTTAACTAGCTCCAGTTAAGGACGCCCGCTGACGATCTCTGGCTCAAGCGTTACTCAACCAGCAACCATCGCCCCAGTTAAAGATTCTGGTTAAAGGCTTCAGTTAAAGGGCTGCAGCTAGGCATGGCTCTTAGGTAAAGCGCCGGCAGGCGGCCACGCCCAGCCCTCCGCCCAGTGCCCAGAAGACGCCTTCGCGCCAGCTCGCTCCTCCTGCGCCGACCAGCCAAATCTCGCGGGCTTGGGGTCTCTTGGACTTTTCTTGGTCGTGTCGGAGAATCTGGCGGGAAAAGTGCAGACGAACAGCGGACGGAGCCACGGCTGGCCTGGTACTGGTATATAACATGACGCCCTCGCATCGACACGACGCCAGCCAGACAGCCCGCGGACCGGAGGACGACCTTCGCAGACGACGATCGAGAAGATGAAGAAGACGAAGACGCAGCAGCCTCGGGCTCAGAGCATGAGCTATACGCCGTCCTACGCCATCGACGAGCATCGCCGTATCGCCGCCGCGGCCCTGCGGCTGCCTCGTCTACACACGCCGGCCAGCGCCAGATCCGGTCCTCCAGAGCCAGACGGGGCCGTCCAGATGCCCCAGGCCGCGTACATCCTTGAGGCCGGCTCTGTCGACGTCGATGTTCATGCCGGTACTTATGCTGGCCCTGGTGCAGATGCAGACGCCGACGCCGACGCCGACACTGATCGGGACGTGGAGGACTGGCGGAAGGTCAAGATGTCCGCCGTGAGCAGGACAGGCTCGATAGAGAGCAGTCCGCGTCGAGCGGACATCGTCTCGCATTCGCATTCCCATCACAGCCATCACAGCCACCAGAGCCACCGCAGTCATCAGAGCCATCAGAGCAGACGGCACAGCAGCTACGTCGACCGCAGCCATCATCACATTGAAGAAGACGACGAGGACGAAGACGATGAAGACGACGGAGACGAGCTTGAGCCTGGATGCTCGCATGAAAACGCCTTCTTTGTCCTAGTACGTCTCTCTCTCTGTCTCTCTGTTTCTCTACCTCGCTGTCTCTGCCTTTCAATCACTCCTATTATAAAAAAAAATTGATATCACAATATGGAATAACCGCTGACGGTAATCTAGCTTCGAATATCCTTCTACCTCCCGCCCTTCACCATCTTCGCAGCCATCTACGCATTTATATCCCTAATATTCCTCCTCCTCGCCGTTCCCTTACGGCTCTGTCCACCTTCTCCGTTCTTCAAACCGCCTACCTCTCTCACCGAGCAGATCTGTCGCCTGCTCGTCCCCTTGCTCCGTCTCAACCGCAAAACCGTCACCAGCACAACCAACAACCACAATTACCGCAGCAGCTACCACAACCAACAATACCAGCACCACTCAAAACGCACTCGCCGACACTACAGCACGCACTCAAGCCAGCCTCCTTCTGCCTTGGCCTCCCCGCGGCAGTCATATACCGTCTCAACGTCGACGCCTGTCTCAGCGTCGCTCTCAAGTTACACCATCCCCGCCCAGCCTGGCCCCGTCACCGGCTCTGCAAGTACACCTGCATCTACGCCTACGCATGCATCGTCCAGCCCAAACTCAAGGCTGTACGCCAACTACTCTGCGCCCATGCTAGTGGGCGTCCACCTGCTCTCCCCCTTACTGCTCCCTCCCACCTTGCTGGCGGCCTGGATATGTGCCTGTTTCTGGATCTTCGTGATGATAATGGGCAATCCCGACGGCAAAGAGAAGACCGACGATGGCCGCGCTGCTGTCTTGGCAGTTAGGAATTGGTGGTGTCTCTGGCTCGCCAGCGCAAGAAGGAAACGGAAGAGAAGAGAGTTAGATGCCGGAGCTGTATAGACGGGCGTTCCGTTCCTTTGCTATCTGTATCTACCAGTCTATCTTGCGTGTTCTAATGTTTGTTTCCAAAAACTTGCATATGTACTTTTTAATGATGAATGAATAATACCACCTACCTGCATACCTACCCGCATACCATCTATACCCACATATACGTCCAGGCATAAGTAAGAATCATCGCTGTTCGTGCTAAGTCATACATGCATACATAGGTTACTTAAAATAAATCGCCGATCAACCGGGCTTCAAGGTCTTTATGACGCTTCTTGACTAGTTATCCAACGAGGGAGTAAGTTATCTCATATTTTCTTAGGTATTCTTCCTCCCCTACCTACCAACTTACCTCCCGACTCTTCCCCTACCACCACCCCTAGAATCCCTCCTACGCTTCTCAATCCTCCCGCTTCCCCCAGGACTGCCTCTCTCTTTGCCCATCCCGAGCCCCCTTCGACCAGACTTGGCTGCAAGCCCCTTATCTTTGCCCCTGCCTGCACCTGCACCAGCTTGTCCCTGTCCACGCGCCGGATTACTCTTCTCATCATGATCGTCAACATCCATCTCCATGTCCATGTCCATATCATCGTCTCCCTTTTTACCCTGACTGGCTCTTAATCGGCCCTTTTGACCCTTGCGCAATGCATCAGGCCCACTGACCGCAGTGAGATAGGCGTTGACACCAGACCCTGCACCGCCAGCGCCAGCAGAGGTATCCATCTCATCACCATGGTCACCGAGCAGCAGCTTGCCATCCTCGTCCATGCGAGGGCGATGTTTCTGCTTATGTTTGGACGCCAGGAAGCGTACGCTTGGTTTAGTGCTGGATATGTTTGCCAGTGCGTCTGGCGCAAGGAGATCCAGCGGGTTAGACTCAGGCGATAGTTCACGGATGTATTGCTCTCCCGTATCGCCTGTACCACCACCTGTGCGTCGTTTGCTTTGACCTTTGCCCTTGGATGAAATGGCTCGTTTGGTGGTGTTGCCTGCACTGTCGATTTCAATCTCGCTTGCATCCGACTCATCGCCAGACATGTAGTCTGAATCAGAGCCGTATACCGCCTTGTCAAACTCATTGTTAAATGACTTGCCTTGTCCAGCTTGAGCAGATTGCTGGCCTCTAGGATGTTGCTGCTGTGTATCCTCATCGTCTTCATCGTGTTTGGCTTCCTTCTTGCGTTTCTGGCGTTCTCTCTCCTTGCGTATCGATACAACCAGTTTGCGATCTGATTCTTCAACCAGCCCTTCCACAAATGCCGCTCCGAATTTACGTATCAGGCGATCTAGTATGCCCTTAACCTTACTCCTCAGTCGGCCCTTGTGCTCTTTACTCCACATCATGAGCTTGGGTACCGCAGACGGGAGACGGGGCTTGAGCAGATCGTCCGGCAACGCTACCACGGCTACTTTGACAAAGCCAAGCACCGAACGGACGATCTCACGGTTGTTACTGGTCAGGAACAACTCGATGGTCTGTAGTAGGTCGGACTGCATGGTGGTCGGCAGTTGCGAGTGATACTCAAACAACAGACGAGACATAGCCGTTACACTGGCCGCAACCATGTGTGGTGAGCTGCCAGCCAGGCCAGCAGAAACCATCGTGAACATTTCCTCAATGGTGGCGGGTGCGTCTGGTGCGTCGTCTGGCATATGTGCTACCAGAGAGTTGCGGATCTTTGTGCCCGGCGGATTGCGTTCGGAGTCAATCATTCGCTCAGTGGTGTGAACAAGCAGAGCAAATGCAGCTGTCCGTGCCTTTTCGTTGCTCTCCTTGCAGCCTAGTACGACTTCAGAGAGAATGCCGGGGATGAAATGAAGGTCTTCCGTCGGTAGGTGGGTGATGATCTCGTGAATTGCAAGCAGACGATCCCGGTGAGCTGGGGCGGGTGTCTTGTCTGCCGTCGATAGAATAAGGGATTGTAGCTCTGTGCTGCGTTCGCTTAGAGCAGTGCGCCCGGCATCCGTGCCTGCAAGACGGGGAATGAGTTTGTACGCCTTCTTGATGAGCTGGGGGTCCGCGGAGGACTTGTTCAACACAACGGAGGCAAGTGAGAAGAGAGTCGCAAAGCTGTTGCGAGGTAAGTAAATGGACATTGTCACGATTAGGTCCATCAGCGTGTGCGATGTTGGAGGCATCTTGTCCTTGCGAGCCATGCCGGGCTTGCTGCTGGTGTTAGCTTCTTCCTCGAGAGCTCCCTCCAGCATAGACGTTACTCGACCAAAAGTGTCAATGAGTTCCTATTGTTGTTAGATCAGTAGAAGTAAAAAGAATAGTAATTCAATGACATACCTGTTCACCTGTAATGCTCAAGTAAGCATTAATGCATTGCAAGATATAGCCCCTGAACTGCGGCAGAGTCTGGCTGTAGACGTTGAAAAGCACCGCAAGCATATTCCCAGCAAACCCGGAGAGATGCTCGATATTCTTTTTCGCTTCTTCCCTGGTAACTCGTCGTTGCAAGACAAGATCTTCAATCTCGGATTCAACAGAGGTAATCGCCTGGTTCGATTCGACCAGGTTCTGCAGTGCTTTGCACACGTCCACCCGAAGCTCAGCCTGCTTATACAGCACATTCGACAGTAACTCGGCAAACGGCTGGTCAAAGGCTTCTCTCATGTCCAGGGGCAGTTCGCAGAATCCGGGCAGACATGCCCAAGTCTGCTGCACCAGTGTCTCGAAAATCTTAACCTCGACGGTCTTCTCCGCCTCTCCGTAATCCATAACCCGCTGATATAGGGCTTCACTCAATGGCACAAGCTCGGAGCGGAAGTATGCTAGGCTCGTGTTTGCTACGTGGTCCCGTAGAATAGGGAGAAGCCAGACACGACCAGGCTGGCCAGCCTTTTGGTTCACGATATTGAGCGGGATGATATCAAGGACAGCCTTGGGGCCCATGACATTGATGGCAGCACCAAGGACCTTCTCGGCCTCCTTCTTGCCCTGGAAATTCTCATTTGCTCGCAGATCGCCTATTATCTTCACCACCTCGTTCATCACAGGAGAGCTCTTCCATTGCAATGCGTTAAACATGGCTTCGAGGACATTGAATACCTCCGAACGAGCAACTTGGTATTTAACAGCAAGCAAGCCTGTAGCAGATTTTGCCAGCTTTTCAATGATCTTTTCATCATACACTGATGCTTCAAGAAGGACAGATTCCGGAACACACGCAACTAGAAGCGAAATCATGCCCTCTGAGGCTGAAGTGCGGATGTTCCGCGACGGTGAGGTAAGGAAGCTGGCGAATAAGTTGAAGAGCTCCGGCAGCTTCTCAAATGTTTCCTGCGCTGAGACCTGAGCGGAGACATCATAGCCTCGAGATAGGACTGCAATCCACGGTGGAAGCAGCTGTGAGTCATTGTGTGCTGGTTTCAGCTCCGAGATAGCCTCTAGCAGACGCGGTAGCTTCGAGGAAGAGAACTCGTCTGCCATTCCAGTAAATATCACTTCAAACACCTCAAATGTACCCATGGTAAGGTACTCGTTCGATGACCGGGCGACATTCATAAGAAGTTCGCACAGAGGCTCGATCTTCCTGCTCGGCCAGCCTCCTGAGGCCGCTGCAATGGCCTTGACAAGCTGTAGAGCATGCGACACCGCGGGCTCATGTGGCTGCTGGTGGTCCTGCTGATGCTTCCCTTTCCTGCCCTGCGCCTTCAATGCAGCAGTAACACTATCATTCAGCGTCCTCAATGCTGTCTCAGCGCATAGATCAGCCGCGGGGTGGTCCAGCGACGGACTCGGTGGAGGTTGTCTGAGTATCTGTATCAACGCATCCTGCACCCGCTTCCGGACTTTGGGTCTATGGTCAACCGCCAACGCCAGCATTCCCGCAATAGCCCTGCGAGGCCCAACCTCTGATGCCGGCAGCGCCCATGCCGCCGAGTCCTGCGCTATAAGCAGATTCTGTAGACATCCAACGGACGACTTGAGTAGCGGGGCCTCGACCTCAGCGAGCGTCAGGGCCGGCACCAAGCTGCCTAGTATCTGCGCAAACTTGGAACGTAGCAGCGGCGCGGGAACAAAGGCAGAGACGGTATCGAGCAGATATACAACTGAGGTTGCCAACTCTTTATTCACAATGCCCTGGGTGGTGTTGATGGACTGCGGGAGGAGGGCGAGAAGCGCAGCAAAGTAGGCGGTTGCAGTGAACTCGGCATTCTGGTCGCGTAGAGTGTCCTCGACTGCTGAAAGCACGACTCCGGTCTGTACGCTCCCATTGTTAGCTGTTTGTCTGTCTGTATAGTTGTGGATGTAGCTGGCTGGCTGCTTACATGGTGCTGGTTCTGCAGCTTGGGGGACTTGATCTTGTCCAGCTTCTCATGCAGCGACGCCATGATGAAGAAATCCAGGAGGCTCTCTCTCTCTTCCTGTCTCTGCTTCTGCCGGCGATGCTTGAGTCGCAGCTGTCACCAGCTTTGTTGGTGGTGAAGCCGGAGTTTCGTCTCTTTTTATGCTATTTTTTATGGTTCGAGATAATTTTTTGGCGTAGTTTTTTTTTTTTTTCTTAGTGACCCAAGTGGGTTTTTATCGATAGCAAAAGTCACTGTGGGCCAGCAATCAATCAGATTATTTTAACGAAGAAGCACAGGAAGAGGTTCTATCTTTAATCTATAGGCTTGGGAGTTAGATAGATAGGTAGACTTGTAACAAGAGAAAGGTGGTCTGTTATTGAGTGAAATATAAGCAGACTCTTTGCACAGGAGATGCATTTCACAATATTCTGCATGGCCTGGCATAATCCATCTTCAAAGCACTATTTAGATAGAAAGGGGCGGTCCCTTTAGCAGACAAGTCTGTACAGGCGGTTCCCCGGTAGTAGCTGGTATAGCTGATGTTGACATATCAATAGTTTGTATGCCCCATAGCGGTATTTAGCTTGGTCCTTAACAAAGTATCACTATTCGTGTAGACTATGCTCGATTCGACGAAGTCGAATCAGAAGAGAATCTCTCCGCTGTGCTCAGGTTCAAACCCGAGGGCCTGTAGGTGTGAGCTTCGTTTCCTATCTTTGCGCTTCCGCTGCTCTTCGGCCTGCTTCTTTAGTTTAAGAACCTCGGATGCAGGTGCCTGTCGGTAAGGTTCCGGGATGTCATCGTCTTTATCAAGGTCCTATATTGAGACACAATGATTAGTTATTGGAAAATGTGTAAACTTTAAAACGACGTTGACGTACAATCTCTCCAAGAAGTAATACGTTCTCTCCTCTGACCAGGAACACTCCCCGTGGGATATCGGCATATAAATTCTCAGCGTAGAGTCGTTCAACTGTATCCTGCAGCACAATGTTGGCTAGACAGCCATTAGCCCTTGTATTCTTCGATTGACGCAAGTAAGCGAGATCTCATAACATACCAAACTGGTCCCAGCTTCGTAATACACCAATTAGTTTGCGGCCATCACGCAGAACCAAAACTAGCTTCTCTATACACCAGACATCAAATATCGATCAGCAACAAAGTCATACACCTCACTTCCTCATTCCAGATATACCGCAAATTCACACACAAGCTTCCCCCACTATCAACGCAGAAAGGTAGGGATCTCACTGTCTGTCAGGTCCAATAGCTGTGCCGCAGTCGTGAAGAGCTGGGGAGGTAGCTGAGGAGGGCCTTGGGGCTCTAGAAGTGGTATGGCGGAAGCTGGTGGGATCTGAGGTTGCTGCTGTTGCTGCTGCTGCGGTTGTTGTTGCTGCTGTTGATTACTTGGTGGACTGGGCCGGTGGTGACGTCCACCTTGAGGATGGCGCATAGGGTCACCCTGTCGTCCACGCGCGGCCTGTTCTAACGTCGGGAAATTCTCCATCATGCCTATCTGAGGGTTCGTTGTGGTGCGCTTCGGGGTGTGGGTAAGATGTAGATATGCAGGTCGCGGGGGTTGTGTCTCTGCGGTAAAACTCGCTCGGTGTCGGGATCATATGCAGCAGCCGATCCTGGGCATCGTGCTTCGCTAGTAGCAGCGGGAATAAACAGCCACTAAAGGATTCTAACTGCGAGCGAAAAGACGAAGAAGCCGAAGTTGAATCGTCGATTTTGTCAACGTCGAAGATCGAAAATGAAGCACTTCCCGATCGGGCAGCTTACGCTTTTGGGCATGTTTGTCCTGTTTGTATAATACATCGGATTTACTTTTTCCTAAAATATATCACGTGATGATTCATTCTTCCGGGCCTAAAGAGGGAAGAGTCACGAAGAGGAGAGAGTTAGACGCTGGAAAGCGAGGACTCACTGCCCAGGTAGTGCGAGATGCCTATGGCTGATGGCAGCAGTGAAAGGGCTGCCCGAAGTCGGGGAAAGTGGCATGGGGTTTGTGAAACCGTCTAGTATTTCTAGAGTCATGATTACTACTCCGTAGATGGTGCGTCTATCAAAAATAATATTAATAGAATATGCGACCACTAATGGGCGCAAATATTCCTTCAGCCCCCGGATTGATCCTCATAACTACTCTGTAGACTAGGCTTAGCTTCGCGCAGAAGACGCCAGCGATAAGACATCGGATCGAGCTGAAATAAACCGAGTAGTACTACTGGTTTATGGCCCAACCACAACGATCCTCCACAGCATGTCGATCTTTGTGGCTTGGTCGAACCGCCAGAAACCAAACAAGCCTCGACCAGAATGTCTCAGGCTTCGGATCCTCCATGGAGGTGTTTTGCCTGCCAGCGCATCTGGGGTAAACTATTCAATGCACATAGCGTTGCTTGGTGCCTTAGAATAGCAATTGTATCAAACCAAGAGGGTGACAGGTGGCTGGATCCTACTCTTCGCTGTAACTACACTTCTGTTTGATCCTCTCCAGGCTCTGGAGGGGGCGGCAGAGAGGTATATAAAAGCGCCTTTTCCTGCTTGTGTTCTTCATATCTTCCAGCACAAAAATACAAACATTCCAACAATCCCACTTCGGAAGACTAAGCAATTATGAAGCTCTACTTGATCATCAGCATGATGCTCGCTGCCACTGGGTTTGCAGCAACCCTCGGCGCTAGAGATAGCAATGCTCTCGCTGCAGAGGTAATTCACACTCGCCTCATCAACGGCCAGATTTATTCCCCACTAACCTGTATATGCGTCCCAGTGTCCTGTCGACCGCCCTTGCAATACCAACCGAGACTGCGGCGCCAATTACTGCCGCTGCGTTGTTGTGAGTAGTTATCCAGTATTGGCAAACAGGATTGTCAGTCCCCACTAACGAGTTTCATTAGAACAATGAGGGTACCGATGGTCACTGCCGCCCATGGCCAAGCTAGACGACCGGATATCCTTGTATAAAGACAGGCTTTTCAGGCTTCTGGGGAGGTTCGAGAAATGTTATAGATTGATGTCGTCTTCGCCACCATGATGATATAGAACTTAATGAATATTTTCATGTTTCGTTTCTAGTATTCAGGAATTTTGCCAGTTTTTTTGCATCATCAATAGACTGTAAGGCAGGATGTATGGAGCGGTTAGTTGTGATGCTCCATTTGCTTTCGGCCAAAAACAACAAGAAGTGGAAATAAACTCGAACAAAGCTCATCACGTGATACTTACTTTCAACGACAGCCCAAGTAAATCAACGTCAACATGACATGAACAACACCCGTAAACGCGATGAGATCTCGTTTTCTGGCTAAATGTGCTATAGACCGGCGGGAAAAGCTGAGTTCTCATCTGGGCTATAGTCTGAACTGACACAGGGACATTTACTGCTCTTTCGGAAAAATTAGCGGCCAGGATCTACAAACAGAACAATATCAACATCAACAGGAGAGCCGCATAATACCCAGAATCATCTCATCCCCCCTCCTCCTCCCACATACCGAATAGATGAGGACTTGATTACACACGAAGAAAGGGCAGTTTAGATGACCCAAAGAGGCGTGCATTGACCTCCGGGCAATTCTCTTATTATAGTTGGATTTGTCCATGAGTGTCAGACGGAAATTGTATTTCCTCTACACAGGCATCCAGACGACCACGAGGGATGACGAGTTTCAAAGCTTTTCTCATTTTTTGACCTGACAGGCAGCTGGGCCAGGTTTCGTACCCGGGAAACTCAGCCCTGGTACTCCATACTTCCGGGATACTTTCCGGACTCGACAGGCTCTTGCTATGACTTTTTAAGTATCATACCCGTTTGTCCGACGGCCCCCTTGTTCTTGGCAGCTAGAACACGTCTCTTTATTTTAAATATATTTTTTCCTGACAAAACTGAAAAAAAGAGAGTGGAATTTTCGAAATGGCCCATGTTTATTATAACTCAGGGATGTGGAATGATATGTATGTTGCAATGAGACACAGGAATGCAGGATTATTCCACTAACTACTGTGTGAATTTGGTCCCTTCCATGCACCTCTGTGGCTCCAATGCATTCCTGACGGTAAGCGAGTAAATCATTATCTTTAATTCTCGAATTTTAAACTTACGCACTAGGTCCTCATTTCAGGAACTCTCCAATTGAAGCTTTTATGACAGAATTCAAATTCTCAAGGGCAAAAGTTCATTATCAGCTGAACTAAAATATACAAGTGAGGAAAATAAAAGTATAACAGAGGCAGTGGTGCCATCATGTTACATCATTTTGAGAAAATCAATCACATATGAAGGGGAGAAAAACGATCCTGTTCCTGATGCACCAGCTAACACATGGTTAGTTTTTTCATCGACATATCTCTCTGGCGCCGGTGAAGCCTATCCCAAAGGTTTCTTTTATTGCAAAACTTTGATTGGGCGGAGATTTACCTTCTCTCGAGGCCACCGAGTCATTTCATCGAGTCGGGGGTCAGACGGGAATCGAGTTAACAATTCGGCAAGTAGCCCAGCTCCTAGACCCTTAGCCCACCAGGTACGAGGTTCCATCAGATGCATGAGAACTGCCCAATGCATAAAGAGTAGCAAGACCAAAGGATTTCCACGTCGGGCTTCGCACACAGTATTTTTATCCAACATGCTCAGCCATGATAACACTAGACTTTGATCTTGCTTATCACGGAATATTGAGAAACATAGCTCAAGTTTCTGTACTAGCCGTTTGATAACGTTATAATCTTCGGTACTGGCAGACGCCATTGTCTCGTCCGTAAAGGCCATTAACCTTCGGAAGGCCATTTCGGTGCCTGGCTCATTGTTTACCGGGACATCTTCAGATTCTATCCTGATGCTTGATGAGAACCAGCTTATTTCTAACCAGCCGTGACTGACAGAGAAAATGCCTTTGACACCCTGCAATAGCTCAAATATTGCTATCACATCTTCTAGTACAGTCCCGCTCTCCCTGCGGCCTGGTGCTATCTGGGTCGATGAAAAAGTGAAGACTGTTGTGATAACAGCAAAAGCAAAGACTGCTTCACAGTTGGCCGGTGTGATGTTGTTTAGGGCCTCGCGGAAGGGTGACGAGGCAAGGGTATGGTATCGGATGGCTGCATCAAAGTATGAAACAACCTCAGATGGATGTTTAGCACCTGATGCTATATGCAGGGCTGCCAACCCCAATATTCCATCCATCAAAAAATGGCTGGATATCGCCAAGCGGGGAATATGGACCTGCCATGCGTATTTGTCCTCGGGAACGCCACAGAGGCTTTTATAGGAGTCGGTAGTGTATTTGTGGGCCAATTCGAACTCGAGCAAACGGACGGCTGGAGGGAGAGGGAGAATAGGTGGTGCTACAGGTGCTGGTGGGCCTGGACTTGGCTCGGTCTGTCCATTGTGATAATGGGTGCTGCTCGGGACGGAGGGTGCATTTGGTGATAGAGATGATTGTATTGGTGAAGCTTCCGCGGACGTCGTTGAGGCTGCTTTGACTCTGCGGGCCGCCGCCAAAGAGTAAACACAGTTTATCTCTCGATTCTGACAGTTGGTGCAAGGAGGACCACGTTCGTCGCACTAGACAAGCAGGAGAGAAACAAGAATAAGCATGGGGCCAGACAACTTAGCAGCCGATGGGGGTGGTGTGGATAGGGACATGAAATCTTCATATATTGCGATCTGGTCAGTGCATAGGCAGCAATGCCTGGCTGATCAAGCTTGGTCAACGACTAAGAGCAGAGATATACAGTGCCATCGACATTAGTATCGATGTCAACAGCATCGATCCCACGTCTTAAGACGACCCATAACTAATAGGATGGAAGGAGGAAGCATGCGGTGCAAGGGCAAAACGAACGAAAAAGCTCTGCTGGCTCGGACACCAACCCTACCTTTACTCGTCTCTGCTTGCACTGGTCGCATCCATTCCGCGACTTCTTGTGCGATCTCCGGGGCGCCATGTTTTGACCAGCAGTCCCGCCGCATTAATAACAGCCATTACCTGCCGGCATGTCCCAGAATGACAGGTCGCTCAGTGTCCGTTGGCCTGTCTACGTTCACCGTAGCGTGGTTGGGATAAGGCTTCCCGGGAGCGCTGGCCAATGATGCCGGCGGAAGGCCCGGATAATCCACCATCCAGCTCTGAGGCCTGCAAGATGCGATCACCCATTAAACACGCTACGAACCTCGCTTACAGGCTGCCGACGCTTCTCTGGGGCCTAGCTATTGCTTATTTTTCTAAATCTACCGTCTGGTTCGTACATAACATGCCTGAAAATGTACGGGTTTACGGGAGACATGGTCGACCCCGTGGAGCCCACCCAGGGTTTGGGGCACCTAGAGAGAAAACGAGAGCGAGAACGAGCGCAGGGAAGCGAGAACGATTTGATATCAAGCCCTCCCTTGCCCTCGTCCTTGCCGAGCCTTTAATGAATGATGCAAAAATTATGCATGATTCATCGGCTTCATACTTATCACAGGCGATGTCCTTCTCATTTGTTCCTTGTTCCTTTTTTGGCTCCGCTGGTTCCTTTCCTCCTACTTTATGTCATAACGGCGGACGAAGGCTCGATATAATAATACCCTTCGCTATCAAAAGCTGCTCAATATCAGACGGAAGAAAATCAGATCAAATAAATTAAACAATAATGGCACCACCGAGCTTTGCTACCTGTACAGAGGTTGGGCCAGCGTGCCCCGTCGAGGCCACTACCTACGGCTACTATCCCCAGCTTGGGTCAAATGCCTTCCTGACCGCATTCTTCGCCTTTCTAGCTCTCGCCCAGCTAGGTCTTGGAATCTTCACCCGCACCTGGTCCTTCCTGATAGCGTTGTTCATGGCATGTGCCCTCGAAGCGGTCGGTTACGGTGGGCGTTTGCTCATGAACAAGAATCCTTGGTCGAAAGATGCCTTTCAAATCCAAATCGTCTGCCTCATCCTGGCCCCAACCTTCCTGGCCGCCGGCGTTTACCTGACGATTAAACATATCGTACTCTTCGTTGGCCCAGAGCATTCCCGTATCAAGCCAAAGCTATACACCTGGGTGTTCATTTTGTGTGATATCGGCTCCCTCATACTACAGTCGGCTGGTGGTGGTGTTGCTGCCGCAGCAACGAAGAAAAATTTCAAGCTCTTGAACGTCGGCAATGGTATCATCATTGCTGGTATTGCCTTCCAGGTAGCTACCATGTCAGTTTGCGGGCTGCTTGCCCTTGAATTCTTCATCCGGGCATACCGAAGTGGAAAAGGTTTTTCCTCCAGTGGTTCATCCCATGGAGCTGCAGCACGTAGGTCCTTCTGGATCTTCTGTGCTGCGGATGCCTTTGCCTATATTGTGATCCTGATTCGATGCATCTACCGGTAAGTACTCAATGTATCGTCTTCCAAGCCATAAATACTTACTAGACGGCTATATAGTCTGCCTGAGATGGCTGGCGGCTGGGGAAACCCCCTTATGCGAAACGAGAAGGACTTCCTGCTGCTTGATGGAATGTAAGACTGACGTAGCTCATGAACATACTCTCAATTCATCGCTGACGCGCCTCTAGGATGATTGCTTTGGGTGCTGCCACGTTCACCATCTTCCATCCGGGATTCTGGTTTCCTCCTATGCGAAAGGGCGGTGCAGCATCAAAAGACCTCCAAGGTATTCCTCCAAGCGAGGGAACCAGTGTAAACAATCCCGCCGAGAAGTAAACGGATTCGGCACCCGAAAGCTACATGATCTTCCCTTAATTTTCTTGTTTATTCTGAACCTTCAGGACTGGTGTTTGTTACTTGATGTACCAACTTTCCTTTTTGATTCCTATTCCCTGACATATTGTGCTTAATGTGCCTTTTTAGCGAAGCGATCTCCTCTATTATCTTGATACACACTTCTTGCGACGTATATAGATGGTCTATTTATTAGGATCAATTGGATTTCTTACACTGGTAAGCCCGAGTTTGCTTGTGAATCTTATAGATCGTGAGGCAAGAGAGTTTCGGGGGCTGAGGTATGTCGTCATAACCCTTTTCCTTCCAATCATGTCTCTACACAAGCTGATGGCAACTGGATATCTCGCCTCTAGATATCTGGGAGGGGTCCCGTCTTCCATGAATTGCATTATATGGTGATTCTTTACCGGTATGGCTGTCTAGCACGTCTATAAGACTATATACTGACAATACAGTATAAGACTCTCTCGCTACTTCGACGATAAGGAATACCGTCAACATGTCTCCGTCGAAGCAAATATTCAAGTGTATCGGCATCGTTGGAGCGGGAAACATGGGGGCCACGATGGCGTTTGGCTTTGCTGAGAGGGGTATCAAGGTATCACTCTGGGATGCAAACGCTGAGAATGTTGAAAAGGTGATGAACAAAGTCGAAGGAGAAAGGGGAGTGCAGGAGAACATACGACCATTCCGCGACATCCATGAGTTCGTTAAAAGCGTTGACGTAGCAATCGATCAGGACGGACGGGGTCGTCGACCCTTCATATTCTCAATCACCCATGGCTGGCCGGCTGATTGTGTCCTGGCCTCAATGATGGATGATCTTGAAGATGGAGACATCATACTCGACGGGGGCAATGAAAACTATCGAAACACCGAACGAAGACAGGAAGAGGTGGAGAAGCAGGGAGTTAGTTGGATTGGGATGGGGGTGTCAGGGGGTAATCACTCGATCAGGCGTGGACCTAGCCTAGCGCTTGGAGGCGACTCTGATGCCATTCGGGTTGTGATGCCCCTGTTGAAAGAGTTTGCAGCGCAGGACGCTCGAACCGGTGAATCTTGCGTGGCGAATGTCGGAACCAGGGGTGCAGGCCACTATGTCAAGATGGTTCACAACGCAATTGAGAATGGGATGCTGTCCACCATATGCGAGGCCTGGGCGCTGCTGCACTATGGCCTGGGCAAATCATACGATGAAATCGGTGATATATTTGAGAACTGGAACACTGAAGGGCCCTTGAGGAATACGTTCCTCATCCAGATAGGGGCCAGTATCTGTCGAGAAAACAAGAAATCATCTGGGGAGGACGCCGGCAAGAAACAAGCGGGCGACAAGCCCAACCTGCTCGATAACATGTCTGATGTAGTAGGGCACGGAGATGATGATGACACTGCTGGCACATTGTATTGGTCTGTTATGGAAGCTGCAGACCGGCACGTCTCTTGCCCCAGCATCGCAGCAGGCCAATTTCTCAGAGTTTCCAGTGTGAACAGGAGACAACGACTCAGAGTGGCTCAGAAACTAGGTATTGCACCGCCGAAGAAGCTCACGCATATCCATGATGTCCCGACATTCATCGAACAGCTTCGAGACGCAGCGTACGTTTCCATCCTGGCTTCATTCTGTCAAGGACTCGAGCTTATTGCCCGTGGATCCAAGGATGAGAAATGGAACACAAATTTAGGGGATTGTCTGAAGATCTGGCGGGCTGGTTCCATCATCCAGGCAGAGTACATATCAGACCTGCTGATGCCGGCCTTGACATCTGGAGCTCACATAATGAACATGAAGCTAGTGGATGAAGTTGCTGATGCCATGAACAAGAATTTTGATCCCCTGAAACAGGTCGTCTTGAAGGGAACCGAGTCTGATGCGTATATACCTTCCTTGTCTGCGAGCTTGGAGTATCTGAAGTATGAAGGAGCCAAAATGCTACCAACGCAGTTTATGGAGGCAGAGCTGTCTTTCTTCAATGCCCATCGTTATGAATGGCCGGGTATCAGGGGGTAGCTAAGAACGAAACCGCTTACCCTGCAAGGACTGCAAGACCTGCATGGAATGTCCCTTTCTCCCTCGGGGGGTTTTTTTCGGTTGATCTATCAAATTTATCTTCTCGGTTTCAGCTTCAGCTAATGTTTTATATTCATCACGTGTTTGGTATTGGTTTATTTACATGAAAGCGTTCTTGAAACAAAAACCAAGGCATGGCTAATATCAGATAACTAGTTATCAGAATGACCAAATGAAATGAAAGAAATGAATCAAATTTGATAAATATTCTCTAATAAAACAATAATCCAATGCGCAAAATGGGGTATGCAAATGCAGGCTAACTATGAAGGACATGGGAACGGCAGATCGAAAAGAAAGAAGAAGAAAGCTAGAGTAGTCATAGATGGATCTTCGACCTCGAGCCGGCATTTGAAAGGCGTGGTCGTCTCTGTCTACGCTCCCGTCGTGAGCTGGTCTGGATGAAATACGGCTCTGCAGCCGAGCCGTTCTGTGGGAGATGCGGCGGTGTCTCTCTCGTGAGCTGCAGCAGCTTGAACTGCTCCGTGGATATGATACCCATGCAATACATATGGCGCATGAGATCAAAGTCAGGACACGGCTCCACCTGGCCACCGGCTCCCCATCGTGGATGTTCAGCAAGGATATGATCTAGCATGTTCTGCCATGCCTCTCCTCCCACAGGCTGTTGTTGGTGTTGAAGGTGATGCTGATTCGGCATTTCCAGTTGTAGCTGAAGAGGCTGGTTCTGCGGATTTGAGAAGACCTGCTTGCATACTATGCAGCTGACTTTGCTCGGAGGAGAATGTGACATGAGATGGCCGGTGACGTGAAGTTTCCAGTCCTCGGGGTCTTCGAATGATTTATCGCACTCGAATATTCCAGCGAATATACACTTGAGAGCGAACGGCTCTAGGGTCTCGTCATGGTCAGGGAAAGGAGCGGGCAAGGCGACGACAGGGCCGCCGTCGTTTTGGTGGAGGATTTTAGGCCTGGAGGTATAGATATGCGGGCTCCGTTCTGTTGAGTCGATGCTGGAGCCAGAAGGCATCGACTGGGATGGGCAAACCGAGACAATCATGCTGAAAGTCGGTGTACTTTGCTTGCTCGTTCAGAGGCCGATAACAAGACGACGGACAGGGCTCAATAGTTAGTTACTGCATCGATGATTCCGGCCAGTGGACGAACTCGAATAAGTCGAATTATACGGCCAGGATAGTCAGTTAACTAACTATGCAACAGAAGACGCTGGAAGGGCAGCAAAGTCGACTTTTGAATAGCTTATACGCCCTCCTGCAACACCCGATCAGGTATATGCGATATCGAGTCCAGGACCGAAAACAGAAAACACGATGATAATAAATACGTCTCGTCTATCCGAATTTCCCTTCTTCCGGCCCCTCCCACGGAATTGGGCGACCCTTTTTGTCCCTCTCTTCTCCGACAAGGATCAAATCGAAGGGTGTGGAATCGCACTCACATCTCCATCAAATTTGGGCACAAACCGCTGCATAAAAAGAAGCCAAAGACGCAAAGAATAAAAGGAAAATAAATCGAACCCGGGCAATCCCAGGCCAATTGACTATTATTTTTTTTCTCTTCAACCTTTGTGTGGCTTGCGGCAAGTCAGAGCTAGCCACGTCGGTGTCCCACTCGCATCTGCATGAGTTGCGGGGATGAAATGGCGGTTTTTTTTTTTTTTTGATAAACGGGCAGCCAACCGTTTGATGCTGTCGTGCTTAACCGGAGCCATGACATTGCGGTTAATGGCTTGTATGCTGCGGTTATGTCTGCAAGTATCTGGTGACGGTGATGCTACTGGTAGGCAATTTTGGTTGCCGTGCTGTCAATCCAGAGGGGCTACTACCATACCTCCTCCCTGGGCTGACCAGCTGTTCGCTGAGGACTGGCTTGGTTGATATCTCCGACTTCATCTACAGGATGAGCGTGTCCCCTTTGGATGAACTGGCCCTAGGACCAAGTGTACGGCTTCTGGCTCTTCTGCATGGGCTGTTATGGCCTTGAGCCCAAGTAAAAACCGGGAAGATTAGGCTTATCAACTTTCCTTGGTCGTTTGCGTCGGTGACTGGTGGAAAAGTCGTCGGTAGATCCCGATTCTCCAGCCAGAGGCTGACTGTAACTATGCCTAGAGCTGGTAAACATGTATATTCTTCAAAGTAGGGAATGCTATGTAGATGTTGTGGCATTTAAGAAAGCTGCATATTTGGCAGCTATATTCGACAGACGTTTGATGAAATAACCAACCCTTAACTTCCTATCCGGAGGGTCTTCACACATAATCCTTCTTCAGCAAAAAAAATAATAGTTTGACTCTCCAGCAAGATAAATAACTAACTAGTAGCTCGTCATCAAAGGGGACTCACCATCCCACACAAGAGTTTTCACTCAACTGACATAGGTTCCCTCAGTAGTAGTTAGGGAATAATGGTCTTTATACCCGTGGACAAGTACTGGGTCCTCGGGTAAATTTGTTCCTATCTTTACAGTGTCGGTTAGCTGGCATCCTCGAAAATATCAGGATATGCAATGCAAACAATCAGCCACCTAAATAACCAGTTAAACAATCAACTAACCAGTTATCGGAATATGATTACTCTATTACTTTAGTTAAATATGTTATCTACATAGATAACTAGTTAAGCTTAGTGTTAGCTCTTACAGTCATAGTAATTTCTCCCTTAGCCAGTTTCCGCAAGTATTCCATGGCATATAAGTACATATTTACACAGCCGAGGTTCATGAAATTCTATAGTGTAATACCAAAGGGGCTATTTCACATAAACAACGGTCGTGTTGTTGGCTTGCGCGCCTATCCTGGCCCTCGACGGCCTCCCGGGCTATTCGATCTACTCACATACTGGGGGTATGGTTCGGCAAAATGCACTCAACCTAGCCGCTCATCAGCATGAGAACACTAAACTCTCGATACAACTGATATAAACATGTATATATAGACTGATTCATGTCAACTGTGACAAATATAGCGCCAAACGGGGCTTCGATGCGGTCTAATACTTTAAAGGTGCGGCAGACTGTCGACAGCCTCAGAGGGAGTTCAGTGTGTATATACACACTCGATGCAGGTCAGTCAGAACGCAGCAGACCTGACTAGTTAACTTTTTCATCTCGTTGGCGATTCACTGGGTATACTGAGTATAGATAGGCATTAGAATACCAGACGATCTGATACTGGTCCATGAGATTAAGGATCATTACTCCCGGCAGGGCCAGGGAGATCATGACAGTAGGGGATAGGCTAACAACCACTTGTACGTAACTGCCCAGATCTCGATGCCAAAATCACTAGCTTCCTCCAGAGGAGTGGCCGGTGTCTTTCAAAAGCAGAGTGGCAACGAGAGTACCCGGAGGCGACGGAAACGGAGTAAAGCAGATGTACGTAAAATGGTTCGTGTACGGAATATTGGCTAGTTAGTTCGTTAGTTAATATCCATGGGTTTCCCAGTGTTCAATCTATATCTAATATTAGCTCGTAATTATACCGAGGGTTGAGTGTACGGTAGTATTAGTTGGTTACTCTGATGGCTACACCTGCCGGATATCAATGCCATAGTAAAAGGACGAGCTCGGAGATGTCCTGTGGATGCGTAACCATCGGCTAATAATAATCATATATCTCCATACACGCGCCCTCCACGGTGGGTTCTACTGTTCTCGACTAGTTATTTCGTTGGGTCGGTTCTCGAAGCTGTGGTTCAGGGGTAAACGTTCTGATACTCCACCATCTTCGGGAGATTAAGACTCGGAGCATCTCAGACAGCCGCGATGGCAACTCTCCAGGGCCAAGGAAGGCTGAAAATAGCGGTTCAACGATGGTTTGATGCACTGGAAGTGCAGTTAACTATTGCACTGACAAGGGCTGGGCAGGGAGGAAAAAAGGGGTTAGAGATATCACCCAGCAGCCAGCAGCATGCATGCATGGCATCAACTTGCCTTGGTGCACCAACGGAGAAGCACTCGAGGTCCGGACAAGATAACCTCAAACGGCATGCACTATACTTCTTCTCCGTCCGGTCGGAATGGCGTCTATTTAACTAAATGACTTACACGGGAAAAAGCAATGACTGGAACAACCACAAGCCTTTGCTATACGAGCTCGATCATACCGGAATCGAGAGAACTCCGTCATTTCCCTGAGATTGACTTCCAGCAGAGCATCGACACCAAGCCAGACATGGAGTCTTCTCCGACTCGCGCCTCCAGGCCTTGCGAGCAAGCGAGTCAGGGGTTCACTTTTTGCTCCCGGGATCAAAAAAATAGACGATAGATGCACGGAATATCTTGTCTTCGACAGATCAAGCCTATCGGATCAACTTCACCAGCCAGACCTTCAGGGGAGGCGAAAATCTTCCTACCACTTGCCCCTGGTCAAAGGCCGCTGTGGAGAAGCCTCTCCCGGCTCAAGGAGATATCCGTCCGACTTGGGTAGGACGGAGTATACGGAGTATATATAAGTAGGCTTGGATGAGCCGCAGAGAGCAGGCGGATAACTATCCAGAATACATCAGCATGGCCCGTCTCGCTGGCCTCCTCGCCCTTTTTGCGGCAGTGACCGCTGTCACCGCTGCTCCCAGCGCACTTCATAGAAGACAAGATACATCCACTACATCCACCGCTCCCGTCGATGCGAAGCCTCAATGTCGATGTTACCCCGGAGAGCCCTGCTGGCCCAAGCAGAAGCAGTGGGATGCATTCAACAGCACCATCGGCGGAAAGCTGGTGGCTACCGTCCCAATCGGCAGTCCATGTCACGATAGCTCCTTTGGCCCCCTCGACCCGACGGCCTGTACTGCTCTCAAGAGCAAATGGAACGATCCAGCAACCCATTTCACCAGCTCGTCGTCTATTATGTCCCCCTTCTTCGCCAATGCAAGCTGCGATCCGTTCCTATCGGCAAACACCCAGTGTGTTACGGGCACATATGTCCAGTACGCCGTCGCCGCTACTAGCACAGATGACTTCCAGAAAACCATTGCCTTCGCCAAAGACAGAAATCTGCGTCTCGTCGTGCGTAACACTGGCCATGATTTCTTTGGGAAGTCTACTGGCGCAGGTGCCCTGGCTATCTGGACTCAGGGGATCAAGGATGTTACTCCCATGAACTACCAATCTGGCGCCTACACCGGCCCGGCCATGAAGATTGGTGCCGGTGTCCTTGGCCAGGAGGTGTATGAGGTTGCTAGCCAGAACAATGTCGTTGTTGTGGGAGGTGCTTGTCCGTCCGTTGGTATTGCTGGTGGATATACTCAGGGAGGTGGTCACAGTCTGCTCACCACCAAGTACGGTATGGCTGCGGACCACGTTCTCGAGTGGGAGGTTGTTACACCCAATGGAGACCTTGTCGTTGCATCTCCGTCCCAGAACCAAGATCTATACTGGGCCCTGTCCGGCGGCGGTGGAGGAACATACGGCATTGTTCGATCTATGACCGTCAAGACCTTCCCGGAGCTCAAGACAGCCGCAGCGACTCTCGCTTACTCCAGCACCGGCATCAACCCAGATCTATACTTTGATCTCTTCAAGATCTTCCTCACCTGCATGCCAGCTATTGTCGAGGCCGGTGGATCCACCGTCTGGATTCTCACGCCGCTGGGTTTCAAGGTTGCCCCTGTGATGATTCCTGGCTCGACCAAGGACGCCATCGATACCATCCTTCAGCCTTTCCTCCAGAAGCTGAGAGACAATGCTATTCCATTCCGTATGTCATTGCAATATCATCCCTCCTCCCCATGTGTGTTCCCGGCTAACCAGGTGATATATAGTATACTCCAATGTCGACTATGCATCTTACCACGATGCCTTTCAAGCAACGACTCCATTCAAGTCCCTCACCGAAACCCACACCGGCGGCAGACTTATCCCCAAGTCCCTCGTTTCAACGGATGATGGACTCAACCAGTTTGTCTCTGCCATGCGAGCAATCGTTAGCAAGGGACCCTTCATCTCTGGTCTCAACCTAGATGCCTCCAAGAAGACCGACTTCGCGGACAACTCCGTCAACCCTGCATGGCGGGACGCAGCCATGCACATCATTCTCTTAACGTATGTCTGCCTTTCTTCCATGAATATTGACCAAACTTACTGATGTCTCTTAATAGCCCCTATAATCACAATGATTGGAACGCTGCCCAGGCAAACCAGCGTGCAATGACAGAGCAGATTGTCCCCATTATCAAGAACATCACCCCGGGAGGTAGTTGTTATCTGAACGAAGGAGATTTCAACGAACCAGACTGGCAGCGGACCTTCTATGGGTCCTCATACCAGAAACTCCTCAGCATTAAGCAGAAGTACGACTCTTCAAACATGCTCTGGGGTCGCACCGCTGTTGGTAGTGAGGCCTGGTATGAGACTGATGATAAGCATCTCTGCAAAGCATGAAGTTGATTTGGGATGTATATACGTATCTCTATGGAGCGGCATTAATGTTTTCAAGGCCTGCGATCCAGAATAGAACTGTACATAGTTAGTATAGTTTGACTTGATTCTAGAATTTTAATAAATAATGGCTAATACTCTCATGATTTATCCTTTCCAAATGTTTCTATCTTTCCAATGTTTGTGACTCTGTCAACCCAAAGACTCAGACAATCCAACATCAATAAATCCAAAAAGATATAATCGTCACATCATAGCGTCGTTAATTCTTCATGCGTAGTTTATCAAGAGCAAGATCTGCTGCTTTTGCTCTGACCTGATTTTGGCTCACTCCATCTTCAACTCGAGATATCTCCTGGTCTCCAACCAGGACCTGACACTTCCACTGTGTAACTCCCGGTTTCACATGAACGTCTGACACAATGTATTTCACACTGAGGGACTGAGCGACTATGCCGAGACGTTGTTTCGGGTGCATAAAGTCAATGCCATCGTCCTCTAAAACACGACTGAGATAGCCCATCAGACCAATGCGTGCAAGAAACTTATGACATGCCATTATCGAGCCGCGTGAGTCAATGAATATCGCTCCCAGGATACTCTCGACAATATCCGAGAAGAACTTGGGTGCATTGAGTGTCGAAAGTAATGTCCAGGGGTATCTGGTGCCCGACCGCAAAGCGTCATCTATCTCATCACGCAATTTCTCAAACGTACAGGCCATAGCCTGTTGGGTCTCGAGAATATCCAAACTCGCCGAATGAGCCATATACTGCCACAGGGACACCCGGCGGGTAGACGAGGTGACCTTAACATTCCCTGTTGGAGACGCGCAGACATCTTCTCGCCGCTCGTCCGTGGATGTTTTCATGCAGAGGAAAGCAAGGAAGTCAGCGTTGACCAATGCAGTGCGTATCAGGTGCATGTCTTGATGAGGAATCTCTTTGTCACAGCGGAACAACGCCCTCGTAACCACGTTATCTAAAATCGAATCCCCGAGGAACTCGAGCCTCTGATACGTCATTCCACTAATTAGATTGCTGGGGTGCGACAAGGAGGCGGCCAGGAGTGCCCTCTTGGTAAACGAGTAATCGATCAGGGGTTCGATCTTCGACAGGATATCGCGAGGGAAATCATCGCTAAAGTCTGGTGCGGAGTCGTAAAGAATTTCTACCCGCTCGCCGGATGGTAGCCAGTTGATCTCTGGTAAAAATAGCTCCAGGCAACGTAACACTTTGTTTTCTCCCCCATCAACGATGGCTGCCCCAATTAAAGATTCGACAACATCTGCAAGGGTTTTGGTAGACAGCTCTCTGGTTTGTTCCCTGCGGGCTGTCCCCACATTGTGCCTGTATGTAGAGTTGTATAGCGGCCGCCATTTCGCGCCGGTGAAGCATGTTGTAAGGATGAACCTGTCTAGCCCTGTGTCAACTGCAGCCTTCCAGAGCCGAGAATTGGATACGATAGAGTCCTTCTTTTTCGACAATATGCCTTCGTGCCAGATTGGATGGTCGGCCAGAAGCTGCATAGATGCGTGTAGTTTCAATGCACTGTCTCCAAGGAATTCCAGGCGTTGGTAATTCGTATTCTCCCTTGCTGAGGTAGCAGTAATTGCTGTTAACACTAGCTTTATATCTTTGAATCCAATAGAAGACAGTATGGTGTTAGATAGATCCTCAGCCAGCAAGAAGCGTCCAATACTGTGTATCAGGGATGGGATGAAGAGGGCAAATTTAGTGAACCCCATAGGTAACATGGATATAGAGCTTTGTCGAGCAGGAATACAATTCCTTGAAGTGTGATGCAATTTAGAGTCAGAAATATTGGCAACTGGGTGTAAAAAGTCTGTTCGCTTCGGCCACTTTTCTCCTTCGAGGTGCAGTATCTCTTCCTCGTCCTCTTCGTCCTCTGCGGATTCATTGTCACTTGCTGCCCTGACGGGTTTCATCCATAAAACTTTTTCTACTGTCCATGCTCTAGCATTGATATCGGTCCTCCTTGCAAGGCCAAACTTTTCAATTGAGCCTTGAGCGCAGCTTTCAATTTTGTCTCCCGAAATAGTCTTGATGACATTATTGCACCATGCTTCAAGATCTCCTTGTTCCTCGTCAAGATCAGGGACAAATATGCAAGAGAAATCATGGGAATCTCCATTCATCCTAGTTGGGAACACAGAAGATAAAAGAATACGTGTAGCTAGAGGACTCGAGACAATATCTTCGTCGGAGATGGACAATTCCTCCGGTGAAACTGATACCGAGAGAGTGCTCTCCTCATTCCAGAATAGGTTGAGAGTAAAACCGCACGGAAGATGTATTGGTAGAATTAGTAGCATTCTCGGTAACTCCTCTGTGCCTGAGCCTATGACAACACTGCTCTGATAGAAGGTATCGGTAGTTTGCCACCGATCAGCAACCATTTTCCAGGGGGTAAACACCTCGGAGCATGTTGTCATGCTGGAGTGTTTTTCAACATGTGCTGTTTCTTCGTCAGTGGCACGGCAATGTTCCGGCATCAAGTGGTCGTTAACTAGGCCGGCCTTATAAAGTTGCAAATATGCTTGAAATGCAGCATCTCTTTTGGCCATCTTCTCCTTCTTCCATGCTTCAATTCCTTCAAAGTCACGAAACTGATGATCCAGAACTGTGGGGAGAAGTACTTTAGCGGTTAACAAATCTTTAATGCCTACCTTCGAAATGATGAAGTCAGGCTGGGTGTCTGTGAATTCACAGGGCAATGTTGAGCAAAAGTGGGAGAGATGCGAAGGAGCGTTCTCAAGGGTTAACAAAGCTCTGCCGGAATAAACAGAAATTATCAGCAAAGAATCCCAAGAAGGTAAGCGAGGGATGGTATCATACCCGGTCGATTCTATTCTAAAGCTTTCATATTCAACTTCCTCTTCATCTTCCTGTTCCAAGAGGCTGTCTATAAATGCCTTGTTGCTCGAGTACTTTTCTTTCATAATATCTTCCATGGCTTCCCAGTCCTTTTTCGTTGTGGTATCATCTTCAGCATAGAAGATAACAAATTTTGAGCTTGCCTTTCTTGCTCTACCCCGTCTTTGGACAAAGGACCGTAGCTGTTTCGGAGGATCAAAGCAGACAACGAGGTCGCATGCGGAAACATCTATGCCTTCTTCAAGAACAGAAGTAGCAATAAGTAAGTTCTTTTTGCCAGATCTCAAATCATCTATGGAATCTTTCATGTCTCCGGCTTTGCTGAGCTCGGTTATATCTGATTTCCTGGCAGCAAAAGCAGAGTTCCCTAGAAAATAATCCGAGTTTACGTGCGTTAGCCTGGGGTGATGGGAAATCAGATGAGTGAGCATAACGGCCGTTGCTCTCTGTTCAACGAAAATTATGCCTCTTGATGCACCTGTGAGTTCTGACGACAGGATGTGTACCAAATGTTCGACCTTCTCTGAAATTACATCAGGAGGCGCGTTCCAGCATCTCTCACCCATAATTTCAACCACGGGCTTCAATGCATTGCATATAAAGGAGGTGTCATCCCGATCCCACTCAGACCAGTTCTGGTCTAGAAGCTTTGTCTCCTTCTCGCGAGCCCGTCTGTATACCTCAGAAATATACGTCGACGAAGCCCATTGCCCAAGTTCACCAAACATATGGCTGATTCGGCGGCAGCATCGCTTCAACTGAACGAAACAGGGTGTTTTCCTAGCAGCGACAAGGCTGAATCTTTCTAAGCTTTTGCGGTCTGTTTTCCCTTGATATCTTTGGAAAAAAGGATCGTACTTCGTATCTATATCGTTTAACATGGATAGGAATTTGAGTTCCATATTCAAAGGTATTATCGAGTCATTCTGATACGAAACTTTTCGTAGCTCTGGTATATGCACAAATTGCATCATATCCTCACGGTGAATCGTGGGTGTTTTACAGCAAGCATGAAGATTTTGTTCTAGCTGTCTACTTTCCGTTAGCCAGCCGTTAACTGATGTCTCTAACTAAGTATGATCAGCTAAATACTCACCTCAGGGCATTTTCTATTAAACTGGACGTGGGACTGGCAGTAAGGCCGAGGATATACGGGAGATCGTTCGTCTCACTGAGCTGGTCCTTCCGTGCATGATAGAAATTTTGCATAATCCTATTTTCAGGGGAGGACTTGACACAATGGTGTGCTACATATAGAGAAATTAGCAACCAGAGAGTACCTTAGCAAGGTAATATAATTCAAATACCTTCATCAAAAATGAGCAATGCTATTCGTTGTAGGGTAATAAACCCATTTGACAGGGCATCTAGAAGGACCTGGGGTGTTGAGACGACAATCCTGGTATTTAGCAGAAACGCATCCCATATCTTCTGTGTAGACCAACGTTCCAGGTTATCCGCTCCAGTCAGGATCTTTGTCTGAAAGGCAGGGAGCTGACTGGAAATAGCCCTATACTGTTGCTCAGCAAGGGGGACCTTTGGGGCCAGAAACCAGACAAGCTATACACCAGTCAGTATTGTGCGTCCTTTGGCTTGGTTGTTTGGGAGGATTCACACCTTGTCATTAGAACACCTTTCCAGTTCGTGTCTGATGCGAAGAATGGCACTGCATAAATAACAAGTTATATTAGAAGAAGCTTGGTTACTCAGTTGACCGTATGTTAGCATGACGGCCGGTGTATATAATTCACTGACATTTGGGTCTTCCCACTTCCAGTGTCCATCTTGTTACGATATCAGCAATCATACACAGACACGAATGAATGCATAGAACTAACCGCAACTATTATATTCTGTTTAAGGCTCTCCTTCAGCATCTCGATCTGATATGTTCTTGATTTCACCATAGCTGGAGCAGCCTCCTGGTCTTTCGGACTTTCTTCATGCGCTGCTTCACCTTGAGACATCCCGCCTGAGCCAGAAGTTGACCGAGGCCGTTTTCTACCCTGTTTATACTCCTCCAGGGCGGGCATCTCGCCAGGAAGCTCCAGCTTCGCGGCGGCCACGCAGCGTTGTCGTGAAGTATTGATTTGGCGGCTGTGGTCAAAATCAAAAAGATGTGCCTGGTGGGTCTTGGGGCGACTTCTTGGTGTGTAGCTAAGGGAGAGAGATATCAGAGATAAACACACCAGGGTAGCAAAACACAGCGACGCCGTGATGAAGAGGAATATTCTCGCCTGCCAGGACGAACGAGCTTAAAGACTGGAGGGGGATGGAATTCTCCGGCGCTTTTTAGCCATGCATGGGCACGAAACCCCGCCTTGCATGCATAAATATACAAATGGCCGTCGGCATGAAAGAAACTAAATAGGGAGCGGACACATAGAAGGATTTCACCATGGCTCAGAAGCTTTCATTACTGATGATAATTTATGGTAAATGTAGGTCTATCATAGATTGGTCAGGTAGTCTTCGATCTCCTCCTTACTGAGCTTTCTGAACCGAGGACCCCGGGCTCCCTCAATGCCCTCGTATCCGAGCAGATGGTGTGCCGGAGGACCGACAATGCCTATATACATGGGTTAGCTGACGGTGGTTTGATGACAGAAGAGAGTTTTGGTTGAACCCACCGATTTCAATGGTATCACCGTTCATTTCACCTTCGATCGTCTCCTTCAGCGTCAAGAGAGCGATGTGCACGGCGTCTTCCAGCTCTAGACCTTCGGTATATCTCTTTTCAAGGAAGGTCTTTGCACTAGTAGAGCTCTTTCCAATGGCTGTGGCCTTCCACGGGAAATAACTTCCACTGGGGTCGACCTGGTACAAGCTTGGTCCGCCCTTCAAAATACCTCCCGTCTTCCCGGAAGCCTTTTTCTTCTCAGCTTCTGTCTCTCCCTCCTTGGCTTCCGCAGTTTCGGGTTCAATACCGTCATCCCACCCAGCAATGAGCAAGCTAACACCATAGGGCCGGACACCGCCGGACTGGGTAGCTTCCTGTACAACTCGGGCGACGTCTTGTACAAGTATTCTGGTAGGCGGATACTCGTTGTAGATGCGCTTGTAGTTTGTGTGAGAGGTCTTGCGGGCCTTGTCGACGAGCACGCGGTAGTCTGGGCCCATGCCAGAGTAGACCATGCCAATATCCGGGGTGATCAGGGAGACTTTGGAGAGCGAGGGGGGATCGACAAGAGGGCTCGTTGACTTCTTCTCTGTAGCTAGGACTACTCCATTTGTGGCTAAGAATATGGCAGCATCAGCAATCGGTTCGATATGGGGATAAGGATATCTCGTGTAGCTCAGCTTACCTTTAATTCCAAGGGCAGTTACACCTTGGTTGACAGCGTTTAGAGCATATTCTGGAGGCAAATTAGCTTGATACTGTATCTTGCTGGTCGAGGCTCAGCTGCCATACCAATCTGAACTAGTTTCCCACTGCATCAAGAGGTCAGCTTCAAGCTCACATCCACAATATCAGGCCGCAGTAACTTGGGCAGTACAGTACGTACCTGGGGGAGAAGGTTGTCAGCGAGAACGAGTAACGGTCAGCCATGGCCAAAGGACGGAATCGAGACGGCGAGCTTGAAATGCGAAAGGCACGGTCTGTCAGTAACGCGCGGAGTCTGCTGCTGTCGTCTCCAAGCTGTGCTGCGTCGTCTTGCTTGTTTCTTCGTCTTGCTCGTCTTTGAGATCCCAAGGCAGATGTTGACGCGGCTCCATAAATGGCAAGATTAGCCGCACGGCTAAACTTGCTCTTTCGGGCGATCTGGCCAGCTTTCTGTTTTTTTGTTTTTTTATTATTATTTATTTTCGTTCTTTTTCAACGACGTCGAAGCTTCAACCGCTTGGATATAAAAGACGAACGAGCAGGCTGCTTGTTGCTCTTCGCGCTGACTCCAGGACCGGTAGACGATGTTACGTTCCCTGACTGGACAGCTGACAACGGATGTGCATGTTGAAGCTGGCTGAAAAGCGTGCCTGATTTCTCTATTGCCACTACATAATACACACAATTATAATATTCTCTAGGGACCATGGACTCGACTCCATCATGGCAATGGCCAGAAGCTGCTAGTACCGCCAATTTTCGACCAGAAAGTGATACGGCCACTGCAGAGCCTGAGCATGCGGAGACAAATGGGCAGCCTGCGCCGGAACCCAAGACATATCCCAATCGGACGTGCAGGATATGCCTCGAGAGCGTACCACCCACCACGCATCTGCCGTCAGATAGCTTCCCAAGCTTCCTACAATCAAAAATCCGAGTGACATACGAGTCCTCGGACCCCGAGCTGGGACGTCTCCTTCGGCCCTGCAAGTGCAAAGGCTCGTCAAGATACGTACATGAGGGGTGTCTGAGGCTTTGGAGGAATGCTGACCCCGCATACGGGAGACGCAACTACTGGCAGTGTCCGACCTGCGGGTTTGAATATAGGCTGGAACGAATGACATGGGCAAAGTGGATCAACAGCCGAGTTGCCCAGTTGACGCTCACTGCAGGAATCCTGCTTTTCACCATATTTTTGCTTGGGTTCGTGGCGGACCCAATTATCAATTTGTACCTAGATCCTCTTGATACCATTACCGGTGACTTATGGGACGATGGTACGGAGAGGTTGCCGTTAGAGGATACGAGTTCGACCTGGTTTGAACATCTTATGAAGGGACTTGCATCGCTTGGGGTGCTCTCCTTTTTGAAAGTGGTGCTCGCTGCATCGCCGTGGCAGTGGTGGAATCTGCGCAACTCCGGACTCCTCGGCGGGTCAGGTCGGAGATCAGCTAACACAGGGAGGAGCAGGGCTGCATCGGTGAGCTGGATAGTGCTTGCTATTGGTGTAGCTACATTTCTATGGGTATGTACATATCTCGCGCCCTCCACTCATTGGTACATGGTACGCCGCCCAGCTACTAACACGGGTCAAAACAGGGTGTCTATAAAGGTGTCCGTGCTTGGAGTTGCCGAATACTTGAAACGGCTGGACAGCGAGTCATGGATGTACCTCTGGATGACGATGATGACGAGGACGAGGGCCAGGATGAAAGCGAAATACCAACGTCCTCGGCGCGTCAGCCGCAATCTAGAAAGAACGATTAACTCTAATCCCATACTTTCAACCTTATGTGTGCTAATTTAATGCTACCACAAAAAACTCTACCGCACTACTTTAAATTGTCATGTCCTCACAATGACTTGCCAATTAGTCTTGTTGCGAAGATCCGATAAACTCTTCACTATCCATCGCCCTCACTGCTGCTGTGTGCGATCTCTGGCAGTTAGCAAACGTTTTGTTTCTATCAGCCACTATAGAGCTTCACCGGCTTGTAGTGTTCGCCTTGGGAAGGTTTTACCACTGCCTCGATTTTGTTGAACGCGCTTTGGGAATTATTCCGTGGGCATTCCTCTGATATTATTATCCCATGAGGAGATAAATGCTCATCGCTAGGCATGTTCGCTCGATATTGTGGTACATCCCTTTCACTCCGCTTGTGCTTATGACACAGGCAATCAATGGTACATACATTTAATGCATCTAACTACATAAGCTCATAATATGAGGCTTAACATTTGAATTAACGGGTCCATTCCGTACGCTCCCTTGCATTGGGAGCTGATGAAAGTATTACTCAGAATATGATCCTGTCAAATCCTAGCATCTACGGATTACGGAGTGTATGGAATCAAATACGAGGATTAAATGACGCCCTCCCTACGGAGTAGTTACTGGGGTAACGTGCGTAACCAATATTAAATCAACGATCATCACCACTAAACGAACATAACAACACAACACAAAAACTCCAAGCTCCCACAATTCACTATCTACGAACACCTACAAAACAGCACCCAAAGCAGCAATGGAGGCCGCGATTGAAGATTTGAAGTCGCAAGAGGTTCCTAATTTCTCTGAGACTGCAAAAAGATATGGAGTCAACCGAGTAACGTTGTCACGGCGGTTTAAAGGTGCTACAGTGTCTAGAGCTGAAGCTACGTCTATTCATCGGAAGAAGCTACCAGGTACACAAGAAGAGGATCTTTTACAGCATATAGAGAAGCTTGCAAAAGAAGGCCGTGCTCCTACGCCTCAAATCATTCGAAACCTCGCTGACAAGCTCGCCAAAGAGCCTGTTGGCAAGAATTGGGTGACCAGGTTCTGTAATCGATATAAAGATCGTATCCAGAGCCTGTATGTCCACTCAGTTGACCAAGCCTCATCGAATACGGCTGTATAAACATATTTAGAATATGGTGCCGCAGCTGAAACATATAAATCGCTCTAGACACGCGGAATTTGATGAGATTGAGATGTTTAACCCAGATGAGCCCAAGCCGTTAAGCCTGCGTGTCCCCAGTGTTCATTCGAAATATTCACAAACAAGCCCCCTGATCGAGGGACTGCCAAATTCGACGTTGGTGGCACCAATGAGATAAATGATTCTACGGGTGTCTGCAGAACTCAAGCTGGTGTTTCCGGAACCTCGAAAATCGATCTGCGAGGTGTTCAGTCCGTGGTAGCCGCTGGTATAACGTTAGGATGGGAACTGGCCTCTCTCCCTGCGCCATTTTGCGGCCCCGGATGGGGTATTTCGGTTCGGATCAAATTACCGGACAAAATCAAAGCCGAAATTATATTACCACTCTTCGTTCCACCAGAGCTATGCCAACCGATCGAAGACGAGCCGAGATGACAGATTAAAGAGCCGCAATCATCGGAACAATCAGAGGAGTAGGGGTGCCAGGTCACAGGCAAAGAGACTATTATACCCTGAAGGAGAACAGAGCCAGGGCAGGGCAACAGTTGATCGGCACCGTCGAGCTCTTCTTGTACTGAGTAGTAGCAAAATTCGGCTGAATTTGGCTTAAAATATGGCTACTGTTACAAATGTTGTCAACTAGCAGTCGCAGGTAGTGGTTCCGGCTACTGCATTACAGTACTCAGCCAACTTGGCTACAGGACGGCTTGAAGCCGTTGGTTATATAGAAGAGCCAGATGATGAAATGCACTCTTACTACTGCTACCTCGCTGCCAGCACTTATTATATAAATTGGGACCCGCGAACGTCAAGCCCAACGAAGGATTGGGTGCTTGACAGCGGCACTGCGTAAACGATATCGCGTGGGCCACCTTTTGTACCTGCCATCATTCATTATTGGCCTCACGCTAAAATTAGCTACATGCCAAGCATATAAGCGGCGCCTATTGTAATAGCCGCGAACTTGGCTTCCTTGGCCAACAGACTCTTGGTGTGACGCTTAGTAATTTATCATGTGACTATGATTTACACGTGACTATTTCACCCCTTTCGTCCCTTTTAGGCAAAAAACAACCTCGAACGAAGTCTTGGTGACGTTTTGTTCGCGTATTGATAAACATTTGACAAAACAATGCCGCGACAGACTTGCTGGGATGATGCGGATTGCGTTCTTCTTGTTCTCTTGGTCAGGATTTGATCTGCCTCTTGGCCGGAAAATTCCCGAGTAGCAGATATAGATATACGAGAAGCTGGAAATCACGCCGCACAGGGGTGCCACACACATTCGCTGCTTTTCACAAATAATTATATGGACGAAGAGGTACGAAATGCCCACTGAGTTGAATTACGCCACTCTAAGAGCCCTTCTCTAGGCCTGACCAAGATGGCAATGATACTTTTGATCCTCCAACCTTCAGACAGATGTTTGTGTTATAATATCTAACTAAATCCAGGGGTCAGCCCGTAACCACCCCCGTCATCGACAAGGGACGGAGCCGATTTGCCTGCACCTGCACGCTCCAGACAGACTTCAAACGTGAGGTTGCACTGTCCCATGGCGTCAGTCAAGCACCAGTGATCACTCGCTCGTCAGGGAATAGACAAAATCTCAAAATGATGGCTATACTTTGGGCGGGCCCGGCCAGGCCGGTACGAGACAATGCTTGACCGTGTGCGCTGGATAACTAGTCTGCGTTTCAGAACGCCAACAAATAAATGGCATCGCACATTGCCCCTGCTGGCCCCGTTCTGTTAAATGCAATGCTACTCTGACTTGGGTAGTCATACCCACTCCTACACTCCTCCATGTTCTCCCCTAGTATCCAGCGATGCGGCGGCATCCTCTAACCCGCCAAGCCGAGCCGGGCTATGAGGCTGGGTTAGGCAGTTGGGCTGCTGCTGCACCCCCAGGGCCCCCGCGGAGCACCCCAGGCTTTGCTGGGGCTTCCTGGGGCTTCCCAGGACAACCCTAGGCACCTTGACCTTCGCCTAGCCGACGAAGGCCGCTAGAACAGAAGTACGCGGCCCCAACCGAGAAAGATGAGCGTGTTTAATTTAGGCACTCTGTCGACGGATAACATAATTCCTGACCAATGCTGGAAATTGTTTGGCTGCCATCAATTCACACCCCGGCCCATCATGTGAGCTGATTCCTGGTCGATGCCTTTATATCTGCGGAGAGTGCCATGCGACGCTCCCTCGCCTTGGTCACCCTAACTGTCGTATCGCACTGGCCTTGCTGAGCGACATCTCATCAAACGTGGATGCGACACTCTCTGTCGTCTGGACAATCGGCTTCGACAGCGTATAAAACCAACACCACGGAGCCCTAGGCATCTTTTGCTGCACGTCTAAGTATACTCCGCATTTAAAAATATACTTATCACAACCGTGGAGATCCGGGGCGCTCGTATCCATAACTATTCCAGAACGGCCAGTCACCGTCGTCTTTTACACGTTTTCCAACGGCCCAGCAAGAAAAAGGCGGACGGTTCCCCAACTACGAGCATTTCTTTTCGACCAGCAAAATATATTCTCTCAGTTCGACAACGGTCGTGGGAGGAGGGAGGGTAATAAACCCGTTTTTTCTATGGGAGGATGGCGAATAAAAGGGCCAGGTGAACAGAAGAATTTTTGGCCTGATAGATTTCAATATCCTCCGCATCTGTCTTTCCTGGGCGGCCACCATGGTTTCCGGTAATCCGTCCGCGACCGCGACCGCGGCATGCACGCCATGCCGCACCGTGAAGATGAAATGTACGCGAGATCCAGACTCGGCATCCTGCAATCGCTGCAAGCGCAAATCGTTAAGCTGTTTCTACGAATCTCATCGGCGCGGTCGCAAACCGGGCACAAAGTGAGTGTTATCTTGACTCCTGCTTTTGAGAGTTCGATTTTTCGCCTTCAACTGCGATTGATGGTGCGCATTGTTCTTTTTAATTTGCCGAGTCGAAAGAACAAGCAAAGTGCTAACCGGTGTAATAACACTAACTATCCAGGCTGCGGCCCAAAGCTGAACGTTTAAAAGCTGCTGGACTCCCTGCCTTGCTCTCGAGCGCACCGCCACAAGACAGCAGCCCTGCCGTTACGCCAGAAGGAATTGTCGGATCCTCAATAGACACACGCTCACCAAAACGAATAAAGTCGGACACCAGCTTCAGTTCCCCAGATCTACCCGATAAACCAATACAACCTGCCATAACCTCCGATAACCCACTGCCTACGAAGCTGGCTTCTATAGCACAATTAACACACCCTCTTTCGGACAGCCTTGCGCCGTTCGCTTTGCTGAAAAAGTCTTCCACACCAGGAAACTTCTCCATTGCAAATATCTTGAATGCCGAAAATGAAAGCCAGGCTGAGGAGCCGTCCCACTGGAAAGACTGCCTGGCAGACGATGCCCCCATCGACCAGAACGATCCGGTACTTCAGAATTTGATCAATCTTCCTATAGCCCAAGGCCTTTTTGATAGGTATGCTCCTTGTCTTCTCTTTTTCCCCTCCCATGTAAGCCTCGATGTAGTGGATGCAGTTGAGACCTAACACAAGCGTACGGATGGATACAGTTTCTTCAAGTACATGAACCCATTCATATGCCAGTTTGACCCCGTCCTCCACACAGTACGATATGTTCGAAACCGGTCGCCGTTCCTTTTCACCGCCCTCCTTACTGTCGCGGCAAAAGTTTTCTGTCCAGCGCTATATGTCAAACTTCGCGAACATAGCGAGAAGTTGCTTCACAATATCATGGGCTCAGGCGAGAAATCCCTCGAGGTAATCCAAGGCGTCTGTCTTTTGACACACTGGAAGGAATCCAACGACACACGCGCTTGGATGTTTATCGGATATGCCATTAGGGGAGCTTTAGAATTAGGCTTGAATAAACTTAAGCCGTCTATTCTAGATAAACCAATGCAACTTGTTTCTGGCTTCGAGGAGGAAATGGAGCTACGGGAACAACGCAGCAAGGAGCGCACCTGGCTCGTCTTGTTCATCTATGATAGGAGGTACGTAAATATCCCTCCTGTGTCCAACGCTCCCCTCCGTCCTTTGTGTCGCCATGCTAAGTATGTCGCATATATAGTCTAAGTCTTCAGCTAGGAATGCCCTCAATGATTAGCATGGACCCTCTAATCCGAAACGTACAAAATTGGCACCAGCATGCATATGCCACCCCAGGAATTGATGAGATGGTCACGGCTCTGACACAGCTACGCATCATCGGCTTCGAGCTCCTAGATCTCTTCTGGCTTGATCCCCTCCATACATCACCAGATTTCATGAAGAAGGACGAGTTCATCCTTCGGCTGTGCAACGATGAATTAGATAGGTGGGAGGCTCGATGGCATTTGGTCATAGATGAAGGTGAGATTCATTTCATGCTGCCTCCTTTCTACTGCATGAAAAAAACATAACAGCTAACAGATAGTGAAGCCGACGCCACTCTAACCCAGCGATTCCTTGTTCGATTTTATGGACATCATCTGAGGCTATTGCTTCATTCGTTTCAACTGCAATTATCCATTGCCAATGGGTCTGCTTCCAAACCTGCGCTATGGGTTTGCTACGCAAGCTCTTTGGAGATGGTTCGGCTAATTATAGATCGCCTTGGGACAACTTCTTATCTATATTATTGCCAGGATTCGATTCATGTGATGGTTGCATACGCGGCTGTTGCTATTGTAAAGGTTGGTGAAGGTTATATTTCGTAATATGTTTGGCTTTGCTCACTATTCTGCCTTAGATCCTCCTATCCTTCCCCGGAGAACTTCCAGGCGAGGCGGAGAATAAAGTCCTCGACTACATACTGGAAGCAAGCGAATACTTTAGTCGGCAATCGCCTACAGACAACACCAGTTGTCACTACCAGGGCCAGTTCCTGGCAAATGTGGTTTCACAGTACCGAACCTCCAGGGATTTGCCTGCATCTTCTGTGAAACGACCGGCTTCGAAAGAGCTCTGTGATCTGATGCAGCAAACTACAAGCGGTGCAGATGCCAAAACGCAAGTAAATCTCTCACCGATAGCTGTGCCGCCACTTCACCAAACGCCCCTTCCGTCGCCCTTTCAACCCCACCACCACCAGCAGCAGCACCAGCAGGACGGAGTCAGCCAGCCACAGCAGTCGCAACAGCAGCATCTCACACCTCTTAACCACCATCTCCAGGTCACATCGCATCTTCAAAATGATTTATTTTCGTCCTCAAACACTCCACCGCCGATACCCATGCATATGCCGTTAAACGACCCACTGCATAACCCGCATCACGACCAGCAAACCCTCCCCCTGATCCACCCTGATCATAATCAGCAACTACTTGCATGTGCACGGCCGCTGCTCCCGCCATCCAACATCGAGTGCACTATCAGCGGGTCCATAAACAGCGGCATTATGAGCTCGGGGAGGATATTTGCTTCCCCAAGTCTTCACCCATCGTCGACCCACCAGGCCAACAACAATAACACCAGCACTATGATGGGTAGCGGTGGGACAGCACCTGCATCAGGGATACCGGTGACTTCAAGTTCTGGCCCTGCTGGAAACGCTCCTAACAACAGCGATAGCAATGACGGCTACGACAACTACACGCCTACCAATGCTCAGAATGTCACTCCGTTCAGCAATACCGGAACGTGGGAGAATCTATTTGCCCATGCTGGGTTTAATATCAACGGTGGAGCATTCCTGCCAAACCCCGGAAGTTCCTGAGGCGATTGATGCATGCATATACGATATCTCTCTCGAACCTGACCGACATATACTTCTTATTTTTCTTGCACACTTTTTACCCCCTAATCTTCCTTGCAGTTTTGATAACAACTGTGAATATTCTCCCCGGCCCCCTTTACACTTTTTTTGTATATAGTTATGTAAATACGCCTTCGAGATGGACATAGAGAACCGTCTCTTGCAGAGACAGAGGACATTCGTTACTAATATTATATTGATTTTCTTCTCCATGCACGGTATGTTCACCTTGCATTGGATGCCTGCTATTTATATACCATTTAGTCCCGCGTCCCACTGCCGTATCGTAATATAAAATAATAATAATAACAATAATATAATATAGTACCATATTAAATCTTATATGGGGCACATTTTTTCTTCCCGCCGTTGAAGATCCCTGTTGATGACCTGTGTTAGCGGAGGGTTATCTTGTCGTCTTCCATCTCTCACGGCGGCTTTCCAATCTTAACCTCCATTAATATCAGACATGGTATCCCAACCACGGCACCAACAACCACACAATCAGCGATAGCTATGCGTGACATGTTGAACTGCAGGGTTCATTATCCACCTGCCCTATCAGCCCTGACGCCTGAATTTGACAGAGTTCAGCTTTGTAGCCTCGCCAGGCTGATGGGTGCTGCTCAGCCTCCGCCAGAGTGTACAACTATGCACGTCAACAACGGTGTAGCTGCTTGACTGGCCTATAACCACCGATACTTCAGGGCTGATAGTTCGATATGAATACGATGATATATGTGTTACATCATGATGGGTGCTCTCAAAATGGCATTTTCTCGCGCTCTTCAGGCTGCGGTTGGTTATATATACGGCTTTGATATCTGATTTTCTTTCGACTGCTACGGAGTACATAACATCCATCTAGGGTTATTATTAACTATTCTCCCAGATTGCTCTCGTCGATCAAAGAAACGAGACGAGACCGCCAGTAGTGGCTCCTATACCCTCTTACATCCAGCACAGCCAGCGTGACCGGTTTTCTTTCACCTCCTCGTCGCCGGTTCTGGCATCGCCCGAGAATTAGCATCTTGTATATCCTTTGTTCAACCATCCAACTCTTCACCACCGTCGAACACTAAAAGAAAACCACGCATGAGTAAATAAGAACAAGGGAAACGGACGGGAAGAAAAGCAAAGAGGATAGGGAAAATCTGGGGCCAAAAGCCCAGGTCTATTTGTTCGGCATTTGGAGACTATTACCCCTTGCGCCCTGCTGTGGTGTCTCATCGTCCAACCAGATCAATATCGACACAACTGCCGGTCAGGAGCTGGTTTTGCCGGAAAGAGAGTAATTGAATACGCCTCATTCGCCAACCGAGCTCGCTCATCTATGGCCAGTTGGTCAGGGACCTGATACCGCATTTGATGATAATAACCCGATTCTTTGGGTGCTGAAGTAGATTGGGAGACCAGGGTGTATATATAGCCTTTCTAAAAAGGCCTTCCAGTACCCTGGAGATAGGCCACTATCAAATCTGTTTCCTATTTATGCGCCTTCTTTTCCCCTTTATCTTTCAACGGTGTTGAATACCTTGTTATTTGGCATTACCTCGATCATTCTAGCTGCACGCAAACTTATCATTTCTGGGGAATAGATAGCACTCTAATGGGGTTGTCATCTGTCTGATAACGGTAGACCTAGTGTTTGTTTCTATCTACCATACCTTATCTAGCGGCACGCGTGGCATCCTTAGAGGCAGCCGAAACGATGATACCCCGCGAGATCATCGGATCTACTTCTAGTCGTTCGTCCGATGAGCTGCAGAGTGCCAACACAAAAGGGTCAGCGACGACAGTATCAGACCATCACACCGAGCGGCTCAACTCCTTTACCTCGAGGAGAGAATCATTAACAGCAGCCGAACGGGCGAGGCGCAATTTGAACGCAAAGCTCGCCAATCCTCTGGCTGGACTTAGTCATGCAACCCTGAGAAACAGAGGGGGTCGGTACGCTCGGAAGTATCAAATTGGAGATGATGATGATATTCGCGCATTTGAACTGGGTGCTGTCCTAGCTCAAGATCCGGAGCAATTTGAAAAGGTTGAAGGACTAACGAAGGAGGAGTTGGACGTCCTGCGAGGGGAATTCACGAATCGTTGGTCACAGCCAAAGGAGATGTACCTGGTTATCATACTGTGTTCGATATCCGCCGCTGTTCAGGGAATGGGTAAGTTCCTAACACTTATTATGGAAAGGTTGCCTCTGACATCTGGTTATTAAACAGACGAAACGGTTGTCAACGGCGCTCAAATATTCTACAAACCACAGTTCGGCATCGATGACGACGATTTTAGATCAACATGGCTTGCTGGGCTGATAAATGCTGCACCATACCTATGCTGCGCCTTGATCGGGTGTTGGTTGACGGTGCCCTTTAACCACTGGTTTGGTCGACGAGGAACGATTTTCATCACCTGCTGCTTTTCCACGTTGGCTTGCTTCTGGCAAGGCTTCGTCAATACGTGGTGGCATATGTTCATCGCGCGCTTCGCACTAGGCTTCGGCATTGGCCCTAAATCCGCAACAGTCCCCATATATGCGGCTGAGACCAGCCCACCTGCCATTCGAGGTGCTTTGGTAATGCAGTGGCAGATGTGGACTGCATTTGGTATCATGATGGGGTATGCTTCGGATCTCATATTCTTCAATGTCCCAGATATCCCCAACGTTACTGGTTTAGGCTGGCGATTAATGATGGGATCAGCCATGTTTCCCGCTATCATAGTCTGCTGTATGGTTTTTATCTGCCCAGAGTCACCTCGCTGGTATATGAGCAAGGGAGCTCATCACAAAGCGTATCAATCAATGTGCCGACTTCGATTCAACAAGGTCCAAGCTGCGCGTGACCTATTCTATATGCACACGTTGCTCGAAGCGGAATCGACGATGAAACTCGGCCAGCCAAAGATCTTGGAACTCATCACTGTCCCACGGAACAGAAGGGCATTGGTTGCATCCGAAATTGTGATGTTCATGCAGCAGGTGCGTATACGATGCATGCAACTCCTGCCCCTTTCGGGGCTACGTGCGCGGTACTGACGTCATTTTTCATGCATAGTTCTGCGGTGTTAATGTGATCGCATACTATTCCTCCGAAGTTTTCCTACAGGCAGGGTACTCGGAACTGTCCGCCCTTGCCGCATCTCTCGGCTTCGGGGTAATTAACTGGCTCTTTGCCATCCCTGCCATTTACACGATTGATACGTTTGGTCGACGAAACCTTCTTCTCGTCACATTCCCATTGATGGGGCTCTTCCTGCTCCTCACAGGCTTTGCGTTTTGGATTCCAGATCATACTGCGCAAACAGGCTGTGTTGCACTGGGTATATACCTTTTTGGCATTGTATATTCTCCTGGAGAAGGGCCAGTGCCGTTCACTTACTCCGCGGAGGCATACCCACTATATGTACGATCATACGGCATGGCACTAGCAACTGCAACGACATGGTTCTTCAACTTTACCTTAGCAATAACATGGCCCAGCCTATTACGGGCATTCACCCCGCAAGGCGCATTTGGATGGTATGCAGCCTGGAATCTAATTGGGTTCGTCCTCATATTGCTCTTCATGCCCGAAACTAAGGGTAAGACCCTTGAAGAGCTGGATCAGGTTTTCTCTGTCCCTACGACAGTACACGCACGTTGGGCATTGAAACAGATCGTGTATATTTTCCGGAAGTATGTTCTGAGACAGAAAGGGTTGAAAGAAGCTCAATTGTATGAAAAGCCGGAGGGCAAACCAATATCACAATCTATGGAGGAACGAGTGGTGGGGTCGTCACAATTTTTCGGACTCCGATGAATATCATGCGACGGCTAGTTTATATATTCTCTTATGTGGTAGGCTCATTTTCTTGGGATGGGAGGACTGGGTATAAATATCCACTGGCAGGCTGGAGCGTTTGTTTGGAGAATTGGCGTTGCAAATATGGATGTTGCTTGCTGGAGAAATTTTTTTATGTATAATGATAAACGTGAACCCGAGGCTATTTATTTCAAATTGAACATAAACACCTATAAAAAAATGGGCTGGACTTGATACGATATTTTGAAGTATCATGAAACTACGAAAGTTTTGGTCAAGTGCTTATATAATAATATACCACGTGATTATTTGACAAATGCGGCTAGTATAGATATATCTTGGCGTGACAGCGGCTACGCGTCTAAATATACGTTTTTAAGACTAGCGTAGAAGTAGATCATTGACGTTAATTAGCGTTACAACGTGGGTTAAGCGCGATATAGATTGTATGACGAAAGAGGAAGGACAAACGACCACCAACAACTTGTGTATTCATCAGTTTATCAATATTTTTGCCACCAAAGTCTCTTGTACCGCGTTATTAATTACTTTTATTTCTCTCAAATAAGGGTGATATGGAACCAGAACACCTACCTAGCTGCCTCGAGCTAGAGACGAAGATCCACGAATGCCTCGAGCAGCGACGACGCGTCTACCACCATAAGCTAGCCATCACAGTCAGATGGGAGGATGACAAAACAAATGCGATAGAGGATTTCTCTCATTTCAAAGAGTTTGCTACAACACTGGGTATCAAAGATGTGCATGAGTGCCGGATTTCGGGGACGGACATCGTCCCAAGCATATATGTTGAGGAGGCGCTGGCAAGCTATATGAAGAGTGGATTTGAAGCTCAACAAAACGGATCGTACCTTGTTATCATTCACTATGCTGGCTGTGGAGACACTGATCCAGAACGTGGTCAATTTTTCTGCCCTACCGAAGGCTCTCGGCGCCGGTTCTACCTTCGATCCCTCCTACACCATGTCTCTACCTTCGCCGAAATCGATGGGCCGGCTGTTGACCTTGTTTTGATCATTGATTCAAGTTATTTTGCAACTACTCTTCCAGCTATCCAGCCAAAGTCGAGCCAAACAATAGAACTCCTTGCCGCCGTTGCTAGTGACGAGAATGGATTTCCTAAAAGATCAGCTGCTACCACCAACACATTCACTTCAAGGATAGCTAAAGTCCTAGCTCAATGGAAAGAAAATTGTCTAAGAGATATGAATTTCGCTACCCTACTCGCTGTGGCACAAGAAGATGAGGCCATACTCCGCCCCGTGCATAAGTTCCTTGCTGGGCGTTTACCTGTCAAGACTGGCATTCCCCCATACGAGAATAATCTACCAATATGTTATCGTGAGCCCCGGCCGGAACCGGTTCCCGGACAGAGGGATGTCCTTATGGCTTGCAGCGTGGTTGATGGCACAGGCTTAGTTAATGTAAGAAGGCTGAGTCAATGGGTAGAGAGCCTCGATCCGTGTATTGGCGTGCACGTTGACAGGGTATATAAGTGCGTTGGCAACATTGACTCGATTGGCATGCTCTTACGAGTGCCATTCCACGTCTTCTGCACGTTAGAGCCTCTGCCTAAAGTCAAAATGATTACTCGAAAACTTCTTCGGTATCAAGGCTACATGCCAATCCGCTCTCCACTTTCAGATGCGGTGGAAGTTGGTCCTGAAGCTCCTACGTCAGGTTCAACAACACCGATCAACACTCCGGATGAAACTAGCTGTTATGATGATAGTTGTGGCAGTTAAGATTATCAATCATTCCTTTCACCCTGTACAATATCGTATTCTCATAACATTTCCATTCCTAGCTGGTCGAGCTGGAGCTATTGAAAGAAATGCTTAAACAGTATCCCACTGTTCATTAAGGTAGAACAAAGTGATAGTCTGACCCACGCCGTAGTTGCAAATGCTAGGAAACCGAAGACACCGATAAGGAGTGAAATAGTTAGGTGTCGTGGATCCTCACGTTGAATAGTCCCGTCCAAAAAAAAAAAAGATACAACCATACGTAAACAAGATAAACATGTCCCAGGCCCTAGCCGAGTATATTAAAACAAGACAAATAAAAACGAGTAAATAAAAGAAAAAGAACAAGCCTTTAGACGCCGTTTTCCTTCTCAAGTCTTTCTCCGAATTCCCGCTTCTTAGTTGGGTCTAGAGCATCCCACTCCTTGACCAAGGCACGGTCAATATCCTCGTCCGTAACTCTCTGGCCATAGGACCGGACTAGTGCTTCGGCTACACTGGCTCTCTTGTGATTAGTGAAGGCGTCAAAAGCAGATACGTATCGATGAGGGGGCTCTCGTCCCGAGTTAGCCGGGGGGAAACTGCTGAGTTCGCTGGCGGATGGATTCGCACTACTGGTATGGTGGTGATCAACCTGCATGATTTGTGAGTCAGTTGGCCGATAAAATGGTGTATGTTGTTGGGTAGTTGGAGCTGGATTATTGTTTTGATGAAATGAGGCTGATCTGGGAGGAGATTTAGTCGGGATATAGGTGTTCATAGTGACTGGTAGGTGTCCAGGGCGATTATGGTAATATTCAGTAGCACCAGGGCGTCCTGGTATATATGGAGGATTATAGAGGGAATACCCTGGAACTGAGTGAGGAGAAAGATGAGGATAAGGTATAGGAGTATGCCTGGGAGTATGGGGAAGAAGAGGACCACGACAACACGAGGTTGCCATAGGCTGTGGAGGCGGAAGGATAGGGGGTTGATGTCGTGAGGATGTTGGAGATATGAACAATGGATAATATGAAATAGGAAAGGCTGAGCTAACTGAGTCCGTGTTGTTATTACTATGGCCGGCGTCGTTGGTATTGATGTTATCACCGGAGGGCCTCTCGTCACTCTTGCGATTTCGTTTCGGTCGTAGCGGACGTTCCTGTGGCTGGCGCATCCACGCAGCATCGTCAGTAACTGCTTAAAGAAGCTAAACGCCTTCTCTAACGGGCCATTCTGCCAGGTGGAATGCGGCCGTCTCTTACTGTAGGCGGATGGTGACCAGAGCTACCATCACTCTCCTCGCCCAACGCATCCAGGTCCTCTCCAGTTCGTTTCTGTCCGCTTCTCGAGCGCTCTTCGTCAAGCAGATGGCCAGACTCCTTCACCAGTGCCATTGCACGCCCCGTAACCTCTGATTCAACCTGTCTGCCGCTCCCATCGGCCATGCCCATGAGAACAGAGAGCCGTTCCAGCATCATGCACGACTCCAGGCGCATCTTCTGTATATATCTGATTCCCTGCGCGTTCCGCAAACGCATCGCGTCATTATGAGCTTCGACTTCGTTCAACCTTTTCTTCAGCGCGATACATTTTCGCTTGTAGGCTGCTTCGATGCTGGGAGGGTTCGGGTGTGGCGCCATCGACGCGTTCTGTGAGTTAGTATGGGCGTTGGAATCCGGCTCGCTGGCCATTATCGCATTCGTAGCTGGTATCAATGTGTATAGGCGGAGGATAGAGGGCGTCTCGGTGCTGTTTAGATGCCTTTTGTAGGCTGTTCGGCCGTGGCGTTGAACTGGGAGCAGACCGCCGTAGAAGGATGCTGAGCAGGGTCCAGGATATCAATGAGCTCGCAAGCAGGCTGAAGTCGACCTCGCAGTGCTAAGCAGAAGATACAACCGACTGGCCTGGCGGTGCGCGGCTGGCGATGCGAGTGTCGACGCGAAGATGCTGCTTGTTGCTGGCAAAAATCGTTGATGTTGAAAGTCGAGCTTGTGGCGCAAATCTTGAATTTCGCTATCAAAGCAACTAAACACCTAACCAAACAACTACGACCACTAAGGAGATACAAGGAGAATGGTTGTATTGTGCATTTACAGCATAATCCAAGCTAAGAATATATATTTCCCATCTCTAGGTGACATGTTCAGACTCGATGGTGATGACGGCGGCGGTGATGACGATGATGATGATGGGTATATGAAATGATAACCAAGGACAAACAGGAGGGAAAGCTATCTATGAAATGACAGAAAAGAAAGAAGCAGAAACAATCCAGTTTCAGCTACATCCGCTCATTTTTAGGTCCTGCATCTCGTACTCCATCATATGAGGCGTCTCTGTTTCGGAGGAGACGGACTCTGCCGTTGATATGGAGGCCGTCGATGCCTCGAGCGTTGTGTCCGGGCTGGGACAGGGGGACCTGTCCATGTATGTGTCGTCTGGAGGAGAAAAGGACCATACCTAGAGACAGTTAGATGGATGTATAGATGATAGAAAGGGAGATTTAGCTGATCGACAGCGGCGGACTCACCTCCATGGTCGTCTTCCCAGCGCGGGTGGCGAGGATGACGGCCTTTTCGGCCTCAAACGCAATACGCCAGATGGTGTCGGCGGGCTGGCTCAGCTCCCGCACCTGCTGGCCGGTCTTGAGATCCCAGGTCTTGACTCGCCCGTCACTACCGCCACTGACGATCCGGTTATCGTCAAACTGCAGGCTGGTGATGCTGTTGTCGTGGGCTGCCAGGCGGTGGATCGGGGTCATACGCTCCAGGGACCAGACACGGATGGATCCATCAGAGCCGCCAGTCACTAGAGTGTCTCCGCGAAGCTGTAGCTGGCCTACGAGAGAGGTGTGGCCTTGCAGGATGGCGTGGCACTGGCCCGTGTGAGGGTCCCAGATACGCACGCTGGTGTCGAGACTGCCGGTAGCTATGCGTTTGCCGTCAAAGGCGATGGCGTAGATCTGGCTGAAGTGGCCGGCGAGCGTCTTGAGACATTTGCCTCCTGAGATACTCCAGATTCTGGCCGTGGTGTCGTAGCTCCCGGAGACGACCAGGTCGCCGTGGATCTCGAGACACCGTACGCTGGCCTGGTGGCCGACGAGGATGTTCTTGCATACGCCCGTGGCTAGATCCCATATGCGGAGAGTCGTATCTCGCGAGCCGGAGATGGCGGTCGTCTTATTCGACATCTTCAAGCAGCGGACGGTAGAAGTGTGCCCGCGCAGCTTATGAATACTCTCACTAGGTAACCGTTAGAGAATGGGGGCTTCTTTTGTACCGGAGTTTGAATATCAGTAGACTCACCCTGTAGCCATGTTCCAGACACGAACGTCTCGATCGCATCCTCCGCTGACAAGCAGGTCGTCCCACGGCACCATGGCCCAGACGCCTATCATATGTCCCTGGAGGACCCTCTGGTGCTCGCCCTCGGTATTGAATATATGTATCTTTGCGTTGTCCAGTGCAACGACTATATACTTGGGGGTCAGATGCAGACTGGTCACCACTCCCTGGTCGGTGGTGATATTCTTCGTCACGACGCTGCCGCCTTTCCTCCACGCCGCCTCGATCATATACTTATGTTTGAAATGCGAGCGGTAGGAGGTCGTCTTCGCCCGAGTCTTGCGGATCCGGCTTCTGCTCGAGGACTCTGCTAGCGGAGCAAAGACTTTCATGTCTTCTGGTAGTATCTGCGGTTGTGGCGGACATGACGATTCGGATTCCATGTCCGTGTCCATGGAGGATAGAGGCTGTCTGGAAGGAGAGAGGGTAGAGGAAGGGCTGATGGGACTATCGAGGAGGTCTTCGGATACTCTTCTGTAAGCATGTTTCTCACAGAGGATCTTCCATGTCAGCTCATCGTTGAGCAGTTCGTGCCAGCGAGTCGACACCTGGGACGCCCTGGACAGCGTTTTGGGGTCATCTACAAACGAAAGCACCTATTTCAAAGTTAGTCATCGGTTGAACCGGGGGACCCAAGTACCAGGAAGCAGGTGTGAATCTCACCCGCAGACATAGCTCGTTCGGCAGGGTCTCGAAGGGATCCTTCTTCAGCCGCGGGCTCACAAAATGATGCACAAAGCTGAGCAGCTGGCTATCACACAAGTTCAGCATCTCTGCCAGAAACCTCTGCTTCTCCGCCTGGCCGAGCACGCTGAAATGCGACCTTGCATCTCGCAAGAAGGTATCTTCATCTTCACCGGCGCTCTGCCAGCTGGGCACCCGCTGGTGCGGCGTTGGACTGGGCGCAGGAGTAGGAGGAGACGCAGGAGCTGACGGGTGTAGGTTGTGTAGAGTCGGACGAGCCTTGCTGGGCGTAGAGAGAGGTTTTGTTCGAGAAGCCGAGCTGGGTCGCATAGTTCCCGAGTGTCTTCGTACGGTCGAACGAGGTGGATGATGGCTTTTGCTGGTGGTGCTATTGTTGTTGCTATTGCTGTTGCCGCTGCCGCTGCCGCTTCCGCCACTGCTGAAATCCCCTTGCGGTGTCAGATCGTCTGTTTCTATCATAGAGACAGGTCGCCGGTTGCCCAAGCTGCTTGATCCAGGTCTAGGGAACATCTGGAGGTGGCTATATATATGTGTCGTAGGTCGTCAGTAGAACGGGGGTGAATATGTCATGCGCAGAGAGCCCTCTGGAGCCGACGCAGGAGTGTTTCTCGAAACGACTTCAGATCAGGGTGGAATAAGCAGAATCCTTTCCAGCAGCCAGACCTGCCGACATGCCCGGGGCTTCTCAAATGGGCGATAACTCGGTGTATAGGCGTAGGAGGAGGATGAGTGGCGGAAATGTGACCTCAGGAGCTCAACCAGCGACTTTTCAGACGGAAGAAAGGGCCGGGATAGGTTTGGATGGACGGTCTGTCGGCCAGTGTTTTTGTAATTATTCGATCGTATCTCGACAAGACGCAGAACGAGCAGCGGGATCTGATAGCGGGTTCGAGGTTGGTCAGTTCGTCAGTCCGTCAAAGAGAAGTTTCCGTTCAGGCTCTGGGTGGCTTGGGGTTGGTTTTTCTGGTGATCGCGGTGGCGCTGGGGGGCTGTAGATGAAGCAGATGTACCGGGACAAGGCCTTTGGATGTATCAACCCAGCCCAGCCAGGCCCAGCGCTTAGGGCAGAGACGGTCAGACGGGCAGTCTGGCACCGTCTAGTCCTGTAGTCCCTCTAGGTAGTCCTCTAGTCCTCTATCGAGTGGCTGGCTACTTGTCTATCCAGCGACTGCAGTTATCTCGTGGCGCTACGAGGCCGGTCCCAGCATGCGGGCGATCCTGGAGGTACGACAGAGCTATACATCCAGCCTCAGGGGCCCCTGGTTTGATGTCTCTCTTCTCTCTCCCTGCAGGAAGCGAAGACTTTTTAGCCGATCGATCAGCTGGCCTGGATAAAATATTCTCGTCACATGGCGGTTTGTTTTATATATATACAAGTAGCAATAAGGTGGAGTTGATAATGTGTATAGTCTGTCCCTCTATGAGTGTCATTCGTCGTGAGAAGTATATCCAGTGAAAAAAGATGTAGGAAAAGTTGTATCTAGATGCTGATTAGGTGTTGGTAGATGTTGCTTTTTTTGTTTTGGCCGGTGATGAAGAAGTCGTAGTTGGTGTGATGGTTGATAGTAGGGAAAGAGAAATACAGGTCAGGGGCTCAGTGGGCATGGCCGATTTGCAGGAACAGCGGCATCACCATCCCAACGACAGACGCAACGAGGTCTCTCATCGACTGCTTTGGCCGTTGCGGTGGGTCCCGCCCATCGACGTAGCCGTTTGCATGAGACTCTCGACGGGCTGGCTCGAGAGGATTCTCCTGCATCGTATGCATGGCAACATACCTGCATGCGCCGGTCAGTCAAAACATGTCGTCACCACCACCGTCATAATCCCCTGGGAAATCCTTCTTCTTCTTCTTTTTTTTTTAAGGGCGGAGTGCATGACTTACAAGAATGTGCCGGCGGAGAATAGTAGGAGCATGCCTGTCCTCCACCGGTTGCTCTGCTCGTCACTGGCATGGCCGGCCAGGATGGTATGCGCAACAACCCAGGTCAACATCGCTCCGACTGGCGCAGCAAGACTGAACACCAGCAGATGTGCCCTGGCACTCTTGGTTGTATGGCCCTGCTTGAGCAAGACGGACGTCAGGCCAAAAGATGCAGGGGCCTTATGCACCATGATCGCCACAAAGATGATCAGGCTCAGGCTCATGTTGGACGTGGATGCTCCCAGTGCAATGCCGTCTGCCGCCGCATGTATCACCAGTCCGGCCGTCGTAGCCATACCTTCACTGCTGCCGCCGCCGGATCGTGTGCTGCTACCGCTGGCTCGTGCAGGCGATATGCCTCGCCCTATACCTGATCCAAGGTTATCCAGCGAGATATGGTATGGCCTCTGCTGCTGTTTGGAAGACGCAGACGCATATTGCGGCAGCTTGTCGACCAGGTACATTAGCACAAAGCCGCTGATCAGACCAACCCCGATCCAAGCATGTGGTCCGCTCTCTTCTTCATGCCCATGCTCCTCATCGTGATGTCCAGCCGGCTTCTCCTTGTTCCCTTCTTGCTGCTTACTCCCCTTCTCCCCCTTGCCATCACTACTCTCTCCATCTGTAGGTGCATTGGGCTGTGGCTGGTTGGCTTCAGGAGCAGCCTCCTCTCGACCAGACAGCCGCCAGTCCGCTTCACTCTTGATACTATGCCCGTCCATAGACCATGGAACAGACACCACTTCCGCCCCGTGGTTCCATCGAACTTCAACGCCATGTCCTAGCACATCCCTCTTTCGATGTCCATGTCCATGCCCAACCTCGTTTCCATGCTGACTCGGTTTCACACGAGAGCTGTATAACGTCTCGACTCCCTCGGGGATAATCACAATCAACGACGTGCCTACTAACAATCCCATTCCCAGCGCAGATATAAGCCGAAGCTGCGACGAGGACAGAGAAAAGGTCAATGGCAATGACCCAACGATAAAAGACCTATCTCAGCACCCATAAAAAGCCATCAGTAAACGCCCTTGCTGTCCTTCCAAGAGGGAATATCGGGACTCACGCTGCTCCCATAAGGAGACTTAGGCACACGAGCGTAAAAAGCCCGTCCATGGCTTCGGAGTCGTCTGGTTTCTTGCTCGATGCGTTTCCAAACTGTATATCTGATTGAAATAATGAGAGTAATCCTGTCTAGACGTTCTCATTCCATTATGAACCGCCGTTCGCTCCCGGCATTAACTCGTATATAATAGTTATAGTTGCTGCACAAGGTATGGGATTTGATAGATGTGGCTAACTTGCGCCTCGGCGAGTTTGAAGGAAGGGCTTGCGCTGGCCAAAAGCGGCTCCAGAGCTAGTAGAAAGAGGGGGTGATACAGCAGTAAAAATACAGATATAAGAACAAAGTCAACAGTGAATTAATATATCTACAATAAAATAGGAATATCAAAGTAATTTTTGGTCGTTTTTTGATGTTTTTTAATGTTTTTTTGATGATTTCATCGCCTTTTTGGCCGACAGTCACGTGAATATAGTTAAATTACATAAGCCTCAGGTACAGTCACGTGGATAAAACTTAAATATAAAAATAAAAATAAAAATAATAAATAAATATATATACAGAGTAATAAAAATGAAAATACGAAATCGTTAAATATCAAAAGATGAAGGAAAATACACAAACTGTTCATAAGCAAAGGAAGCCGTTAGGAAAACCGTCAAGAAGAGCAAGAGACCAACTCTATGCATCCGATAGAACCTTGTTCTCAGCAAGAGGTTCCTCTTTGTCGAGGCTATCTCGGTAATCCCGTATCAACTCGGCAGGTGAAGCAGCAGTTGAGACATACTGCTGCAGCTTCTTGTCGGGAACAAGCAGATGTAGCCCGCTATATACGAACGCGCTGATGAGGAAGCCCACCAGGAAACAGAGCTGGTAGATACGAGTGAAGCCGATAGGGACGTGGACATCCATGTTGACCGTTGCAATAAAGCCGGGCAGGGATGGAACGGTTCCGCATATCCACTGGAAACGAAACAGTTAATTTTAACATGCGGCAAGCAGGCGTTTGAGGATATATTGGAGTTCTTACTGCGATGAAAGCACGCCAGTTGAAGCCGTGGCTGAACCAGTAGATGCTGGTACGGTTACCGGTGTACAGGTCTTCGACCTTGAGCTTATGTTTGTGAACGATGAACCAGGCCGAGATCATGAGGCCCGTCATTGGGCCCAGGAAGACGGCATAGCTGCTCAGGACACTGAGGAAGATGGTGGCTGTGGAGACGAGTTTCCATGGGTTACAGGCTATGGAGAGGGCGATGGTGATGTATGCGCCACGCCGGATGTTGATGTATTTGGGGAATGTCGCCGCGAGGTCAAAGCCTAGTTTTTCACAGGTAAATTAGCATTTTTGACGAGTGGCTTGGGGTGGCTAACAGTCTTGGGACATACCTCCAGAGAGAGCGTTTCCGGGGATGTTGACGCCGATCTGGGAGATGACAAGAGAACCGCCAGCGAAGAAGGCAGCAGCTCTCGATCTGGATCCACCGTGATCGATGATAGCTCCCATGAGAGAGGGCAGATCCCAGTGTGCTTCACCGAATCTCTCCTGTGTAGCGGCCGTGACCAGCACGCCGATGACAGAGCAAATGATACTGGAGAGCGGGAAGCTGATGACCTGCCCGAGGATAGCGTCTCTGGGCTTCCTTGCAAACCTAGCATAGTCGTTTTGGTTAAGGATGCCAGCGGATATGGCGCCGATGGTGCTGATAATACCAAACACGACAAGCCAGCCGGCATCTTTGACGGGCTCCCCCGAGCCACCGCCTGAGATGGTGTCGCCAAACCCTTTGGGACCCATGGTGGTCAACGCCCAGATGAGCAGGACGAATTCAAAGACGGTGATGACGGAGGCGGAGATGTAGAAGAACATGCGCAGGTTGTATGGGCGGATGTATGCTACCGGTAGGGAGATGACCATGAAGACGATGTAGCTGACGAACTGTGCAGTAGTTATCCCTGTTGACGGGGAGAGATGGTTTGGTATACGCTGCTCGAGGGAAGGCCATATTGCCTTTAGACAGACGTAGATGCACTCTCCTCCGATATAGGCTTGGAAGCCGTACCTAGTTTGGTTAACCGACGTTCCTCATAAATCTGACTATAACTACTCACCATACTGTAGCAGAATATTAGCAGGTCCATTTACTTGATACGGGGGAAAGAGAGAACACACCTATGGACAGGAAGATGCGGTTCCAGATGACAAACTGGCTACCGTACATGCCCCATACATATCTGTTGACGACCGGGAAGCCGAGATGATAGTACGCACCCGGCAGCGAGTTGAGCACAACAAAGAGCGTCGCCAGTAGGTTGCCGATGATGATGGCGATGATGGCCTGCCACCAGTGCAAGCCGAGGGCAATCAGCGAGCTGCCCGTCATGTACGTGGAGATATTGGAATTGATAAGCACCCAGTAGGTGGTGAACGTCCAGGCCGACCATGTCCTCCGCCCAGCCTCGATGGGTTTGATGTCAAAATTGATCCAGGGGTCCGGCAGCGTGCCTCCTTCATGCTCGATCTCCAACTTCTTCAGTATCTTGTTCATAATTCTGATTCGTCCTCGGCCCAATCGCAGCTGTAATTGTAGTCAGCGTCGTAAGTCTCATCTCAAGCGCAGATAAAACTGCTGGATCCCGTGCAGTTTATGTATGACAGACAACTAGCTGTACGACTCAAGCCGGGCATTGACTCTGTCCGGCTTATCTCTGGCCACCCCACGTAACTAGTTAATGCCCTGAAGGGGAGAAACGAGAATATTATGACCATGGGTTCTCATTCTGGCCCTCGGCTAGACATGGTCCTCGCCGCAGGAGGGTAAAGATATTCGCTGTGCAGGCCGGCGTAACTAACCTGCCGGCGAACTTCTTCAGACATCACACTGTCAGCTTAGTTACTTGACTGGCTGCCCCTTAACTAGTTAAGCTATAAGAGCTCAACTTAACCAAAGCTTCGAGCCGGGATCTTGACGTCTTTCACCCAAAGCCGTTGAGATAGACTTCGTCCGTTCTTCTGCCCCGGAAAGCAACCGTCTCGCTGGGCCTAGTAGCTCTCCTACCTGTGGACCGCCGGGCTTAAACTAGCTGAGCTGGCATGGCTGTCAGTCGCCCGTTGACCAGCCAGCTTGGTGACTAGTATCCGTAAGCCCATGAGTTATTTAGTTTAACTGGCTCGTCCGAGCTGCGCGTCAGGCCCTCGTATCGTTTCACAGCAGCAGCCAGTTTCGTCTTAGGGGAGGAGATCTCCAGCAACAACCTGTAACTGTAATTAAGATATTAAGCCAACGGCGGCCCCCCCTGACCATGTGCCAGCTCAGCCATGACCATGACCTCCCGCCGGTGGAATTTCGACGTCTTCCCCGGTCCGCGAATGGGAGCATAGGCCTGACCGGAGCAGTCGGAGATGGCGATGGTTGGTGGAAATGCAGGTTCAGACGGCCAAAACGCTGCACCATGACCTGCTTTGGCGGTATCAAACGGGGGAGCCATGCAGGTTTGTCCTCCGGGAAGATCAGTCGCAGGTTCGCAGCAGCAAGGAGGCTTGTTGACAGCAAAAAGGATGGACGGCGAAGGGCGTTTGCCTCCTTTTTCCACTCTTCCATGCTCATCTCGTTTGTAACCAACGCCGGGCGGAGACAGCGACGCTCACGGCTAGTCAGACTCGGCCAGCGGACTCGATATATAAACCGCTGATGGAGACCAGCCGGCGATCGAGGACTTTCTCTGCCCGTCGCTGCTCCCCTTGCACATCTCATACAACCTCCCCCAGGGCCCGAGACCCTCCCCGTCTTTGGCTGTCGTAGTTGTCATTCTCTTTCTTCAGCAGCCGCCAGGATGTATCGTATTGGTGTCGACGTCGGCGGGACCAACACTGATGCCGCCATCCTCGACATCACGGCCAGCGAGACGCCCTCGCGCGGTGTCCTCGCCTCGAGCAAGACGCCGACAACCCCAGATGTCACCAGCGGCATCAAGAGCGTCGTCGAGAGCGTCCTGACCAAGTCTGGCATCGAGCCGGCGCACATCCTGAGCGTGGCCATCGGGACGACGCACTTTGTCAACGCCGTCGTGGAAGCGGACGCCAGGAGACTCAGCAAGGTCGCCGTCGTCAGACTCTGCGGTACCTTTAGCCAGGATGTTCGTCTTTAGCTGTCTTTTGTTGTTGTTTTACTTATATGTTGTTGTTGTTGATATGCGATGCTGACGGGTGTAGATTCCGCCGTTTACCAACTTCCCTCCCGCCCTTAGGAGCATCGTTGAGTGCCAGTCCTACTATCTAGACGGAGGTAAGAGAGACATCTGCTCTTCTTTATATGTATAAAACAAGAATATATAAACTGACTCTGCGGCAGGCCTCGAGATCGACGGGCGAGAGATCACTCCCCTGAACGCTGAGCAGATCCGGGAGACCGCCAGGCGCATCAGCGCAGCCGGCATCACGAAGGTCGCCCTCATCGGCATCTTCTCTCCCCTCGACCACAGCGGCATCCACGAGGAGGTCTGCAAGAAGCTCATGCTCGAGGTTAACCCGGGCCTCTCAGTCGTCTGCTCCCATACCATCGGCGGCGTCGGCCTGCTGGAGCGTGAGAATGCCACCATCCTCAACGCCTCCATCCTCCAGCTGGCCCAGAAGACCGTCCGGGCCTTTGTGCAGGCCATGGCAGATCTCAAGCTCAACTGCAGCTTGTATCTAACTCAGAATGATGGGACCCTGACGGACGCCGTCACTGCGTCTGAGCTGCCCATCAAGACCTTTGCCAGTGGCCCAACCAACAGCTTGACCGGAGCTGCCTTCCTGGCCTCCCTGGACAGGAGGCACAGCAACGGGTCAACCGCAGAGAGACAGACGCTGGTCATTGATATTGGCGGTACCACCTCTGATATCTGTGCATTGCTGCCGTCTGGATTCCCCCGTCAGGCATCGAACTTCGTTGAGGTCGGTGGTGTGCGTACCATGTTCTCCATGCCAGAGGTACTCTCTATCGGACTCGGCGGAGGTAGCATTGTCCGCCAGGATGGAACCCATGTCTCTGTTGGGCCTGACTCTGTCGGCCACTATCTGACCAGCAAGGCCAAAGTGTTTGGTGGTGATACCCTGACTACCACTGACATTGTCGTTGCAGCCGGCAAAGGGCAGATAGGGGATGCATCAAAGGTTGCCGATGTCACTCAGCAGACCATCCAGGATGCTCGAAAGGCCATCACCAAGCTGCTTAACCGTGGCATTGAAAGCATGAAGGTCTCCTCCTTGCCCGTCACCGTCCTCTTGGTCGGAGGCGGCTCCATCGTCTATATGGACGACCTCGAGGGCGTAGAGGAATGCATCATCCCTCCGCACCACGACTCTGCCAACGCCGTCGGTGCAGCCATAGCCAAGGTCGCCGGAACAGTGGACGTCATCGAGATCCTTGCCGGAAAGGACGAAAAAGAAGTCCTCAAGCAAGTCGAAGCTGCGGCAATCAACATGGCTATCCAGCGTGGCGCAGACAGGGACACCGTCAAGATCGCCGAGATCGAAAAACTGCCCCTTCAATATGTCACTAACAAGGCTACCCGTATCATGATCAAGGCCGTCGGCAAGCTGAGAATACCCACAGAGGAAGAAGCCGAGCTGGAACGAGCCAAGCTGCCTAGTTATACCAACGGCACGAACGGGGTCAACGGTCACAACGGAAACGGCGTGGAAGGTGAGAAAGCTGCCGCCGCCGAAGATGTCTCTAGATCCGCTGTCAAGCACTCCGTCTATGTCGATATACCATCCTACAAGCCAGAAGTCGAGAACGATGTCTGGTACCTGAGTGCCCTGGACCTGGAGTTCATTGCCTCTGGCACTGGCGTCCTAGGAACGGGTGGCGGCGGCCCTTCATATCAACAATACCTGATTGCCCTCGAGTGTCTTCGCAAGAACCCCAAGCGGAAGATGAGAGTAGTAAAGCCTGAAAGCATGGCTGACACCGACATCTGCGTCTTCGCTTCCTGGTACGGCGCTCCTAGCGTGGCATCAGAGCGTATTCCCCAGGGAAACGAACTCATTCGATCAGTCGAAGAATCCGTCAAACTCACTAGACACGACAAGTTCCATGCCATCATGGCTGATGAAATTGGCGGAGGAAACGGAATGGTCACCTTCCCTACTGCAGTGCATTATGATATCCCGACTATCGATGGCGATTTGATGGGACGAGCTTATCCTACCATCCAGCACGGCACCCCTTACGTCTACGGTGAAACCATCTCACCTTGTGCCCTTGCCGATTCAAAGGGTAACGTCTCGGTCGTCATGCACGCTGAGTCGAACCAGAGAATCGAGACCATGCTTCGAACTACTTGCGTTGAGCTGGGACTCTTCGCCTCCGTCTCTGCTGCTCCTCTTACCGGCAGAGCCATCAAGCAGTACGCCGTCGAAAATACCATGTCTCAAGCCTGGTACCTCGGACGAGCCATCCACCTCGCTCGCCGGGAAAAGGTAGACGTCATCGAAGCAATCGTAAGTTATCCCCCTTTCAATCCATCCATATATATATCTACCGCCAGCTAACACAATCCCTAGTTCAAAACTACCCCCGGCCGCCTCCTATATACAGGCAAAATAATCGACGTTCACCGAGACGTCAGCCGCGGCTACACCATGGGCTACTGCATCCTCGCCCCCCTATCCAGCGACGAAGTAGCAGACTCCTACGACAACACCAACACCAACACCTCATCCTCTACCGAATCCCAACCACACCTAATCATCCCCTTCCAAAACGAATACCTCTACGCCGCTCACGTAACTAACCTCGACCACCCGCAAGCAAAACTCAACCAGGACGTCATCTGCACCGTTCCCGACCTCATCTCCATCCTAGATAAGGACGGCGAAGCAGTCGGATCCCAGGAACTCAAGTATGGTCTCCGTGTCCGTGTGATCGGCATGGCTGCTCATCCGCTCTGGACCCAGGACCAGAGAGGCCTTGATGTCGGTGGACCGAAGCATTTCGGTCTCGACATGGAGTGGAAGAGCATCGGGAAGTACCAGAGACCCAGGAGCGTTATTGATGAGTTCAACGTAATCGTTTGATTTAATTCCCTTAATGCTCTTGCTCTTACATGTTGCACATTTCTGGAAGTTTTAGAGATGTATATATCTTTCTTCTTTGTAGATACTTTAATTGACACGGCCTTAATATCATGCCCCTTGCCGTGTAATGAAACTGATATCATCATGGCCAATATAAATAATTAATTGTTGATTCATCATCATTGGAGAAAGATCGAAAGATGAAGATTTAAATTATGTAACACCATATGATTATATAACCTGATTATATAAACATAACATAAGCAAATATCTTAGTCAGCGCGTTTGTCGCGTCGCGCGTTTCTAATTTAATTTACTTCTTTCTGGACTTTACATTGAACGACAAGAAGAAACAGGGAAGAGCAGATAAATTGGCTCAGGATGGATAAACATAATGAGTGTGAGTGTTTAGACTAATACTGACATATTGACCCCGGTCACTGACATTTCTATCCAGGGACATGTGACGCCAACGATGCAGTGGAAATATCCATGGTCGAACCAGGCGATGACGGCCAAAAGTTGACTGCCCGCTCGACTTTCTACCCCCAATTCACATACCCGCTCTTCGGAGACGAGGAATCGATATTTGGCTATAGGAAGCTGAACATTGAACTTCGTTTTGCGGCTCACGACCTTCAATCCCATCTACAGATCTCATATGATGAGAAGTTCAAGCAAGTGGAGGATATAAAAGCTGTTGATTTGCTAAGGATTCTCAAACCATATCTTCCAGAAGGTATGCACAGGGCTTGGAAAGTGAGGGTTTGAACAAAACTGACGTGGTGCTAGCTTCTTTCTCGACTTTCGATGAGTTTAAGAAGCGGATAAACGATGGCAGTGCGCCCAAGTTCACACCCCCGGGAAAGCTGGTTCATAGCTATTCGAGAGATGAGAAAGACTACGAGATATGGGCTGGTTCTCTGGCCGATCCGGAAGTGCGCAAGACGCTCGATAGGATACAGATATTTGTTTCGTTTTTCATTGAAGGCGGAACTCCTATCGAGACTGATGACTTTGACTGGACGCTGGAAAGATGGATAATATATTTCGTGTATGTTTTTCTTCCTTTTCCCAGATTGATGATATTCTAACCCTGCTATAGATATGAAAAGCACAAGAAGCCATCCAGTCCAAAAGCATCACGGTACTCCTTTGCCGGATACGCAACCACATATAGATGGTACTTTTTCCACCCAAAGTCATCTAATGACGCAAAGTTAGGATATGAGTCCCAGAAAACAGATGCATTCGACTCGTTCCCCGTATCAAAGATACCCGCGCGGCTGCGTATTGCTCAGTTCCTCATTATTAAACCATATCAGCACGCTGGTCATGGGTCCCAGCTCTACCGCACAATCCAAAAGGCTTGCCTTGATGACCCTACCCTCTTTGAACTCACAATTGAGGACCCGAACGAGTCTTTTGATGCACTTCGAGACTCAAATGATTACCATATGCTAAAGCCAGAATTCATCAAAAATAACATTAGCATCAACCCCAACCTCCCAAACACCACGCCCGGAGCCTCCTTCTCTAACCTACCCAAACATCCCCGCGTCATGCCAACATCACTCTTAATACCAACAAAAACCCTCGATGATCTCCGACAAGAGTTCAAAATCGCGCCTACACAATTTGCCCATCTGGTTGAAATGTATCTTCTCAGCCAGGTACCAGAGTCCCATCGTGGAGCTGAGAACGTCAACATGACTCGCCTCACTACTCAGAAGTCTCGAATGCAGAACGAACATGATAGACGGTATTATTGGTGGCGCATGCTCGTCAAGCAGCGATTGTATAAACGACATCGCGACATGTTGATACAGATCGACAAGGACGAACGAGTTGTGAAGCTTGATGAGACGCTGCAAAACGTTGAAGAAGGGTACGATGTTTTGCTGAAGGCATTTGATGAACGACCCTCTGGATCAGGCAAGGGTAAGGGTAAGGCACGAGTGCAAGATGGAGCTGATGATGATACGGAGGGTGTGAGTGAGGCTCCTATTTCTTCAAATAAGAAACGGTCAAAGAGGAAGTTCACGGTTGAAGAGGATGATGAGGATGATGAGATGGTAGATGCTCAGCCTGCTAAGAATGGAGGTGGGAAGAAGAAGCCAAAAGTCTAAACTGGAGTGGTAATTTGGCTATGAACATGCTCTCGTGGTGACTACACAATCTGTATGATAATTAAAACCTTCTAGCGAGGAGTTGACGAATCTTTATTATGCACCGGTTGCGAAAACTTATAGATTTGTAGATAAAAGCGTAGTAGTCGGGCTGGATAAATTAACAGTATTAAACAGGTCCAGTAAAAGTTGTAAGCATCCTTACCTCCGTTGCAAGGCAGAAAAAGGCATTCATCTCATACTAGCACAAGGATTCTCAAGAGTCAAGGAGTAAAAGCAAAAGTAACGTAGCGGTAACCAACTGCAGAAAAAACAAGTCGAGCATAAAGAACAGTGGATGTCATGGAGTATAAAATCAATCAAAATAAATGACTTGGGTCCAAAATAGGAGATCTAAAGTATAAATAATAGAAGATAATGGTATATGATAGAAAGTAAAGAATACCCCTATCCACTAACCATCGTGGCTGTTTCTGGATCAAGACTGTCAACTGTATCCTCGGAATCGGTCTCAAAGCTGAGTATGCTAGTACTTGCTCTAGGAGAGCCGATCGTGGTCAAAGGAGCAGTGGACGACGGGGCTGGTGTGCCCGTTGCGTATCTTCGCGCAGCGATTTGAGTGATGTCTTGAGCCGCAAGTCTGGCCTGTGTTCGATCACCTGCGGCATGTGCACTGTTGGGATTTACGAGCTCACCAACAAATTCAAATACCCGCCGTAATCCCAAGATTTCATTAGGCATTGTATCGTTTTCTGAGCCCGGGGTCAAAGAGTCAGGGGGTAAAGCTGATATCCGGATGTCATCGCGTTGGTGGGCGTTGGTGGGAGTAGTTGGAGATTGGGCTATTGGAGTCATGTCTTCACGACCTAGCAGTCTGTGCCACCATTGTCTAAGCCGGTATCGACATGCTGCTGCTCGATAGGCGTGCAGTGTTCGTCTCTGTTCACGACGGGCTAGCATGTCCACTCGGCGTCTTCGACAACTTATTGAATTTCCGCAATGTTTTAGGAGCATGTAAATAACAGCCACGAAAAGGGAGACGAAGGCAAAGTCACGAATGACATGTTTTATTATAGCTGAACGAGAAGGTAGTTGATTGGGAGGCGGTTTTGAAGGTGATGGTTCTGTCCAACCTATATTGGAGTTTTGTGTAGTATCAATAGTTGTCGATGTATTGTTAGATCCAACCGGATAGGGTATATAGTATGGACTTGTACTATTTTTTCCTTCAGACCCTTCCTCTGATCCATTCTGACGGACTTTGGAGACGGGTCGACAGGGGCTATCTGCTAAGGAGGTCGGTAGAGGCCCAAACCGATGCTTCACGAGGCGAAACATGTCTGGGACAAGCTGAAAGGTAGCTGATATGAAGCACTGTAGAGTCTTACACTCTTTGAGCTCTGCTGTAAGATTGGTACAGTCTTCAAAGAGATGTTCCCGAATCTTTTCATCTTTCTCCTTGATAACATCGCCAAGAGCCTTAGCCTGATCTCTTAGTTTATGCAGTTCCTTGAGCTGTTCTTCTAGCTCAGCATCTGTGATGGGATGACCCTTGACAAGACTCGCTTGCTGTAGCCTGTCGTTTCCATTGGTGTTCAACCATTCTTCCAGGACAGACGGTTTATCGGAAGTTGGTGCTGGTGAAGTTACAAGGCGTAAAATTTCTGGTTTATCCACGGAATTGAATGAGACAGCAAACCCTGATGTATCGTTCCCTTCTTCCTGGCCGGCAGGGTAAAACGTGAAGGTGAGAATCTGGGCAGCATAGTCTTCAATAGACCCTCTAGGGCTGGCAATGCACAGGCTTCTCCAATGTAGACGTAAATCCACGTCTTCTTTTCTTCCCGCCACCTGGGCTGTAACCACACCATCTCCGACAGCATTGGCTCCATCCCAGGCAAAGGCTAGCTTTTGGTCATTTAGTCGCACGTCATTTTCCCCACAGACACTACTTGTCCGCGCAATACGAATGTTGAATATCTGCTCTCAGTATTAGAGTCAAGCAGCATAGATATACAGGATAGGGCATTGTGCTCCAGCTTACAACATTGGACTCCCCGTCATCAAAACAATGCCTACATGGCGTCTCGAACTCTACCGAAACGGCATCTTTGCCTACAGATACATCGCGTCAGCCATCAGCTATACAAACAAGTAAGGAAGTCTAATTGGCGGGAAGAACTAACTTCTATGCAACTTCACAGTATCAAACAGGCTTCTTCTTCTATGGGCGATGCTGACGGGCTGAGCGAACACTGTCACCACCAGCAAGAAGAGGATCAGGAACGTCTTGGCGGACCCAAGCATGGCGGAAGAAGACCCTGAGCCCATGGCACCTCATCCAGCCATGGTGTGCGCTGCGGTCTTATCCAGAACGAATGACAAAGGGCTATGCTACTACCGTCAAAACGTCCGACGGCGTCTCCGTTCAGTTTTGCGACGAGGAAGAAAGGAAGAGGAAGAAACGCCGCGACCTCGTGTCGAAAGCCGAGAAAGCTGCGCCCTCTTGCTTATGTCATCTACGTATTAGTCATTCATTAGTCAAATAATATTATCACGTGAGATATTTTGAGCCTCAAGCTTATTTTTGTCCAGGCAACAGCGTCGAACTCTGATAAATATATAGAGAACGAACTACCAAGCAAAATATCCTCAATGGACATAGACAGAAATGGCTTGTTGCGGGAAAAGAAGATGCGGTTGGACTGACCTTCTTCGCCCGACCCCTCAAGAGTCAGCAAAAGTCCTAGATTACTCATTCCATACATGGAATCGCCTCCTTTCGTTTGCGGAAGGCAAGGAGCAACTGCCCGATTCCTATAGCAATATACAAGCCCTTTTGCACAACACTCCTGCTATGCCGGACCCCTCTAGGATTTCAGAGCTTGTTGGAATTATTGCTTATTCCTGAACGGATAGTCGATATGGAACATTGACTCAACGGCACAGTGCCCTTTTGCTGCTGAGACTAAGAAGTCACGCTTCAGACAGTACGAATTGGCGTATTGAAACCTACACTTTGCTCTTTTTCAGACGACTCTCCCGAATTGGCCCGGTTTTGAAGCTTTGCCGGACTTATCTGGCAGCAATTTTCTCTCAGTTTTCGTTTTGGGCCGGTCCTATGTCCTCTCTACACGCTTGATCGAACTTCGAGGGAATCGATATGACCGAACTCAGTATACTGATAGTATGGCAATATTGGGAAACTCATTGATGAATTTAAATTCAAACACCAGCTATGGGCTGCCGATTGGTGATGTAACGGAACAAGAGTCTAGATGGTGGGCTGCAGTCCTCGCGAAAGGGTGTGGGTGGCGAGCAACGCTTACACGCGGTGACAAAGAGTACTGTCCGCCATGGGCCTGCCACTTGAAATATGGTGAACCGTTTACTCTTCTTCATGATAACCCTGAGTTATGTCTCTCTTCTGAAGTGGATCCTCCGTCATCGGCTCTGGCTCAAGGTTATCTCATCCGGCTGGCGGAAATGCATGATGTATTCGACCAGCTCCTCGCCGCTTTTACTGCAGCTCTTACTATCCCGAGTCGGTATCAATCAATAGGCAGTCAAAATCTGCAGTATCTTCATGGTTGAAAACAGTATTCATGGCCCAGGAAACATAGAACCTATACGCTGAACAAAGTTGATACATCCTCAAATAATCGCGTCACGAATACCAAAGCTTCCAAACCCCAATTGTGGTAATGATTATACTTACCATTATCTTGGTACCTTTGCGTTTATGAGCTCGATCAGTCTGTCCCTGATGGAATCGTCGTCTTAAAGGGCTAAGAGCTTTGCTCGAAAAACACTGATTCACGGCAGAAGGTTTGGATAGTTTCCAGTTAAGGAGTGGGGGAAGCCATTGCCTAAATATCCTTGGGCCACGTACCCTTACTTTGAAAACCTATGTTGAGCCGCATCCAAACATACCGCTTTATGCATCCTCTTTTAGGCAGCAGTCGGGTTGGCCTATCATAGCCCTAAGCCCCTTCCTCTTAAAGGTCCTTGGGATGGCAGCCTGGTGAACCGAGTACCCTCGTAAATGCAATATGCAGACACTCGCTCATGAAGTGTTTTTTTCCTGTCATTGCTCTTCTGGTTTTGCTACTCTTGTTCTTCCTAGAGTTAAGGTTAATTTCAATCCCTATCATAGTTATGGGGCAAGGGTTAGCAGATAATTTGTACCGACAGAGCGAGATATCTGCAATCTGCAGCCTCAAGGCGTCATGGATGAAGAGAGCCAAGATTGTAGCAGTAATTATAGTAAGTTTCCTTAACATTAAGGGGCGTATCGCAGCATGTTAAGTCGGATGCGTCCGTGGTGGTGTGGTTTGTCTTGTGCCCTTTGTATAAAACTTGACATGGATAATAATGTGAGTATTAACTATGGTGGTAGTGAAAGAGTGAGTGGTGCCGAATTGAAGCTAAGTCGCATCAATAGTAATAGTAATTATTTACTGGGAGGCTGTATTAACTATCTGTTATAAATAGCTCTAACCTATTAGCTCTTCGTGTGGGCTCGCTCTTTTTGTTCAGCCAACAATTATCACGCGCTCCTCTCAACTTGGTAATAGAGATCTATTAATTACCACCTGGTTGGTTCTCGGGGGGAAACCATCTCTATATATCAAGGCGACTATGTGATATTTCGGATCAAAGGTCAAGAAAGACAGATCCGTTTGACACTATGAAAGCTGGACGAATACCTACCAAAGCAGCTAAACTAAAAGACTGATCCCACACTAGTGGTCAGCAAGTTGAAGTTATAACTATTATGACAATACCATATCAACAAAGTCTATCGCTTCAATATTTCTCTGCAGTATATCTTGCAAGGACTTGGCTGTGTCTTTGGCCTATGGCGATAGAACGATGATTGCACCAGATGCCAAACATGCAAGGCCTAAATCTACACCCTCCCACCTTTATTTATATGGCAGTTTGTCCACCTCTCTTCCTCCTCCAACCCCAGAAACTGGAGCTGCTGAATTCTCGCCGTCTAAGTGCCGCCGGTTCCAAACTGCCAAATATTATTGAGCTCCTGTCCCAGACTCAATGGCCCAATTCGACGAGAACTGAAATATCTTAAAAGTTATCGACAACCTTAGGGAAGCCTTTAGTACCACCGACAGCTTTAACTTCATTCTATACTGGCTAGTTATAGCAGATTATATCAACTAACCTATAAGGGAATGTCTTAGTAACGCTATAAAAGGCGTCAATACTACACAAAGAACTCTCCTTGCCGTAGCCACAACCCTATAGATGGCCTCAAATGACGCGATCTGCGCTTTACAGGTCCTATCTGAGGTCTCTAACGAGATGGTGTATAGCTATACTATTACCCCGGCTTGGGTAGTAGTCTATGTGCTAGTGGGATTAATAGTTAAGTGCATTAACGCCAGACTTGCTTTAACCCTTAACCTCCTGAGACTAAGACACGACTCTCTAGACGGTCCGGAGTATAATAGATAACAAGTTGGTGACCCGTATTTATAAAGTCGTTATTAAGGACGCTAATACTAGGAGTAATAACGCCTGATCTATAAATTATAAGGCCATTATCGTGCGGCGCTATCGTTAGTTATGTTGTTATCGTTCTGTGACGTCGTTATCTTGAAATGGTAGTTACGCCACTTGCAACACTTTTTCCTTTTTGTCCTTTTTATTCGTTCTTCTTTTCTTCTCATGTACTTAAGCTTCATCACTGTCGACTATTGCTGGTTAGAATTCAGGCATTCGCAGCACCAAGCCTTTTTGAGCAGGGAGATTTGATAATATCTTCAAACAACCATGTTTTCCGGCATTGATAGAGTAATCGAAGTTATAGGACATGATCAATCACCAAATAATAATAAGACCCAGAGTAGAAAAGTAATCGTAGGATCATATTACATTACCGTTCATATTACATATAGTCCCTAGTCTTGTTCTCACAAAACTCCCAAAACTCCTTTGACCTCCCGGTTCCTCCATCCTCCGTCAACTTTGACGCATCAACTAGATCCTGTCTTGGTGTTTGAGACACTCTACCCCAGGGTATGATATAGCATCCGTTCTCCTCGAGGCTTACTTCTGAAGACAGCCCGGCAAATAACTCAGTGATGGCAGCTAACTTTGGCTTGTATAGTAACGGCATGGCTAGGAATTTCATCCAAGGAGTGTGCCTGAGGAGATTTGTATTCGCAGCCCCAGGGTTAAGCGAGACACTTATGATGTTGTGAGAAGGACCAACTCGTCGTGCAAGTTCTGATGCTATGAACATGTTTCCGGCCTTGGACGTGACGTAGGTGCGAGTTTGATCCTTTGGGGGTGTTGTGAGTTCAGACATGATGATTCCGCCCTGAGGGGCAGACAACTCAACAATTTGGCTACCTGTCCAGACAACACGTACTGAACCCGGGCTAGACGTTGCTGCTGTGGCTTCTAACAGAGGGAGAAGTAATTGTGTGAAGAGGAAAGGTCCGAGGCAGTTTGTTGCAAGCTGTAGTTCAATCCCTTGTTTAGATAGGCTTCCAAGTGGTGGCTGAGAGACGCCTGCGTTGTTCCAAAGAACATCGAGCCTGGATTCTTTCTCCTTGAACTCGTCCGCGGATGCCTTGATAGTGCTCAGGTCATCAAGCACAAGGTGAAGAAACTCTAGGCTTCCACCCTTCGGCACAGCAGCCTGTATCTCCTTGATGGCCTTTTGTGCCTTCTCCTCGGACCGTCCAGCGATGTAGACTTTTCCACCTTTCTCATAGAGCATTTTCACTAGCTCAAAGCCGATGCCAGACGCGCCTCCTGTCACGATAAACACCTTTCCATCCTGCGAACTCACTTCAGCTTCCGTCCAGGTCGGTTTGGGCGGGAAAAACTGCGAAAACTGAGCACCCATATTGGCCACGAACTGTCTCTCCTATGAGGATTTTTTGGTTGTGAAAGGTAAATGAAAGTTGATAGAAGTTAGAGTTGAAACCAAACGACACCAAGCGCTCGGAGGTAAGAAGGGAAAGAAGCTTGTCACGGAGAAGCTTGAGCCAAAGCTCTTAGTGCTGATGAATGCGCTTGGCGTAAAGGTTTCTTATAATGTGCACTGCCCTCCAAGATCCTTCGAGCCTGGAGTGAAACACTGTTGTACAAAGAGGATGTGATTAGGCTTTGTGACGTCCTAGTTGTACGACTCATAGTTATATCTTGCGCCAGACAAGGTGGGCTGAGATCGCCGACTGATGATCTTCGCACCGGGCTGGGGTGCGGGAACCAATCGAGATTGACTCACCTCTCACGCCGGAGTCGACTGAAGGCAGACAAACTAAGGAAACCCATGCACGCTGCCTTATCTAATTGCTAATGTAAGTAAGAGACAGGGGCTTGTCTGGGCTGAGCATGTGAGGTATATATCCCGAGTCTTTGTCAGTGCGATGCCAAAAAATAATAATAATAACAAGAACAACATATTGCTGACGTAATTATTGTAAGAGGAAGGAACGTTGTGCAGCGTTAGTGTTTATAGAAAGTGCGCGTCAATTTCCGCTTTTGGTAAGAGCAATATATGTCCGTGCACATCAAGGTTTGGTCTCCACTTTATAAGCATCAGTCACATGACATAATATTATTTCACGTGACTAAAGAATTTAAGGTTAGCGGCCAGGTTTGACTTTCCTTTCTCGGCGTGTTTTCAATCTCCGAATCGAACGTCATTCTATCGCTTCTCCCAGGCTTCTTCCGGTCTCTCTCAATTCTCCCGACGTCTGGATGATCCCGAGCACGCTGATTGACACGCCACACACGCGCGTTGGTGTGGGCGCATTGCTTATACGGGGCATGCAGGCTGGGGACATGGGTGATGCGCGTTCCTGCTTGGTTCGCTGGCGGCTGGGCGGACGAGTCATTCGCCATTTGACGTCCACGCACCTCTTTCGCTATTCTTAGTGGGATTACGTTTTAGAGCCGGAATATCGGTCCGGTACGAAGACACGGACCCTACAGAGAACTAACCCGGCGTTGAGTCGTAGCAGATGATGAGGATGCGTTAACTCGTGTTGTAAGAAACCCGCCGAGATACTTGGCCGCTGCTCGAGCAAAGCAATAGTCTCTTGGACAGAGTCCGTGGTATCAGTGTTTGCCACTAGGTGTATGAAAACCAATAATATTCCTAAACATGAATGGAACGTGCCTCGTTAAATGTACATCGATAAAAACCAAAATGGATGCGGACAAGAAGGAAAGAAGAGCACGAAAGGAAATCTACCGGGAAGGAAAAGACCAGCTTCAAGACACGTTCTGTGCCACTCCAGGAATACCCCCATATAACTGCTCCGTATGTGGATACAAATCTTTTATCGCCCCCGAGTATCAGTAGTCGTGGTAACGTGGGCAGTAGATGCTCCAGACGAGATTCCCAATATGGCTGTACCTTACTGCTTCAAGGTATGCTCGAGTATCCTTGGAAAGGCTGCAGTCCTGTTTTGCCTTTTCGACAATGGTGTTAAACTCAGCCACCTGCTTTTTGATCTCCTCAGCACATACGACCATCGCCTCTTCTTCACTGAGAGACCGCTCTTGCATGATGACCCAGACAGCGTTGAAGACATAGTCCAGGCCGTCCGCTGCTGCATCGTCACGCTCTTTTCTCCAAGAGTAGAGGTCGTTTGTGAGGCCAAGGGCAGCATATCCCGGCCTAGCCAGCTCCATACAAAGCTCTAACTCCTCGTCTGGGATGGTGAGGCCCATGCCAAAGGTCAATGTTCCGAACCAGATCCTACAGCAAGAGTTAGAGCAATGAACATAAAATGGATAGAAATGATTAGTCAAAGCACTCACAGCTCTCCGGCGTCGATTACTCGACTGGGGATGTATTCCTTCAAAGTATCAAAAGGACGTGCTCTTGTTCGGGAAGCAAGCTGAACGAATTTGGACCATGCCTTCATAGCTGTGATGGCGCGAGGAGGGTCTATGGCAACCATGTTTTGCAAAATCTGTGCCTGGAGCTTTTTCTCTTGGCCATCATGAGATGTGGCTTCTTGATCTAGTGCCTTGTCATCATCGAAGGCATCTAGCATGTCGTGATGTTTTCCATCTTTATACTACTCATGGTTAACATCGTTTCCCGTACGGCTACTAGGGATAAAAGATCATCTACTTACCCCCTTAAGGTCAAGCTTCTCCATGGCGTCTATATGACCCATTAGTATAAGATGGAACGAGTGGTGATATGGGTTAACCGACCATCATAAAGGAAGGCAAACTCGTTAGCATACGAGATTATCTCCAGTCGCTCAGGGAGGCATTCTGGAACAGTCACTCGAATGAAGCTGAATGGATATCCAAGTCCACCCTTATAACCGTACACCGGGCGTACGTTCTTGCTCCAGTCGTCTTGTGCCCGGAGTGCACCATTGATTTCCTTATATGGATCTAGATGCATACGGAGGGGAATGCCAAGGTCGAGACCATCCGTCTCATAGAACTTTGGGTCAATCTCAGAAGAGTATTGGAAATCCATGGTGAATTATGACTAGAAGATGGTATTTGAGCAAAAGGCTATGAGGAGTGCAATAGTATTCCTCAAGCAAATATAAAATATGAAGAATGGTGCAGTTGAGAGCTAGAGTTTTTTCATACCTAAAGCCCCGAGGACCCCTTATATATCATTTTGATATACGTCTATCGTTGACAGCCTATGATCCTTTCACATTATCCACTCACCAGCTATTTCGGTAGCCTTTCTTAGTACCGGACGTATACCTTCGATGTACACCATGCCTTTGGTACGGAAATGTGCGGCGCATTCAGCCCATGCAAATTAACTAACGGGAAGGCTTCCCACTTAGAACTTAGCGAAGGGGCCATGATCCAGTCTTTCTAGCTGTGGAGCTTCAGGCTGATAACTAACGTGAAGCAACTACTCTAGTTAACTAACGGATGGAGCCTTTAGGTGGGCCAGCCGACTCTTCCATCCAGCCTACCTGGCCCCAAACTAGCCTCTCTCCCTATTTACCAACAATTAACACAAAGGTAAAAACACTGCGCATGGGTCGAGAACTGGAACTGCGTGTCTATAGTGCAAAGCTTACGAGACAACCAACGGCTAAGCCGCCAAAACAGTCAGTGGATGTCTTGATAGTTCGGCATGCGCCGCCAACATGTCTACATGAACTTGCATTCGTCCCGCTTGCAATAGTTAATATGTGTCTCCAACACTAAAGGGAATTAGCCACGCTGATTGGATTCGTATGCAGGGTCTGCTGGCTGTGAGGACCCCTGTTGGTTGCTGATCCGAGGATTTGTTCTGGGGCTGGATAGAACTTTATTGAGAGACTGGATTACGGCGTTACCAAAACCACCTGGCGCGAGGCTGGCCCTCCGTTTCTGCAAATAAAAAGGTCGATAATGCGCTCCGAGATGAACTTCAGTCGCCAACCAAGCTTCATATTCTCCTTTCTGGTACGCTCTCTTCAATTGCCAGCACCCTAGAGAGAACGATACAATGGATAACATACCGTTTAACCTGCCTGCCACCTTGGCCATATTGGCAGGGTCTTATACCCTGTACTCGCTGTGTTTTATCATTTACAACATCTACTTTTCCCCTCTTTCCAAATTTCCGGGGTCAACGTGGGTGATCGCAACTTACTGGCCCGAATTCTACTATGATTGGTGGTGCAATGGGAAATATCTATTTGAAATCGAAAAGATGCACGACAGATATGGTAAATCATTGGTTCTAAATCCTACCAAACGATCCTCTCTAGCAGAAACTGCGGAATTCGTCAGATCAAGCGAGCTAATGGTTAAAAGGCCCGATAATCCGGATCAACCCTGAGGAGCTTTCCATTCGTGACCCCGATTTTTACAATGAGATCTATGTCACAGAAAGCAAACGCAGGACAAGCCACTATGATGTTTTCTGCAAAGGAATTGATTTCGATGGTCAGAAAAATAAATACCCCTGGCACAGAAAAGTTCAAAAAATGTTACCTTAGAACTAACCTGTTGGTAGGGTCGCATTTGCTTACCGTGGACCATGATCTCCATCGCCGTAGGAGAAAGCCGCTTGAGTCATTCTTCTCACGCCAGGGTATCATGCGGCTTCAAGACATGCTGGCAGAGGTAGCCCTCAAGCTTGAATCACGAATCAGAGCTCTTGAAGGGACAAACACGGTGATTCGACTGGACCATGCATTCTCCGCATTTTCCGGTGATATCATTGGGAAAATCTGCCTGGACAGTGGAGACGAGAGCAAGACGTTTTTGAGTCACCCAACATTTAATCCAGAGTGGTATGTAACGCAAGAAGCCTACCCCTAATAACTAGATGCATAACTGACTGTGTGACTAGGTACGACACCATACACACGATTGTTCGGTCAATCCCCTTGTTTACAGCCTTTCCATGGATTGTCCAGTGAGTTCAATAGTCCACCATGATGCCTTATCGGGGCTGAAAATAGAACCAGCATTTCTAATTGGGAGCAGGATTGTGAGCTTCATCCCAGAATCAATCCTTCTCCGGGCATTCCCAAGGGGCCAAATGTTTAACAACTTCAAAGAGGTTTGTAAATCCCCTCCAATCCTTGCATTGGGGCCGCTTCAGATTAAAAATTTACAACAAGGCAATGCTAAGAAGGATTTTATTAAATTTAGGTGGCGAAGCAGCACATTTACCGAGCCTTGAGAGACACAGAAGAAAGTAAAAGAACAGGCAAACAGGATACCCATCATGCCTCTCTCTTCCACTACATCGCAACAAGTGATATGCCTGAATCTGAACGATCACCGGAGCGACTAGCTAAGGAAGCTCAGGTCCTGCTTGGTGGCGGAACCGCTAGTACTGCACGTACCATTGGCTTTACATCATTTTATATCATGTCTAACCCGGAAATCCGGTCGAGGCTGGAGGATGAGCTCCGGGACGTGATGGCTGATTGGCCGCAGCGCGTCCCTTCTTGGGCTGAGCTTGAGAAATTGCCCTTCCTGCAGGCGCTCATCAAGGAATCCCTTCGGTAAGCCCCAGGATCCCCAGCCCTAAGCAAACAGTTGGTGCTAATAAAATTTACTCTCATAGCCTCAGCTATGGTGTCATGCACAGGCTTCCCCGTATCTCGCCCGATGTGTCTATCCAGTACAAGCAATACAGTATCCCGCCTGGTGTAAGATATCATTGCAACCCTTTCTTACCGCTTCGCCAAGATGCAACAGCTAACCATTGGTTCAGGTGCCCGTCGGCATGTCAGCTTATTTCATGCACTCCGATGCCAATGCGTTCCCCGAGCCAGACAAGTACATCCCAGACCGATGGCTTGGAAAGGTGACTCCTGAGATGCACAGGAGCTATGTCCCATTCACACGAGGGTCCAGAAACTGCCTGGGAATGAAGTGAGTGATATCTTCCTTTACCGTTATTGGACACGCTGTGGCGGGAATAGATCTGCCTGCAGCCAGACCATGCATGTGCTAGCGGCGTTTGCTTCGTATAACGAGTAAACGGAGATGCCTGAGTATCCACATTTTCGGGGGCTAACGGGGTTCTCAATTACTTCATACAGTCTTGCCATGTCCGAGATGAGCCTTATCCTCGCAGTCCTTTTCCGACCAAACGGCCCCAAGTTCGAGCTTTTCGAAACAGACGAGAGCGACGTCAAGCAAGCCCACGACTTCCTTATCCCGCTGCCAAAGGTTGAAACGAAGGGAGTCAGAGCTATCATTCGCTAGCCAATGAACTAACTAACGAGGAGAGGATATTATTTGCGCCGTACAGAGACACCATATTGAAAGTCATATCTAAGCGCTGCAAACCTACATAGAACTAGCATGTTAATAAATGCCCAATATAGGATACCATTGGATACCTTTCTTGCTTAACAAGTTAGTTATTTATATCCCTGGGCCTACTAAGCCTGGGCTTTTTGACTTGGGCCGTGGCCATCTATCCCTGGCATTAGGGGCTAAGTCTATATGCAAGTTACCCCATACTAAGACAGCCACGAAGGACCCGGAGCGCCCACCGAGACTAAAGTAGTGGAATGAGCACATCACTCCTTGTGTCGAAGGTTGCTTTATCTCGTATTCGCGCCGAAAATACGGTTAAGATTTTGTCACCGTCATCGTACGGAGTATAGTAACTTAGCATTGCATGGCTGATGGATAGGCGGGAGTTTGCTTGCCCTCTGCTTTCACATCTTGAAGCCGTGCACTGCGGCTTGACACCAAAACAGGGCATGGGAATGGTGCGGGTACGGAGTACATCGAGAGTACATGCAGTGACTTAGACTAGATACGCATCGGGTGTGCCTTGCTGCGTTGGCTATGTATAATATGGATGTTATACCTGATGTAAGTATGTTGTCGTATGCAAGACAGGGGTCGAGAGGAGATTGCATCATTTTAAGAGCAAGGAAGAATACCGGTCTTCATCGCATCTGGGCCTAGGAAAGATAGAGCGGTGTTCATAATCCTCTCCAAGACCTCTTGGAGTAATAGGGGGTTGACCCTAGGGCGTTAATATACAGGTAAAATGTGCCTACCATTCCATTCCATTTTCATTTCATCATGCCCTTTTGATAACTAGATACTCAGTTTACAGCTGATATCAGCCGCAAACGCACTTCCAGCTGCACACCTTACAGCATCGCGTAGATTAGCTTAATCCGATCTCCGCTTAATTCTCACATCAATCGGTTTCTTCTCGACTAGGAGAAACGTCCTCAGCTCTTCCCATCTGAGTTTCTTCCCCTCTACAGCCTCAAAATCAAACGCCCAGACTAATCTCGCGAGAATAAGTCTCAGCTCTGCCCATGCAAGATGTTGGCCAAGACATTCTCTTGGTCCAACGCTGAACGGCTGGATAGCGTTGCGCTGGTCATTAAAAAAAGGTGATTTTGGGTTGGTGCTAGCTTCAGGGAGCCATCGCTCAGGGATAAATGACTTTGCTGAGTGGAAGAATGCTGAATCACGGTTTAGGGTGTAGGCTTGAATGCTTACCGCGGTCTGATGTAGTTAGTAAGTAAGGTGGTCAGATGTCTCATGCTGTAGATGTGTGGCTATATAAATAGAATGAATTTAAAAGACGAGGAACTTACACCTTCGGGTAGCCAGGTTCCACAGACAGTGTCACCTCCACGAGGAATAACTCTAGGCAGCATCCATGGAACGGGTGGACAGGTTCGGAGTCCTTCCCGAAGTACAGCGTTGAGATATGGGAGATCATGGAGGGCATCCAGGGTCATGTCGCTCTCGCTTCTGAATGCGCTGCGCACCTCCTTGGTGAGTTTTGTAAGTGTCTCCGGCTGGGAAACGAGATGATTCATCGTTCCACTCAGTGTGGTTGCAGTGGTCTCGCTTCCAGCAGTCGTCATCACCATGAAGGTGGCATAGATCTCCCCTACCGGCATCTTCGTGCCTCCGTCGGATTTGATGACATGAGACATGAAGTCTGGACGATCCAGTTCCCAGCTGAGGCGTCGGTCTACCTTGTCTGCGATCTGCTGGAAGTGATCCTTCTGCATCTTCTTGAGGGACTCAGGTATACATTTCATGAGCATAAAAGTGACTAGCGGGAAGAATTTGGCTGCGGATATGAACGAAGCAGCCTTGACGCTGTTGAAAAGAAGCGCAATCCACGGATGATACCGGGAATTTTCGAGACAGTCGAACGACTCTCCAAAGCCCAGTTCTCCAAAGATATCAAACGTGGTGAAGTTGAACCAGGGCCCAATATCAAACTCAGCCCCCTTTTTGCAGTCCTTGACCTCGCCTGCCTTATCGTGCATTCGTTGGATCAAGAGATTGACGTATTTCTGAACAAACGGCTCCTGTGCCTTCAACGCACGAGCGGTGAACCCCGGAGCCAGTATCTTTCGTATCCGAGCATGGTTTTCCGGGCTGATAGCGCTGAGTATAGAGTCAGGCTGGCCGTTCATTCTGGCCCACCAGACGGGGTCTTTGAGGAACGGTTTATGTCCCAGACGGACTCGAAAGATATCATTGTAGGCATTTCCATGCGCAAAGGTGACTTCATCCGGCGCTGTACGCACGACAGGCCCGTATATCTGGTGTAGTTTCTCAAAGTCGTGTACTATCGTCCCCCGGATGAGCGCGCGGCAGTAGGGAAGACGAGTAGCTGCCCATGTCCGCGGCCCGGGGATCTTCGCCAGCGGGTGGAAGAACAGGTTGTAGACGATCTTGCAGACGGGATACTGTATTCATTTCGTTAGCCCGCCATCCCGATAAATGTATTCAGCGTGCAAACAGCTTGCAGCGCTGGTTTCTTTTGATAAGCAGTTAGCTAGTTAGTGTGTGGACTCAGTCGTACCGCCAGTAACAACGCCGCCGCCACCACCAGGCCCTGCATCTCGAAGACGGCCATCTCGACCAGCAAAACAAAGAGCGCACAACGAGCAGCAGCACGCGGGAGAAACTAGCGAGCAGGGACGGAGAGAGATGCTGCTGGCCTTTTGTTCAGCGCTCGACGTCCTCGCGGCCTCATCTGCGGCTTTGGCTACTGAGCTGGTCCCGGACAGCCTGCGCCTAGCGTCCTCGAGCCTCGAATCCCACGACTTGGGACGGGCCTTTTTTTCTCGCAGAGGACGAGGTCCGCAATAACGGAGTATGGCTGTTGCATGGATGACCTATAGGTCCTGCCAGTTATGTTTCGATGTCCAACGCGATCCCGGTTCGTGGAACCGCGTTAGTAGCTATCACATCTTGCTACTTGTTTGTTTCTTTGATGACTTGCGTGGCTAACCAACATCTAGATACCCAACGTCTACGGCTACCATCAGATCAGATCTCTTTCATGGGGTAATCGTTAGCTAGTGGGTGAACCTGTAGAAGAGGGAGTGTGGCGTTCTCAGCTCAAGGCTGGTCCCCTGTTGAGTTACCTGCCGCCTACGCTTCCACCAACCGGCCAAGATAGGGATGTGATATCAGCTCTGACTGCTCGACGGCCTGGCCTTGGTGTAACGGGATTGCCTGATCTTTCAAGGAGGGGGCACACGCCGGCATTCGCTCTGTGTCTCGTCGCTTTGTCTGGGTGGATCTGCCCTGCAGCAGTCCCTGATGTCCATCAAATCAACCTTTCGCCTGGTGGCCCCAAGGCTGGCGGATGGGCTAACGAGTGCAGGCAAATCACGGTTGCCAGAATACGAGCTTCGCCCCAGGATCGCACTAGCCGTACATGCTTTTCATGCTCTGTGAGGACAATCAATGACCTGATTGAGGGGATTCGAGAAGTGCACCTGGCTGAAGACTCGCTGGGAGGATTCGACAGGCTAGGGGGCCCCAGCTAGGCCGCAAGTCGGACAAGCTTCTTGGGTGCTGTGCTGTTCCATTGCTCGGTCCGACGAACCAGAGGAACCTTTCGACGTTTTCTTACTTCGTCAGCCAGCGCTGCACAAGGTGATGGGCAAGCCTGAGGAAAAAATATGCATGAGACCAGGCGGCAGACCAGGGGAGCTGCTGGATGGCTGCTCCTCCAGTATCTGCTTTTGTCTCTGGCATGACATGCCCTGCAGGATGGCGAAGCCTCTAACGTCGTATATTATCTTTCCCTCTCTGAGTCCGGTCTCTGTTTCCCTCTCCCTCTTCTAGCTGGCTGTCGGCCTTTCTCCTGTCTGCTCATCCTACAAGACTCAGCTCTGTCCTTCCAACCAACTTCGACCACCTATAGCTATCAGACTGAGCTTCGAGGAATCGACGACGCCATGGCGACCCAGTGGCTTGGAGCTATCCCTCCCCCTCCAGGCGTCACGCCCAATATCGTCGACCCTCCGAGCCAGTGGGCTGGCAATATCGCCCTTCATACGGTATGCCTCTCTCTGGCAACTGCGGCGGTTACCATGCGGGTTTACACCCGTACGATCGTCACCCGTACGAACATGGGAGCAGATGACTGTATGTGATTCTATCTAGATTTGATGAATAGTTATAACTAACATATGATCTATAGATTTCTGTCTGGCTTCATATGTAGGCAGCCATATCCAAGTACCCTCCGTGATTCCGATACTAAGACATGAACTATAGGTATTGACAGTCGCATTTTCGACGTTGATGATAAAATGTAAGTGTGGAAGCCCTGTTTCTATAGATCACTCTGCTGATATCTTTCAAGCATATACCCTCGGGATTGGCCGCCATCTATGGGATACTCCACCGCTCTGGGTTCCATATGCTTTGAAAGTACGGAATATATACCCTTGACTACCAACATGAAGAAATCGAATCTTCTAACATAAAGCAGTGGTTCACCTTTGCGCAATACGTCTACTTGATCCTCACAGCAACGATCAAACTTACATTCCTCTTCTTCTACCGGCGTGTATTCTCACCACAGACATTATCAAACATTTTGATCACCTTCGGCATAACCTTCGTGACCATCTCCCACGTTGCAATCCTCTTTGCAACTATCTTCGCATGTACCCCCGTTGCTCGTGCATGGAACATCACCATTCCTGGCCGGTGCATTGATCCCACCATTCTCCCATACCTCTCCGGCGCTCTCAGCTCATCAACCGATCTCTACGTACTGATCTTGCCAATTTACCCTGTCTGGAAGCTGAACATGAGACTACGCCGCAAGATCAAACTTCTTGGTGTATTTGGTCTAGGTATCTTGTACGTATACCCTATTATCGTTATATGGCGCGAAACATCAATCTAACAAACACCTTTACAGTGCTGTGGCGGCCAGTTTGGTTCGACTTGCAGAAACCCCTGTTCTGAAAAGTAGTCCCGACGCTACATGGAACATTTCTCGACTAGCTGTCTGGGCGTAAGTTGGACCCCCTCTTTTACCATAATAAGTAGTTAGCCGCATCTAACAGTTTGTACAGCGTTATCGAAGCAAATGTTGGAATCTTCTGCGGATGCCTATTGCTCCTCCCAGCATTCCTTGACCGTCATTTACCTAAATCTTTCGCCTCTTCGATCAAGGGACTATTCTCTTCCTCCAACAGCCGAAGACTCGAAAAGGGCGGCAGCTCCGATGCCTCGTCAAAGCAATACTCGTGGCCTAACTCGACTCATAGCCACAAGGTCTCAGTATCAACTTCTTCAAAGGGCCACAGCTATCTAGAGCTCAACCCTTCGAATAGTGTGCACGACGCCGTTTAGAGTATGACACGGTTGATCATCTCTCTTGCTCTCTTTCTCTCTTTTATTCTTTCCTTCTGATACCTCTGGGAAATATACGGTGTGATGAGCTGATTCTGTATATATTACGCTCTTGGGATACCTTTTTTTATGTTTACCTATTAATATGACATACTAGCACTGCTGTTGCTTATTATGCTTTGATAATCTGGTTTCTTTTCTATGGGGTTTACCTCTAGCTTTATTAACATACTACTATTTGGGCTATCAGTGAAGCTGTATAAAATATATCATGATGTTGCCTCTAACGCCTTCTGTGCAAATGTGTAAATGTAAGTATGCAAGTACTCCGTATAAACAGTCCTGTTGCCTATGAACCACAAATGCTTCAGTTGAACTACTGTAAAATGACATAAACGTGATATATCCGTAGAATAAACGCTATTCGCAAGTATCTGCAGATATTATTGATCAACAAACCAGGCAGGATCATCAGGTTTCAAGGCCATGTAGCCCCCATTGGTCAGTTCATGGATATCCCTCTGTATATGACTTATGGGAGTGATAAAAGATGCCGAGCTATCCGTGGCCATGGCCAGTCCGACAAATTCGCCCTTTGAATTCACAACCATCGAACCCGAGTCTCCCGGGCGTGAAAATTCACCGTCCAGTGAGAGGACTTCCACCTCAAATGTCCGCTCACCAGAAGGCCACATCACTTCCCTATGCAGATGGTTGATTCTGCCATAGGTAGTGTCCGACGAACGCCCATTTTTAGATACCCAGTCTCCAAGTTTTACATCGCCGAAGGCTATCACCTAACAATCAGGGCTCATTCTAAAGACTCTGCAGAGCGAAAGGCTGAAAGTATCTTTGGTAGGATACTGCGGAAGCTTGTTAGGTCTGAAGGTGGCAGGGGAAGTAATCAGGGCCCAGTCCATTCTGGAATTTTCCCTCGTCCAGTTTCCAGACGCCAGGGTGACTGCCCCTATGGCTGGGTTGGTCATTCGTCTGTAGAGGGCTTTATACTCACACCCAGCATCGAGTGAGTTGGCTTCTTCCTTGGGGAGGCTGGTGAGGACATTTAGCGTGTGATTTCCGTCGCAGGCTGCAGGGTATTCAGCCACGAGGCGACCCCGAGGATCGCCAGGTACAACACCGTGAACGTCCGTGTGAGCTGCAGTGATACGGTCTGCGGCTCTAACGACGTGGTAGCATGTCAAGACACCGCAACCGTATATCTCTACGAGGCATATAAAGCCAAAACTACCTGCCGAGTGAGCCAGGCTCTGTGTTGTTGTTTTGAACACTGATAGATGAACCATTAACAGGGTGTTTAGTGAGATGGGAAAGATACTTGGGCCGATCATGGCTTCGGGCAAGGCATATCTCTCCGGGGATGAGTTCCAGGTGTATATCCATGGGAGCTTTGTCGAGGACTTCCAGGATGCGGTCCTCAGCTGTTTTGAAGTCACCACGGCGCCCGAAGCGACAGTACATTAACAAAGTAGCACGGCTAGGTGTGTCAGGGGAAGATCCAAGGGGCACCCGCATATGATATGCTATTGAGGACCAACAGCCTTCCAAGGTCTCCATGACCGTCTCTGCCACCTCCTTCTGGGTGTCCCGAAGACACTTGACAAGGGCAGGGTCGTCTGGCACAGCTCGAGAGACATCCATATACATAAGTTCCTTGTTTTGGATTTCCACCTGGGCATCCCCGGTGAAGTCGAGCGGCAGCTCATGGCGAAATACTCTGAGTATTTCCTCTGCTGTTGTTTTCCACCTGGTTGTGTTGGTATCATCTGAAGATATCAGGATTGTATGCTGCACCTCGTCAACCCCCTTTGGCCGCCAGTCGCCTAGACGTGCAAGCATGCAGTTGATGTTGAATTTGCCCAGTATGCTCACGATCTTCGGCTTTAGTGTCTTCTGAAACAGTCGCTGCAGCTCGGGGCTACAGCTCTCCATCTTGGGAAACCACAACGGCAAGCCATGACCGACTGCGCGGAATTTCTCCTTTTGCGCCAGCCATGCCTCGATACTAGGCAGTTCTTCGGTATCTTTGCGGATAATTAATGTATGTCCTGTAGTTAAAGATGCATAAGGAGACCTACCTTTGATATAGTTTGGATCGCCGGCTCGGGAGTTCTCTCGCCTGATGCCGACCATCTTGCAGCTTAGCCACGTTTTTTTAGCGAGCCCGCGATGATCGTTACTGATCTTGTATCTAGTGGAGCTCGTGTTACTGGTTAAGATAGCGGCATCCTCGGGAATCGGCAGTGTTGCTGGCGATTTTATAGGCGGAAGGTTGGTGGCAATTTTCACAATTTATGTTGACATCATTGACTCGCGGGAGTGAGAATCAACCTAGGGGAAGCGTTTGAGCCCAACAGTTTATTTGGTAGCCGCCATTGCCACGAGAAAAAAACTTATTTACCCCTTAAATGCAAGTAAAGCGACTAGAGGGAAAAGGAGCGAAAGGGGAATAGAGGACTAGAACGACTAGTGTGTTAAGCTTATCTTGAATTCACGCTGTAGATATTATCGATTAATGCAAGCTTGCTAGCGACTCTCTAACTCCGTATTTGTTCTTGGTAGTCCCCAGCCCTTTAAGTCATGTCGTGATGTACAGTCGTAAAGGAAAGCAATATATTAAAGGAAAATAAGCACGAAGGAAAAAAGGAAAAGAATCACTTGTGATAGATGTGGAGGATGGCTGGGTTGCCGGAATCCTTGGACCAGATCTCGAAACGGCCAAACTGGGCACCAACGTAGATGGAGAAGTCGCCATTCCGAGCAGCATTCCTGCAGGCTTGGGTGGCATCGAGAGCAGGTGGGTTGTTCAGGGCCGGGACATGGGCGGTGCTGAATGGTTCACTGGTCTCGGGAGCATTCTCGCCAGTGACGGTATCCTCGTCCCAGTCGTTAGATAGAGCCTCAGAGACAGTGATGTTGATGGGGCTTTCCATCAGCTTGACGAAGGCAGGGAACTGGACGGTGCACTTCTCGACCTTCTTGGCTGGGACGGGAAGCTGGAAACCGACGAGGGCGCGGAGGTAGGCCATGCCACCAGTATTGGCGATGAGGGTGTTGTTATGGCCGAGAGTACACTTGTAGCAATTACCCTCGGGACATTCGCCGCAGTAGACAGTGGAGCGGTAGATGGTCGAGTCTTTGAGAGCAGGACGGCTCACCTGCTGGAGAGGTGGAGGAGAGGCAATAGCAACGTTGGCAACCAAGGCCAAAGCCGAGACGAGCAGGCAGCTTGAGAAATGCATCGTGGAGTCTTGTTCTAATGGTATTAAAAGTGATAAAAAGGTAAAAACGAGCGTGAGGTCTGATATGCTGCTTGTTGGTAGCAAGAGAATTGGAGTTGTCTGTAGCGAGGGAAGATACCAAGGGCCCATCAGCGTATCCCTGGTCTTTTATATCTGCGCCTCCAAACTCACATCCATTTCACTTCCCCAGCAAGCGAGCATCAACCCAAGACTCCACGTTCCTTGTCATTCTATTTCGGGTTGCATTTCAAGCGCCAAAAGCTTAAGAAGTAAGACAGTCTGTTAGATAGCGCGAAGGGCTCGCGAGCTCAGCGCCACGTCACTGGAGCCAGTCGAAGCCGGTGGACTCTGACGGCGAATCCTCTTCTTTATCCTCCTGCCTTCACGATCGAATCATCAAAGATCAAAAAGATCCCGGGCCGTGGAATACGAGGATACGATGACTTTTACCGGCTAGCTCCAGACGCTTATTGGCTGCACTGAGCTTCATTTGAGACAAGCACCAGTCCAATTCCTCTGCAGGTGTCTCTTTGAGCTTCTTTTTTTGGAACAAGATTTCTTCAACAGAAAAGGAGCAAAAATTGAACAGTCTATGGATCCATCAGGGGCATTACTTGAAGCGGTGCTGGTACTTGATGAGACAAGAGGATTGCAAATGGGACTGCCGGCGAGGACAGCGTTACAGCGGATGGTGCCAGTGAGTTTCGGATGGCTGTTTGCGGACCAGGAGAGCGGCTCCCTGGATCTTGGACATGCTGTACATCTTGTTTTCGCTTGATTCTGGCGATTTATATTGCCTTGTAAGCACTTTTTTGATATATCAAAATTCTTCCTTGACATTAAAAGGGCAGAAGTTGGGGACGGCTTAGTCATCTATTTACACGGAAAGGAATATGTTTATTCCATAGTTCATTACTAAGCAGATACCTCTCGGCGTTAAGAGGCTGGCTTCTTACGTCCGCCAGACCTTTTTCTAGACAGACACGGAGGAGATCCTGGAAGCGATCCAAGACGCACTCAGGGAAGAAAAGGATACATAGTGAGAAACGATTGATGGAGGATAAGTAGATAGAGGTCAAGTCTTGTGGCACTGGTATATGCACGTACCTCTACATCGCTTATTTACAACCCTAAACACCTTATGGGCTGATGTAAAAGACCCAAGTACCTCAAGAAATGGAAATAACAAAGAAAAGACATCAACAGCACGGCATTAAAAGAGGTAAAGAAGAGACAGTGAAACAATCTTGCTCGAGAAAGTCGACAAAACAAAAGCAAATCAAAACGCCAACTCGTTGGGGAATCTTGCGATGGAAACAACTGGTATCTCTATAGAAATCACAAAAGTGGTTATTTCGGCTTGTGAATAACCACCTCAGGTTGAGTCGCGAGTAGACTGCGTTAGTAGAGGTGATTAATCCAAGCCAGCATAAAGGTCGACAACGATATTTATTGCTGCAATGACAATTTCGGCACCGATTAGAATGATCACTACGATATGGAGTTAGCATCCTGTCCTGGCAAAGAGTATTGATGGAAGAACATACCGATCCATTCAAGGTACTCTCCATGCCTGTGACTTGACTGGTCCTTCAGAACAGCAAGTAGATCGGCTATAACATCCAACCGCTCCGTGAGAAGCCCCACCCGCTGGTTCATTTCCAGATAACTTCTCACAGCCTGGTAGATCGGATCAAGCCGAGGTTCGGCCCACATGAGTTCGGGGCTGTCCAGCACAGACCCTTGAAGGTGAATGTTGATTCGAAGTATAAAAAGCTCGCCAATCTGCATGTTTATCTGTCTGCGCGTAAGGTTTACACCACCAGTCTGAGCGATCTGCGATGGCAACGGCGACGTAGCAGTGATGGTTTCGCTGACCAGGTCTTCGAAGAGCGATGTCTTGACAGATTGAGATAGTGCGTGGGAGATGGCGAGTTTCGTCATGTAGCTGCGGGGATCCCGGAGGGAGATGAAGTCGTTGTATATTCGAGCCTGGTAGTCTCGGGTGTAGTAGAAGTTGAAGTTCTCAACTTGCATGTCCTCTGAACTCAACACTGAGTTGGCAAATCTCGATACTTCGTTGAGAAACCGGGTTTCCTGCTCCACAGTCATACCCCATATTACCACCGTACCGTAGTCGAAGAGAAATACCTCCGGAGTATCAATTGCCGTATCTAGGATGAGGGGTTCGTCTGATAGAGCGTTCGTAATCAGCGCGCGGGGCGATGATGGAGGCGAAAAGGACTGGAGGTGCTCGTCATTGTTCTCACGCATATCAAGCAGATCCTCCCGTTCTTGGTTCTTGTGTGTCTCTACCTCCAGCTCGCTATCGGAGAACCCGCGGTCTAGTTGTGGGCGAGTATCATTGAGGGGTGTGAATCCAGTGTGACCAGTACCAGCACCTTCACTACGTCGGCGACGGGAAGATTTGGTCTTGTCGTCCTCATCGTAGCGGTACGGTGAATAGACGCACTCGTCGAAGAGCTTCGGATTCGTGCCTCTTGTAGCCGCTCTTGACTTTAGAAACCTAATCACGCTCTCCAGTTTGTATGAATTGGCCGTACAGTACGCCGTAACTCGGGGAAGCCGTTCTCTATCTCCTTTGCCCAATCTCGCCGCGTCTCTTCTGGCTGTGGGCTCTTTGATCCGTGTGATTTGAGAGTACACATCTCTCGGGACCTCATCTTCAATCCACACATCGTCTTCGCCTGTCACCGGGTTTGGCAGTAGCTTGAGCTTCTGCGTCGTCTTTGTCGTTCTCTGTGGGCCAATCTTCGGTATAGTAGGTACCTTGCCGGCAATCCCTAGAGATGGTTCTTGTGGCCGGCGTCGGAGTTTGCTGTTCAACGCCGCTAGCACAGGCTGTCCCGATGGGCCTCTTACGACCGGGGGAGCACTGGGATGTAGATTCCTCTGCTGATTGATACCTTCTTGCGCTTCATTTGTCGGCTCTCCCCTGGTTGACGGACTAAACGAGACGGACTTGGTTCGCTGGGCTGTCGCAGCTTGGGGGGTGGTTTGGGAGGTCGGTTTCGCTTGTTGCAGGAGCGGAGACGACTCTGAGGCGTTGGGATTCATTATGGAGAGGCAATATGGTATTCAAGGAAAGCGTATGAGTCCTAAATTTCGCATTGTCACCGCCGAGTAGCCCTTTAGCAGTGCAGAGAATGCCGCCTTCGTGCCTGTACCTGTTTAACTGAACTTCGTCTCTTTGATTGCAACAACTAAACAAGCTTGGTCAAAGCTTTGTCACGTGCTAAATATCATTATATAAGCAATATAAATGCCAATTTTCGTCACGTGGACTTAAAGTTTAAAATATAAACTTTGCATTCGTTTTTTATCAAAACATTCATAACCACGAGGATCAAATATCAAAAGATTGTTTCCTTTTCTTTTTCTGTCTGGAGTTGCTGTCTTCAACCTAGAAACCGTCTCCACCAACTTGACCGGCTTGATCTTTCCTTACGCTTATGGCTATTTGTTTGGCTCGAAGGCGCTGGCGAGCGAGTCCGTCTACTTGAAGCTGAATGATCTGGAGAACGTGACGTTGGCGAAGCTAGAACTGGTGCGGGCGGACGGGCTGGTCCGTTGAGGAGAGATCTAACTAACATTGGCGGTGTCGATTCGTCCGATACGAACTCGCCTGGTTGATTGGGCATAGGTGGCTGGCTTTGCAATAAAAATGCCTGGCGAATCTGGTTGTCATCATCAGGGTCGGTATCTTGCTTGCGGTATCCTGCTCGCTTGAGCCGCTGTAAAATGTCAACAGACATAATGAACTCTTCCCAGCTCTTCCGCCCCACTGGGAGAATGTTGGGGTCTGCGCCCAGGTCGAGAAGAAGGTCCATAATGGATGGCCTGCCCTTCTTCGCGGCGTAATAGAGCGCAGTCCTCCTTCCGGAGTCCGTACCGTTGATGCCATGGCCCAGTCTGATTAGAAGTCCGATCAGGGGGACGTTGCCTATGGTGACAGCCTGGCGAAGGCCTGTGGCGGCTCGGCAACAGCGCGACTTGGTGAATGCTAAGTTGCCGATGGCTCTCTGGGAATAGGTTGTCACCTCGCGATTCAACCATTCCTCTGCAGTGAGGCCGCTCATGTCAAGTAGGGTTTGAGGCTCTGCAATGACAGATTTGTCGAGCAGGATACGGACGGTGGCGAGATTTCGACTGTGGACGGCTAAATGAAGAACAGACCAGCCATGGTTGTCCTGTTTTGAGGCAGTGAGTCGTACACGATCGTCGTCCAACAGGCACCGGACGACATGAGAGTGGCCCATGAAGGCAGCGTGGTGCAGCGCAGTCCAGCCGTGGCATGTTGCCTTGAGTGGATCAGCGCCATAGTTGAGGAGCAAGTTCACAATGGGAGCATGTCCTCCGTTTGCAGCGCAGTGTAACGGTGATGTACCGTAAAAGCTGACGGCATCGGCGTTGGCCCTAGTTTGCAGCAACCTACGCACGATCTCCAGATGGCCCTCTTCTGCTGCCCAATGTATCGCGGACCACCCATCGCGATTACGATGGTTCGGATCTCCACCAAATTCGAGGAGCAACTGAACAGTGTTAAGATCGCCAGAGGCTGCGGCTTCTTCCAAAGGCAGGGTCCGCTGCGTATCTAGGGAACCAGATATGCTGGCACCGTGTCCAATAAGCGTCTTAGCAATCCATGTCCATCCAAGACTAGCTGCCCAAGCGAGTGCAGACTTTCCATCTGCGCTAAATGGATTGGAATCGCCAACAATGGACAATAGATTCGAAGCGGTGCCTTCTTGCCCAGCAACCACAGCCCAGAGAAGCGGGGAAAATCCGGCGTTGTCAATGGTTTCTACGTCCGCGCCGTGCCTGATCAGCATTTCCGTGCACTGGTTGAAGCCCCTCTCTACCGCGTAATGCAGGGGTGTTTGGCAATATTCGTCCCTGGCATTGACATTTACACCGCCCAGAATTAAGGAGTCAATCAAACCCGGATCGCCAGCCAGCACCGCGTGGTGAAGCTTCGTCATCCCCGAGTCGTCTCTGTCCTCTAGGTCGAGTTCTGTCACTTGTGCATTGATGTCATCCTCTTCGCGGTGTCCCACACTACCATCTGCAGCTGCAGCCTCAGCGACGCCGTCTTGGAAATCCAGGTCCAGGTCCTCATCATCCAACACGCTGTACATAGATACACGTCTTGCCCCAAAAGTCCCGGCCGGACCATCATCGTCTACTAACGGTTGGTCGCTATCAATGTTTTCTGCGTTTTCGTCACCGTCGCTGGGGAGTTTTTGTAGTGTAAGCAGGGCAATTTCCTTCATATGGCCGGCAATGTGTGACTGAAGAGCATCGCTCGCGAAAACAGCGCTGGATTCAACCTTTCCGGAGGGCTGAAAATTGTCGCCAAATGGACACTCCAGCACCCTGTCAAGAACCGGCCTCCTTGTGGCGTTCCTTAGGGTCCCTGCGCGCGCTTCAGGGACGCCGTTCTCCTTGATGGAATTCTCCTGGTACTCCACTAAAATTTTAAAAAAAGCAACGTCAGAGTTAAGTTTCGGCCCGACCCTCAATCGCTGGACGGGACGCGTGGACTCTTAACAACTTGGGCAGGCTGCCGCCGTAGAAGGCCAAGTGTCTCGTGTGAGTTGGAGTAATATATATACCCAGGACAAATTTGATGTTAAGGCCTATGAATTTTCTATTCATTCTATCAACTCGTTGAATTTTCGCGACATACATACATTCACCTCAGCTGCTAGCTACTAGACCTAACTACGAACGGCTAGTTAACTACATCTCCAAACCAATATCGGATATTCAGTGTCTACCAGGGATTTTCGGCGGAAAAACAAGACAAAATAACCCTATTTATGCCTTGCGGCAAGTCTGCATCACTTTCTTGATGGTTCCCAAGTTTCTGGACACCATTTTTCCTAGTTTGGCCACGTCCGCATCAGTCAACCCGCGCCTGATTGCAGCTGCCTTGCTGATCGCGGCCAGGTCATTCAGCCCCAACGGTGTTAATATCAAGCCGAAAATCGCAAGTGGTGCATTATCGGGATCATCGACGATGCTGTATATATCAAGCGCTACTTCCCCGGCAGTTCCTAGGATTGTCAGGATTGCTGCAACGCTGGATAGCTCTGTTACCGCGCCGAGTACTTGACCTGCGATGGGCACAAAAAACAGGATAGCGCCTAGGAATCCCAGGATGAGGGCCTTGCGTTTGGCTTCGTCAATCTTCTCCGCCACCTCCTCGACCTGCGCCATACTCTCCACTCCGCTCGCTATCATAAGTATCGGGACTGAAATACTGTCTACCAGCTCAGAGGAGTCGCCGTTATAGCTCATGAGCTTCAGCTGATAAACCGCATCTCTCACCTGAGCCATAAGGTCTTTCGAGTTTTCAAGCGCCTCGGCCACCGTTTTCTGAGGGTCGAGCACGTCGGCTTCGCCGTAGCCATTTGGTACGGGGATGCCATAGTCCATGTCGAAGGCGTGGCAGACGTCTTCAGGTTCCGCGCTTGGTGCGCAGTTTTGTCCACGGTTAAAATTGCCAATTTTTGTCTTCTCCTTGGGGATTCCCGTGCTGGTGAAGAGGTCCGCGTAAAATTTGTCCGCCTTGCTGTTCTCTAGAGTCCAGTAGACCGCCTGTTGATAAGGATTGTCTGGTCCCTCGCCGCGCTTTGAGTAATCTGGCGGACATGGCTCAGACACGTTCTGAGTTACTACGACAGGGGTCTCAATCGGGTACAGCATGCCGGGCGGTACAGAACTCGAGTTGTAGATCGATTGGAAACTGTTAGGCGGGCAACCGAGCTCCGTGTCGCATTGTATGTAACATTCGCCGTTGTGGCAATAGTTACAATATCCGGGCCTTTTTTGATGCTGCATACACACCTTACAGCACTCTGAAGTTTCGGAGACAATGCACGAAAAGTACTTATCGCCGTTTTTGTACACGAAGTCATGTACGCTGTTGGATGCACTGCCCGCGACAGCCTTTGAGTACGTCTTGAACTTCCCTGCGTACCCGTTGTTTAGTATCATGGTATAGTTTTTGACTGCCGCCTCGAGAAGGTTTGACAATGCTCTGGCGGTATAATAGGCTTTGCAGTGCTGCGGAATATCGCCTGCCGCAGCATCAAGATCTTCCAGTGTTGCATAGCCAGCGTCGCATTTGGCGATTGAAGGAGCGGGAGGGAAATATTCCTCACCCTCTGGAGAACCGTCATCGTCCGTGAAATGATCTAGGTCAACTGCCCAGTCTACGACACCTGCGAAGTTGAACCTCTTATAGTATCCAGCGCGGACCCTTTTAACGTCGGCGTTCATAAAGGCAGCCCACTCCTTACCGTTATACGTGATGATATTCGAAGCGCTTCCCCTATCATACCAGGTCTTTGCGTTGTCGTTCGTAATGAGGATCTCATTGATCTCCGCGTTGGAGATGTATCCCGCAGTGCGGGTGCACCGACCTTCTTTAGCAGTTGAATGGAGGCGATCACCACCAAATCTACAGTCAGGGCTGGTGCAGCCTTCCTCGAGCATTCCAAATGAGCGACCGTAGCTGGCTATACCCACAACGACTTTGTTAGCTGGCACACCGGCTTTTGTGATCATGGCGAGAGCATAATTCGTTTCTGTCAGGTTAACATGGCTACGCAAGCAGTTGCCGCCGGGACAGCCTTCCTGGCTCCATTGGTTGCCAGCATCCCACTGGCCGTGGAGATCGTATGTCATGTAGACGATATAGTCTAGCTCCTTTGCCATTTCATCGATTGGGAACGGCCGAAGATACCAGAATGATGCTGGCGCAGCGATGGAAAGAGTCTTGCCCTGGGGCAATTTCCCCCTGACTTTTCTCAGCATGGCAAGGTAGTTTGGTCCATCGGTTTCCAAACCTGGTGGGATCCCAGGGATATCTGGCGCACCTGGATATTCCCAGTCAAAGTCCACGCCGTCTAAGTTGTTGTCTTTGATAAATTTGATAACGTTATCTGTGAAAGTATCCACGTTTTCTGGATTCATCGCTTTGCGCAATATCTCATACGTTGCTGGTTCCGTCGAATAGCCCCATCCGCCAAATGACACAATCTTTTTAATATCATACAGTGAGGTAAATGCCCCCCATTGCTTGTAGATATCGTTAACACTTATATCGAAGGATGGACTGATGAGACCGAATCCCCAGTGTAAATGAGTGAACGTATCTTCAATTGACTTTACACGCATGTTAAGGCACGAACGGTCGAAGTTCCAGGACTCATAATACCCTATGTTGATGAAGCTGCTGGGCCCGGCGTCACCAGTTTTGATATTAGTCCCGCAGTTTGATATGCAGCCGTTGTGACCCGGTGGTGCCGTACCAGGATTGCCTGTTGGCCCCTCCTCGGCCGTGCAGAAGTCTGGCGTTATGCCACACTGGCCCCATATGTCGCAACACGAGTTGAGAACACAGGGATTTAGATCCGCCAGTTTTCTTTTGGGGTCGGCCTTGGTACCGGGCTTTATTGGTCCGCAAACCGCATTGGGCACAGGGGCGGGCATTGGTGGATAGCCTAAGGAGAGACAGATGCGAGTGCCAGCCAGGAGGGCATTGCAACCAAACCAACCCCAGGTTGTTTTGTCGTTAAATTTCCCTAGGTCCTCCACCTTAAGGCCGTTACTGGCAGCAATAGCGGAACATGTGTCGCCAGATTTAACGGTATAACTAGCACAGAAACCATCCTGTCCGGGTTTCGGGCGGATATCTGGCAGTGTTCCAGGAGAGCAGCAGACTCGTTGGCCTACGGCAAGGGTCGAACAAAGATTGGGATCTGGGTTGTATTTCGTGAAGTCGTTCGCTGAGATGCCGCAGCGCTGTGCCAGTGCACCACAGGAGTCCCCTGACACGACGGAGATAGTTCTGCACTCTCCTTCACTGACGGCAAACCGGAAAGCCTCTTGAAAAGGCGCTTCGGCAATGACCGCCCTGTCGAGGCCGCGGGTCAAAACGTTATCGCCATTGAGGTCGAAACATGTCGCATTGCTCCAAGACACTACGGCCTTTTGTACAGCAGCCACATCGCCCGTTGTATCCACGGCGATGCCAAAGGTGTGATCCGCATTTCGCCCCTGGCCGCAGAGTTGGACAATAGCCGTCTTTGAGTAGCCAATTAAAGGCGGGAGACGGTCCAAAATTGGAGAAATCGTGGCCTTGTTGTCGATTGCTGATCCAGAGTAGACGGCCACCACAGCCTCTTTCGAGTAGCCAACAATGAAAGTTTCGTCGCAAAAATCTTGCAGATAGCTTCGCACTTTTCCCAGCGCCGAACTGGTATCTTGAGATGATGCTTGGCCACGACCGCTCGTCTTGACGTCGAGAGTCACAGTCTTTTGCCTTGCGGAGGCGATGCAACAGCTGCCGTCACGCGGATAGTTAGTGGACCGGTTTGTGGTGAGTGCGTTCCGGACATCGTTGGCATCTCCTGCTGTGCAGGCCCGCAACTTTGTGTGCCTATTCTGACCATTGATTGGGGTATGGATAGCAAAGTCGAACAAGATGGGCTGCTCGCAGACGCGAAGGCGATCTGTGGACGTATATACGGTCCAATTTGAAGGAGGGCCAGCACAGTGCTGAGGACATGGCCGAAGTTGACTGTCAAATCCTCGTGCAGGGACACCTACAGCCAGGAGGCTGATAGCAAGCCCTGTCCCTGAGGACCAAATATCGGGACGCATGGGTGAGGCAGCAAAGTGCCTAATGTGGATTGGGGAAATGCAGTGTGTTTGAGCAGTGCAAGCAGACACAGGTCTGAAAATGAGGGATCAAATGAATGGTAGGAGACTTAATACCCACATCTTGTGAAAAGAATACCAGGCAGTCAACAGGCGGGATTTATTAACTACTTTTCAAGCCATTCAGCGGCCAGGTATACTGGTTATCGGAAATGAAACTTCAAAAGAAAGCAACCCTTGGAGCCGGTGATTACCGATATTGCCCTTTTCGCATGGGTCTACTGGGAGATAAACCTGTCTCTAGGTGCAGTTAATGACTATTCATATCACCCCTTTTTCATGGGTTTTGCCAGTTGTATAACGACCAGGGCGGTTGTGATCAGGGGACTCATCCAACAGCCGCCGCAACAAGGATATCAATTGTTGGTTACCAGCAGGGATAAAGGTTACATTGCAGGAGCCCACAGATTGCCTTCGGAGTCCGAGAGCTGCATCACTCCCTGGCCAGATGAATTACAGGCTAATCAATGCCTTCCTTCCACTATGTAGGTGGGAGGGGTCAAGATCAACCAACCCCTGAAATTCGGGGCCTGTGTGATATCAAATTGATCTTCAAAATGTGAAGAGGTCCCAGCAAGATGATATCGTTCGCAGTTGCTTTCAACACCCATCCTCTCTCTGTACACTGTCGTTTATCATGAAGTGTTTTTTCATCTGGCTTTCAGTCATTGGCGCGCTATTGCCTCAAGCAACAGCCTATGCACAACGAGGTGCCTTAGAACGGTCGGTGGAACAAATTCAATTCATTCATTCCACTGCTAACATTTACCGCAGCCTCGTCTATTACTATTCTTACTTGGCTGATGAACTCGTCAATGCTGAGGAGGCGCGTACGGTCGCCGTTGGCTGCAGTGGCTCACTACCAGGCAAACGTTGTAACCTGGACGAATTCCTCGAGTATATCTGGAAACCGTTGCCAACCGAGTCAGCGACGACGGCTCCGAAGGTAGATATTGTGGAGAATTTAGGGAAGCCCAAGTTCGAAGATGTCGCGGTGTCTCGTCTTTACACTCTAATTTACACGTGGAAACCGAAAGACTCCACAGATAAACGCCACGTGACCGGGAACACAGACAACTTGAAGCTCCTCCCTGGTTCAACAGATTACTACGACTGCCTCTCGAAAATAACTGGTCCTATTGGTGCGCTCGATATGGCAAAGGCAACCTTCCCGGATGGTGACAAAAAGGATCTGGCTGACAAGATCGTTAGCAAGGGCAAAGCGTCTGCACAACTGGTGTACGACTTTCGTTTGAAAGACATCGAAAAGCACCGTAAAAATTTCTTGAAGATGCAACTGATGGACGGTGAGGTCATCTACAAGCAAGGGAGGAATGTGGAAGGATTGCTCCCTGGTTGGAAAACCCTTGACGCGATTGCAACTGCTAATGCGCTTGGGCCGCGCGGAGCGGACAGGCTGGATGCGGCAATAACGGCGCATAAGAGCAGACCTAACGCTATGATGCACTACACAGCGTTGGCTGCAGCCGATAGCGCCCAAGAGCTGAGCGGATGCCCGGTGGGTACAACGTAGCCGGAGCGGCCCGCTACATAATCAGTTAACTAGACTGTCCACCGTTAGTTGGGGCTGGGTACTTGATCAACTCAGAATTTTGTAACTAGTTTAGGTTATCATTGTCCTATATAGCAGAATGGTAACTACAATGCATATGTATTATTGCTGGACTTGGGAACACTCTGGTAGATTCGATTCTCGTCCGTAGGTACTGTCGCTGTGTTGGTATCAGGCTATTTCCCCTCGACGGAAGGTGTAGGTGGTGGTGGACGTAAAAGGTTTAGCATTTTATCCCTTCCATACTGCTCCGCCACATCTGCTGCCATCTTCCCGTCCTCGTCCTTTACGGAAGCATCTACACCCTTCTTCAGCAGATATTCAGCGTGGTCTACCGCCAGCGGGGTTGCCTGCAATGCAACCAAATGTAGTAAAGTCTGACCGTTTGCGCTCCTCTGCGCCCAATCGACGTTTGTTTCAGCAAATAAGTCCTGCAAATTCATGTACGCATACGGGTTTTTCTTGGAAGTTCCGTGGAAACTTCTGGTAGGAGGGAGTTTATAGACTACGCTCCGCCCAGAATCTTCGTCGTCAAGAAAAATCTCAACTGGGCTTCTTCCGGCGTTGTTGCGTGCGTTTACATTCACCCCAAGCTCGAGGAACCTCTTAAATAAAAGTATGCCGACCTTTGCCTCCTCGTCCGAGCCATCGATGGGGCTGGCTGCAATGTAGTGCAAGGCAGTGTTCCCCCTTCCGTCGCGGGCATGGGGATCAGCCCCTGCAGCGAAAAACTGCTCTATGTACTTCGCATAGTTTTCAAAGCGTCGACCCAGACTGCAGCGAGAGATTTGTAGGGCGGTATGAAGTGGGTAGATGCCGTGGTAGTCTGGCTGGTTAGCCAGCTGGGGTAGATGTGTTAGAGTGTAATGTATGGCATCATCACTGGCTCCACCGCTAAGGAGATGGTGAACAATGTGCTGTCCCCTGCTGTCGACCGCCAGCATATCGGCATTGCGAAGCCGGAGAGCATGGAACAATGATGGCTGGACATCATAGGAAGAATATTGAGTTGGTTTGTAGTTCCAGGCGTTATTGAGAAGAGCGTCAGCACCCACGATGGATCGGCAGGCAGAATGCAAAAGGGTGCGGCCCTGGGGGTCACGATGCTCAATGTCAAGCTTAACCTTCTCGTCAAAAAATGGCAAAGCCTGCCCGCCAGTCTCAAGAATGGAATGGAGAACACTGCAGGTGCCGAACTTGGTAAAAGGAATATTTCTGAGTTCACCACCATCTACATCATAAGTAGAGTCCAACTGCTCATCAAACGTCTCGCAAGGATAGCGGAAGAATTTGTGACGTGCAAGAGGAGCTCGGAAAAGCGCAAATGGATCCGCGCCCTCCTCCAGTAGGTACCGCATGACCTTGAGTTGCTTATCTCGCTTATATCCCATTTCCCAGCTGTGAGCTGCAGCCTGCAGAGGATACCAGTCCACTTGTAGACGTTCGTTTAGACACTCAAAAAGGACAAAGGCAATGTCCGCATCGCGCGTAGCCCAACCCGGGACAACATCCGCATCGGGAGGAGACGCCCTTGCTGCCCGCATGTTGGGTGTACCACCTTGACAAAACAATAAGTAGAGGGTACCCCATTGACCGGCTTCAGCGGCGGCCATGACAGCCTCCCCGGGGATACGCGTCCAGGGCAGCACCTCACACAGGTACCGCGCTACCTTCCTGGGGGATCGGACGAAATGAACGAGTGGCTGGCCCCATTTGGTGACGATGTCATCGACGTCCTCCCAGTCAGAATCATCCACCGGATCAAGGAACTCAGAGCCGTCCGAGTCGGAGTTATCGTAGAAGTTCTCCGACAGTGGTATCGACATGGTGTCCACGCTGGCTGCCTAAACAGCTGCTGGGCGTGACTCACTGACTAGTTAACTAGTGAGTCAACTAACTAACTAGCTGTCCAGCTCCCTCCCCGGGCCAGGGCTGTCTGTCTTATAAGCCGCTTAAGCGACTGGGGCCCACCGGAGCATTGATCATTGATGTAACCCAACGCAAGAGTCAAGCCAGGAGCATGGATAGCGCTTGAACGAGGAGGTCTAATTAAAAATATTGATTAAGTTAAAGTCAGCAAGGTTGCCGTAACTACCTAACTAAGGTTAGTTAAAATCTAACTCCCATGTGTTTTTATGTAAGTTTATTATAAAAGTAGATTTTAGTTACGTATAATCGCCGACTTATCCTGGTCCCGGCGATCACTGGGACTAGAGCCTAGAGTCTTTTAGGGGCAAGACGGGCTCTGCGGCTACACGAGGCACGCTCCAGGCTGTCGGAACCGAGGACAAACAAGGGTCTGGGGACTTACGAGTTGGTTACGGAGTTTACCTTAGCTATATTGGACTCTGCTTTATGATATTGACCTGGTTGCTCATTAACTACATCCTGCCGGTGAACTCCGTGTGAGTCATTCCGAGCCTTGCAATACTGATGCCGCCATTCTTCAACCAGGATACCCGTCTAGGGGCACAGTTCGCGTTGGTCGCCCAACAGGAGAGGTGTGATACCACATGCATAAGATCACACGCATGCATCGCAGACAGGCTAGTCGAGTTATTCCTTGCCTCAGCCCATGAAGCTCTTTCCCTCCTCATCTGAGCTACTAAGGGCAGGCGGGTATTCGGAACATGTTGATTTTAACCGGGGGGACGCATTGGTATTGCATCTCGGTGGCTCTTGGAGGATTTAATGAGGGAGGCCCACATCGAGTCGAAATATGGGTATATAGAGGCCGGCGTGGAATGGGAATATGTCTTGAATGAGTTAGCAGTAGGACGAACTGCGAGAGCAAGATACCAAAGTAAGGTCCGTTTGGAGCACCATGTTCTTTTCAAGACTCACTCCCGCGTTAATTCTCGGTGCTACAGTCAATGGATATTTAGTCCCAAGGCAGAGCGGCCCAGTCGACCCGGGCACCGCGCCAGACTGCAGGTTTTACGACGAGGCCTTGAATGTCATACATGACTGTGCATACTTCGAACAGAAATGGGGCGTCAGCCACGCGAACTTTGTGTATTGGGTAACATAACTGTTTTGAAGAAATAAATGATATTGAGCTCGCTAGCTGACACAAAGTGTAGAATCCAAGTGTGAAAAACGATTGCAGTGGGATCAAGGCTGGCAACTCCTATTGCGTCGATGCAGAGAAAGAAGCTCCAGGGACATCATCATCATCATCATCCGCCCCCGGGAGCACAACAGCTACTGCTGGAACCACGACCACTTCAGGAGCAACGACGCCTACTCAACCAACTCCGACGACAAACCCGACGCCATCGCCAACCCAGGATGGCATGGTCAACACATGCGCAAAGTTTTATCAAGCTGTCAGCGGGGATACCTGTGACAAGATTGTCATTAAATATGGGACTTTTACCCTCAAAAATTTCGTCACCTGGAATCCCGCCGTCAAAGGCGATTGTTCGGGGCTTTGGGCGGGATATTACTACTGTGTAGGTGTTCCAGGGACACCAACAGCTCCTCCTAGCACCACGATGCCTCCCACACCCACCGCCCCAAGCGGGCCATCCCCCACGCAGGGAGGCATCATTGCAACGTGCCGCCAGTGGTACAAAGCTGAGTCTGGAGACACTTGTCTGAAAATTGTTGACAAGTACCGCACCTTTTCGTTGGCACAGTTCCAGAGCTGGAACCCTGCCGTCGGCTCCGACTGCACCGGGCTTTGGGCGGGATATTACTACTGTATCGGCATTCCAGGGACACCCACTCAACCTACATCTACATCTACATCACGGCCTCCCACGACAACTACTCCATCAGGACCCTCACCAACCCAGCCTGGCATCATTAGCACGTGTAACAGATTCCACCAAGCTGTTGCCGGAGACTCATGCTATGTCATCGCCAACAAGTACGGAACTTTTACTGTAGAGCAGTTTATCAAGTGGAATCCCGCTGTGAACTCGGATTGCTCTGCCCTCTTCCTGGGTTACTATTATTGCATCGGTAAGATTACAAGCCCCCATATTTGCATTTTGCGTCGGAGTTCTCTATACTAATAACCACTTTCTTACCCACAGGGATACCAGGCACACCAACAAGCAAACCAACAAGCAAGCCGCCAACCACGCCAACGGGATGTCCCAATCCCAGTCTTCCAACGCCCACCCAACCAGGAGCCGTGTGCCAATGCAAAAAATGGCACAAAGTCGAAAGCGGCGACTATTGTGACAGTATCATCAGAAAGTATAACATTAACGCTGATCAGTTCCATACATGGAATCCCCAAGTTGGACGAGCTTGCACAACTCTCTGGTTAGGCTATTATGTGTGTGTCGGGGCATAGACTAGCTAACTAATAGGTTGGTCGGTGTGAGCTACCTATCTTACTAAACAGTCATTAGACTCATAGCTTAGAAATGTTCACGCTTCTTGTTGAATGTTATTATATGAACTGCGGCTAGGCAGCCCGTCTGTGTACTAATTAACATTAATGCTGTATTCGAAAATGGGAACTACTTAGTATAGTGGACTGGGCTTGACAATATCTCAGCTCTGAGACAGAACTCCTGAGCCATTGCCTATATCGAAAAATTTTGCTCATAAATTCTCGCCCGAACATCCAGTAATTACTCCGTATCGGGTGACGTATTGGACTAGGGCTCGAGCTTGCGAATTGATCGCCAACGCTAAATTGGCGCTAGAATAGACGCAAGAGACCCACAAATTTAGCTACATTGTTCTCCGGAATTAAGAAACCCTATCCTCGATCTAACTATAGATCGTCATAACCTTATCTAGCAAAAATTCTTCTATAACAACTTCCAGTAATAGTAGCTATAATTTAGGGACTAGAAGTAGTGGAACGCCATTTAGTTATCAGTGCTTCGATCGCCAAAACCTTGCACGGCTCGTGTTGAAAGAGAAATCCAAGGCTTAACAGAACGTAGAAATCAAGATTCCCCTTGAATCGCTGCCCTGGAGATGGCTACAGAAATTCTATCTAATATAATCGCTGCTCTATACGTACTCCATACCCATAGATGGCCCTGCTTTATCCAGACTGGGTCACAGTAAGTCTTTTAAGGAGAGAACCCGCACTGAAAGGTTGCCTTGTCATAGACTGCTCTAATAGTACAAAGCCATTGTTATATTAACTTTGAATCCTTGTGCAGAATTTGTAAGCACAGGTACAAAGGATACAGAAGGATAGCTTTAAGTGTGGCTATACTAGGGAATCAACGTGGCTGATACCTTCATTACCAGCGTCGATGCCAAATTGGTTTCGAGACCTATCCACAACGCTAGATTGTATTGGAGTAGTTCGCTATCGCCTTCGCTACTTGAATCCACTCTATCCATCTGGGATTCATAGTTATTGATGTTCTTATTATTATCGCTCCATTCAACAGCCCCACTACCTGAGTGTAAAAGTTTGCTCATGGAACGCGCCACTCTCTAGAGCTGTTTGTTATTGCACCACTCCATGCCCTAGAACGCTCAGCCCACCCACATGCCAGGTCAAATGCCAGCTGCAACAGGATATACTCTATACACGTTATCTCGGCACGGCTCATTTCACAGCTCAAGAGCCCTCTAATACACCCAGCAACGAAATTGCTTAATCAGTAACAGAGTTAAGTTTCGGCCCGGCCCAGGCCAAGCTGTTGGACGGGACGCGCAGGCTCTCAAGGGAATGCGGACACGACAGCCTGCTCTACTGACCAGCTTTTTGCGGCACAGCACAGGTCATGATGAAACTAGTAGAGGTCACCGCAGGGAGCTGTGGAAGGCTGAGTGCCTCGTGTCAGTTCGAGTAACTAAATAGCTAGCCGTGACGATGCCTTTGGGTAGCTCAGCCGCCAGAGTATACAGTTATAGTTTACTAGCCCATTAGTTAGCTATCGGTTAACAGATATCTGATATTGACAACCGAAAATACCCATGTAACTAAACTGTAGAGACAAACGCCGCAGTAACTAAAAGTGGGACATGGGCGCGTCCGCTTAAAAGGCGCAGCAACTCCGCATCAACCATCTCAGCGGCACAGCTGCATAAGAAAAGTAGCTTGTCAGCAAGTTCTCAGCAGAACCCCGCCATAAATACTCTGTTTTTCGCACAATCTGGAGTCAAATCTATATTTCTAGCTACAACATATGTGTTCCTGACCTTTGGCTTAAATATTACATTCTACTCCTGAGTTCTAAGCTTAACCCTACAACAGCTGACGAGCATGGCTGCTGCAAATACAGATAATGCTCGAACCTTGAGGCTCTCTGCGTTTTTTAACAGCGTTACCAATGGCAAGAGAACGCTCTCAATTGCGCGTGATGGCAAACTGTTTATTGAAGCCTTGTGTGCTCAGGCAGACCCGGCAGCCTGTGCTCACAAGCTCCTTTCCAGCCAGGCAGGGCTTCATGCCCTCCAAGCATCAGTGCGATTTGATACTTCTCCCTCGTTTCTTAACGGAGATGCCTTGACACTACTCCAGTACCTTCAATCGTCGCCCCTGGAACAGATCGATTCCGGATCTGTTCTTAACAAGCTGCTACTCAGTATAGTAGACCCGCCATTTTTCTGGGACAGTTGCATAAAATCGTTCGTGGATGGCTTGCTTAACCCAGAAGCCTGCCACGCCTTCGCATGGCTACTGCTACGGCTCATTTGCTTGCCTGGAAGGGCATCATCTCCCTACGCTGCCGTGGCAAATTCACAGAATATTCTAGACTCGATACTAAAATCACCAAATGGAGAAACTCGCAACCTAGGACAGAAAATCAAGCATGCTTTACCCCTGGATGCGTCAGAACTTCACCAAGCCGAAGGATATTCACCCGGCGGCAGGCATGACAACGATCATGTAAACTTTAGGGAGATTTTAATCATGCCTACTGCAGATGAACTTTTGTCCAAGGACCGCCCATTCCTACGCACCGCTGATTTTATCGACGACCCAGACTTTGCATCCCAGCGTCGCGACATGTATCTAGACAATCAGTTCCGGCTCCTCCGCGAAGATATGCTCTGTGAAATAAGAGAGGAGCTGAAAATGCTTACAGGGGAAAAGCGTGGTCGCCACAAAGGCATTGTTGTGGATAGTCTTTCTCCTGCTGGAGTAGAGACGGGTACCGCACGCAAACGCTTGCCGTGGTGTGTCGTACTTAGATGCAAAGGGGAGCTTCCTCAGTTGAAAAATATTGCCAAGGGAAAGAAGGTAGCCTTTCTGAAAGATAACCGGCACATTTTACGGCACGGAAACATGGCATGTCTAATGATTGACGGAGAGCCAGCAGCGTTTCCAACGATTCACCGAGATGAAGAAAGGCTCGCAGCTAACCCTGCCACAGTCACTATACAATTTTCTGATGATGACAGGCTCTCGCATGCCCTGTCTAAGATGAAGACCGCTAAAAGCATTACATTGATCCAGCTCGATGCCGCAGTATTTGCATTTGAGCCATTCTTGCGCCGCTTACAAGAGATGGTTGACCTACCACTGGCAGAGGAGCTACTCCACTGGGAGGAAAATAAAGCCATCGCATGCCCATCTTTTCGGCCAACAAGAGTGATCGCTGCCCTAGAACAACTTTCCGGCCAGAATGTACAAAGTCTCTTAGGCCTTCAGAAAAAGGTCGTTCTAGATGATTCTCAAATGACGTCTCTTTGTACCAGTTTACTTCAACGAGTCAGCCTTGTTCAGGGCCCACCTGGTGAGTGTTAATAGTCAGCGCTTTTTTTTTTTTTTTCAACTCCGCCTCTAATATAGATTAACTCAGGAACCGGAAAGTCGTTTATCGGTGCTTTGATAGCCAAGACCTTGCACGACTCAACGTCGCAAAAGATTCTGGTGGTTTGTTTCACAAATCATGCCCTAGATCAATTCCTTGAGGACTTGATGGATATTGGAATACCACAGTCGACTATGGTCCGTTTAGGGGGTAAATCAACTGACCGGACGAAGCAATTGATGATCCGAGAAATGCCTGGCATGAAGCTCGGCAGAAATCAGTGGGCTCAAATCGATAGATTGAAACATAAGCTATCCTTCACCGAGGAAAGACTTGAGGATGTTTTCAACCGCTACCAGGCTGCCAACATTCAGCAAAAGCATCTCATGGAGTACCTTGAGTTTTCGCATGAAGACCTTCCATTCTACGACGCTTTCGTGGTTTCAAAAATTGATAACGATGGCATGATTCGAGTTGGCAAAAGTGGAAAAGCCATGAGCCCATTCTACCTTCTTGATCGATGGATCAGCGGTGAAAGCAATGCTGGATCACTCCAACATTTACAGCCGAAAGATGCCAGTGCAGTCTGGGAAATGCCACTGGCGTCAAGAAAATCCACTCTAGCGCGCTGGCAGACAGCCATCCTGGAAGACCTTGTAATGGAGATTCGGGATTCCGGACGACAGTTCAACTTGGATCAAGCCGAAATCGACAAGATTTTTAAACAGCAGGATGCAGGCGTTCTAAAGAATAAACGGATTATTGCCTGTACCACAAACGGAGCTGCCAAATACTCTGCGGAAATACAAATCGCGGCACCAGGCGTCGTCCTCGTCGAAGAGGCTGGTGAGATCTTGGAATCTCACATTTTAACCTCGTTAGGACCCCGTACGGAGCAATTGATCCTAATTGGAGATCATAAACAACTCCGTCCTAAGTGTTCATACGAACTCAGTGTTGACAAGGGTGATGGCTTTGACCTCAATCGGTCCTTGTTCGAACGGCTTGTTCTTAAAGGCTTTCCCCACGTCACTCTCAAAAAGCAGCACCGTATGAGGCCGGAGATCTCTTCTATGATCCGCCACCTAACTTATCCTGACCTCACCGATGCCGACTCAACCCATAAACGGGACAATATTCGTGGCTTCTGTGATAATGTAATATTCATTAATCATTCCCAACCAGAAGTTGAACTGCAGGGTTCGAAGGAACAGAGGGACGGCCGGAGTGCCTCTAAACAAAACTTATTTGAAGTTCAAATGATGTTGAAGTGTGTGCGATATTTGGCTCAGCAGGGTTATAGCTCCGACAAACTTGTCGTTATTACTCCATATCTTGGACAGCTAAAGCTCTTGAGAGAGCATCTTGCAAAGGAAAACGATCCTATACTCAATGACCTTGACAAGTTTGACTTGGTGCGCGCAGGGCTACTCACTGATTTAAGCTCTAAAGCTAAAAAACCATCGCTCCGTATATCAACCATCGGTTAGTATATGTTGACCTTTCATTTTAGCCATTTATATTTCTACAAACTGACCAATATAGACAACTACCAGGGTGAAGAGAGTGATATCGTTCTGGTCTCGATGACCAGAAGCAACAAAGCATTCGATATTGGCTTTATGGCGGCACCTGAGCGTTTGAACGTCTTGCTCTCGCGCGCACGAGACGGTCTAATTATACTTGGAAACGCTGAGACGTTCATGCATGCTCGAAAAGGAAAGGATATTTGGCGAAAATTATTCGCTCACCTAAAGGAAAATGGTCACCTCTACGAAGGATTTCCCGTGAAGTGTGAGAAACACCCAGATCGAACGGCTTTACTCTGTAAAGCTAAAGATTTCGAAACAGAATGCCCGGATGGGGGATGTAAGGAGCCTTGGTATGTTCTATCGTGTGATACCGTAATCTAATTACCTAGTGAACTGACGAACTATTACGTCCCAGCGGCGAAATGCTAAACTGCGGCCTTCATAAATGCCCGAGTAGCTGCCATCAGCTGATCAACCATGACAAAATGCTTTGCCAGACTCCTTTAACTCAATCATGTGTAAAGGGGCATAACCAATCCTGGAAGTGCCACCGTGGCGCACCACTCACTTGCCCAAAATGTGAACGTGACAGAAAAGAGACACTAAAGAAAGCCCAAAAAGCCTTAGAGGAAAAAGAAAGACGGGAAGAAAAGATGAGAAGACACCAAGAAGAAGTTACAAAGATAGATGAGGCTATTGAAGAGATTAATCAAAGGGCAAAAGAAATACGCCAAGAACGTGAACTAGAAGTCATTTTACTTCAGAAACGGCAGGATCTTGAAGCTGCGAAGCAACGGGCGACTACGACAACCATCCCTCAAGCGGAAAACCCTAACCTTATTTCAGCCTCCCAAAAAGACAGCCTTGAAATCCCATCAAAATCTTTATCTGCAGAAAAATCCTCGCTGGACAAGCCAAGTGAGCATTTACCGGTCATTGATCAGAGAAAACCAGCCATTGAGCATAGAAAATCTCCCTCACAAATAGAATGGCAACGGCAGAAGGATCAAGAAAATGCACGCAATCCAGCTATTGATAAGATCATGGAGATGATTGGCTTGGAGCATGTTAAAAGTCAGGTTTTGAAAATCAAAGCAAAGGTCGAAACCGCTATCCGCCAGGACGCTGATCTTAAGAAAGAACGCCTTGGGCTTACACTCTTAGGAAACCCGGGCACAGGTCTGTTTTAGATTCCGATTCCTTTGAAGTGTTGTTACTTTAGCTAACTATGGAAAGGTAAAACAACGGTCGCAAGGCACTACGCGAAAGTGCTAAGCTTACTAAAAGTCCTTCCAGGACATGGTTTCACTGAGACCACTGGCTCAAATCTTGCGCACGGTGGCATTCGTGAAGCCAAAGAGCACTTGAAGCAATTAGAAAATGCAGACGGCGGTGTATACTTTATCGATGAAGCCTACCAGCTTACGGAGGCACACAACTACGGTGGCAAACCCGTACTGGATTATCTGCTTGCTGAAATTGAGAACCTCACAGGGCGAGTAGTTTTTGTTTTTGCGGGATACAGGAAGCAGATGGAGAAATTCTTTGAACATAACCCTGGGCTTTCCAGTCGTATACCTTACACCCTCCACTTTGACGACTATACCGATGCAGAGCTTCTGAAGATGTTACAATTTCAAATGTCCAAATTCTTTAAACGTGGAATGGACATCGAAGATGGCCCTGATGGTTTATACATGCGGATTGCGGTTCGTCGATTAGGAAGAGGAAGGGGGCGCAATGGCTTCGGCAATGCCAGAGCATTAGAGAATATGTTTGCTCAGATTCGAGAGCGACAAGCGGAACGTTTAACAAAGCAGAGAAAGGAAGGGATGAGTCCTAATGACTATCATATCAGCAAGGAAGACCTCATTGGACCTGATCCGTCTAAAGCAATTCTAACCTGCAATGCCTGGACCGAGCTCCAGCAACTCATCGGCCTAGGATGCGTCAAGAAATCAATCAGTACAATGATTGACCTTATCAAGACAAACTATACCAGGGAGTTAGACGAAAAAGAAATAATCAACGTATCCCTCAATCGCATCTTCCTTGGCCCACCAGGAACTGGGAAAACTTCTGTCGCCAAATTGTATGGTCAAATTCTAGCCGATATTGGGATGTTAAGTAATGGTGAAGGTAAGATCCTGGTATGAAAAGTTGCCTGGGACATAATTTTGCTAATTTTCGATATCTAAGTCGTCGTCAAGAACCCGTCCGATTTCATCGGTAACGTTATTGGCCAGTCTGAGGCAAATACCAAAGCTATACTCGACACAACTGTCGGTAAAGTCCTTGTTATTGATGAAGCTTATATGCTCTACTCTGGGTCCACTTCCAACGGAGGGGCCAACACCGACATATTTAGGACTGCTGTCATCGACACTATTGTCGCAGAAGTTCAGGGTGTACCAGGCGACGATCGATGTGTCCTACTCCTTGGTTACGAGTCGGAGATGCTTAACATGTTCCAGAACGTTAATCCAGGCTTAACCCGAAGGTTTCAACTTTCGGATGCTTTTCGGTTTGAAGACTTCAGTGATTCCGAGCTTCAAGGGATTCTTCGGCTAAAACTTAAAAAGCAAGACTTGGGCGCAACTCAGAGAGCCGTGTCTACGGCGGTTGATGTTTTGGCTCGTCTGCGTAATGGGCTCAGTTTTGGAAATGGTGGAGATGTGGAAACTTTAATTTCTAAAGCTAAAGTCAACTATCAGGCTCGACAAGCTACGCTACCGGAAGCGCAGAGATCTTCTGATTTCATATTTGAGCCGCAAGATTTTGATCCAGATTTTGATCGATCCTCTGGAGCTGAGACTAATCTTCAAGAGCTCTTCAAAAACATGGTTGGCTGTGAAAAAGTCGTTGAAAAGCTAGATGGGTTTCTGAAAGTTGCTCAAGGAATGCGAGCTCAGGGTCTCGACCCTCGTGGACAAATTCCAATGAGTTTTATCTTCAAAGGACCACCAGGTAATTAAGCCTTTTTTCTCATAGTTATTCCTTTATTGTGTAGGGTTCTAATTTGGATTAGGAACTGGAAAAACAACCACGGCGCGAAAATTTGGTCAAATCTATTATGACCTTGGCTTCCTCTCAAAGGTTGAAGTGGTAGAATGCTCTGCCACTGATCTAATCGGTCAATACGTTGGCCAAACGGGTCCAAAGACTATAAAGCAGCTCGAGCGTGGATTAGGCAAAGTCCTTTTTATAGATGAGGCTTACCGGCTCGGTGAAGGTCGATTCGCCCAAGAAGCAATAGACGAGCTGGTTGACAATATGACCAAGCCAAAATTTGCAGGAAAAATTGTGATTATCCTTGCAGGCTATGATAATGACATGAATAATCTCCTTCGTGTGAATGAGGGGCTGAGCAGTCGCTTTGCAGATGAGGTAGTTTTCCCATCATTAAGCCCAAAGTACTGCCTTCAGCTACTCGAGGATACCCTGAAGCAAAGCCAGGTCACTTTTCCATCGATGCATGATCAAACCTTCTATCTTGACTTCCAAGAACAAATTGAAGAGATATCCAAGCTTCCCGGCTGGGGAAATGCGAGAGATATCCAGTCGCTCGCGAAGACCATGGTTCGCGCTGTATATCAGAATAATACTACCAAGGTCGACCAACTTAAGTTACCGGCCAAAATAGCCCAGACCTGTGTCCACGACATGTTGGTCGATCGATGCAAGAGAGCAAATGTTACCCCTGCATCCCGACCGCGGTATTCAGGGCCAGTTGAATCGCAGGATGATTCTAATTCTCCACCACCCGTCGGAATTGGTGTCTCGACAACAGCAAACTCCGATATACCGAAATCAAAGGGAGACGAAATTCCAGATATATCACCACCTGATGCTAATATAAATGATGGCCGTGACGCCGGGGTTACTGATGACATTTGGGAACAACTTCAGGCTGACAAAAAGAACGCTGAGCTTCAGACGCAGAAGAGCGAGGAGGAGATCCGCAGCCTAGAAAAAGCCCAGCATGCTGCAGAGGAAGCTCGAAAGGAAGCTGAAAAGGCTATAGCCGCGTTGCAAGAAATGAAGGCAAAAAATGATGCCGATATTCTCGAACGCTTACGGCTTCGTGAAGAGGCAAGGATACGTGAGATTGAAGCAAAAGCTGAGGCAGAACGCATTCGGAGAGAGCGAGAAAGAAAAATGCGGGAAGAGGAACAAAAAAGGAAAAAGGAAGAGCTTGCTCAGCGCAAACTGAGGGAGATGGGGGTTTGTGTCGCCGGGTTTAGATGGATCAAACAGAGCGGCGGATATCGGTGTGCTGGTGGCACCCATTGGGTATCGGACTCTCAATTGAGGTAGAAAGGCACGACAGCAATTTTATAGCCATCGATTGATCTTTCGGTTCTATCCCTTGTCTATGAATTTCGAATAATTATCAATTATTGACTTAAAGTTTAACCCTCCTTGGAATATATCAAGACCAGTCTGCTCTGTCGTTTTCAAGCCGCTAGAGACTGATTTAGTATGTACTTACTTATACCCGAGCGAAGCGTGGCCTCTTAAAATAGGTACGTCTTCTATTTATTATATATATCAAGAGATTATTCAGCATGAAATTAGTATAGATAAACGCTTATATCTCATTTGATGCTTTTTAGTCTGATTCGTAAACTCATTTTATACAGCTTTGTAAGGAACCGTACTTTGAGCATTCCTTCTTGTACGAATTACTAGTAGACTCGATTGAGTATTTACGATGCCAAGGTCTGAGGCTCCAGGTAAACTCTCTAATAAAGGCTTAGTTAACTAGTTAGTTAACTAACAATAGCGGACAATAGCGACCATACTATCAATTTCGTTTTTAGCCTGAACAGCCATAATGCCACGCAGCTAATAATAAAAAGGTGTTTTAAATAGCACCCTTTTATATGGGTAATACTTTACACACCTTATCTAAGTACCTCTTCCCTTAAGAATACTCACTTTCTCTCTCCATAAGGCTCTCTATAAGCCTTCCCCTGGGCCCCCTCTCTAGGCCCCCCTCTAGGCTCTTCCTAGGCCTCTCTCTGGATCGCTTTCTTACTAAATTTCCTACTTAAGATCTTACTACTCTCCTTTTATTTTTCTCCTACCTCTAATTTTAGTAGGAGAGAGTGGAAAGCCTAGAGAGAGGCATAGGGAGAAGCCCAGGGTAAGGCTTATAAGGGAAGAGGGAGGCGTTTAGGTAAGATAAATAAAGTACAGATGTTGAAGATGAAGGTTTGAATCGACCTGCCGAGGCGCATGTGACTAAGATAGTCATCAGCATCAGCAAGCTTATAACACCATATCGCTGTTATAAGCTTGGAGTCAACGGTTTCATATACCATTAACCGAGATTGACACGGCAGAGACCTAACCGAGATGAGACTCAGCAATGTATGGGAATCTCAGCTATAAGAAGATCCAAATCTCATGTATTTAGCAAGTCTGTAGATTGAAATACATACGTCTGCACAACGCAATCTCCATTGTAAATTGAGATAGTTCGATATAACGTTCGCCAAGCCCAGTTTACTCAGCAACCTCCGCTACGATCCAACAAGAGTTCCTTACAACAGAGAGAGTAGCTTAGTAAGTAAAGGACTTATTATTAGCCAATAAAATAGCTTCTTTTTACTTAGTAATAGGATTATATAATCGAAACCCCCTTTCTGTGTGTCTTTATCTAAGTTTGTTTTAAAAACGAAAGTTGATAGCATGGTCGCTATATTAGCTTTGGTGGAGACTCAACGTTTTTTGGGAAAGCTTCTTTTAACATTAACATTAACTATTTAACCTTAAAAATAACACGTCAAGCACAATTACTCATGATCACTGGCTCGAATTTCCCTCGCGAGTTGACCTAGCTCCGCCACTTCTCAGGCGGAGTGTACTTAGCTCATGAATTGAGGATGCGATTCATGATATGTCCGACTCCCGTCAGGGACTGCAGATGCTTGTCCACTCTCTTTCGTGGCGCGCCCTTTGGCAATGCGAAGCCATACTGCTTGCCGATGATTAGGCACTCCACAAAGGTCCTGCACGCCCGCTGCTGTAGCGACCCAGGAGGCTCCTTTGTTATTAACACTGCCATTTCCTCCGGGATGGCCTCGCCGACCAACCAGCCGTGAGCGGCGGCATCCTTCTGGCACAGAATTAAGCATGCTGCTGGGGGGATGTTGAGAAAGCGCTCCTCTCCCTTCTCCGTTGCCTGCCGGGCGAACTGGAAGATACTAGTCAGGAGAAGACGTAGCCTGGTAGAGTCACGGTTCTCGCTGATAAACGATAGCTCGTTGGCGCACGCCTGGCTCGCATCGCCGAATAGCTCAACTTCGTAGCTGGTACCGATGTAACCCTCGAAGAATTCCGCGACGACCCGGGAGAAATATCCGATTGGCCCTGGTTCCTGCTTGGAAATCATGAAGAAGTGGCCCGTCACGAGTACCGTCGTCCGACATAGGTTCTCTTCCCGATTTCCAGCACAAACGCTACCACTGAAGTCGCTCAGGAACTCGCGGATGCCAAAGTGGAAGAACTCCAGCGCGTCCCTGTCGCAGGCGATGGCGGCCCAGTCGGCACCGCTGCTGCTGTGGTGTCATCTCCTTCTCTCCATCCGTGTCGGACCGCCGCCAGCTTCGTTTCCATGCCCGTGAAAACAGTGATGGCCACTAGTGCCTGAAGATCTCTCGGTGCAACTCTCTGCAGGATCTGTGTCGACAGGTCGCCCATCGCCTTCAGCTTCTTTTGGCTCCTGGCGACTACCAGCCCCAGGAAGAACACATGGTACAGCTTTGCCCATTTCCGCAGCTCATCTGTTTTATTCTCCTGGACGAGCTCCTGCAGTACAGCCAGACTGTCCCACCGGTTTAACGCCACGTACTTGAGATAGAGGGACATCAGCTCGAGGAGGAGAGGGAAACGGAGGGAAAGGCCCAGCCCCTTCATGACCAGATCGACAAACCGCGACGAACGCTTGAATCTCGCGAAGAAGACCCGCTCCTGGAGCCCAAGCAGTTCTTTCACCCGCTCGTCTATCGGATCCGAAGGTCCATTCAGCAAAGTAACTCCCAAGGTAGCTGGCATTTTATCCACACACGCTCCGTGCTCAAGTAGCTCCTGCGTTATCTCTCTCGAATTCGCCAAAATGGCTCGCATCAATGGCGTGTCAGTGTCACCATACTCCGCCTTAGCCTCAAGATGTGCGCCGTGGTCCAGCAGTACAGACACAACCTCCCTATGCTGTCCGGTAACCGCGATATGTAGTGCCGTCAGCATGCTTCGATCTTTGAAATTGATACGCGCACCGTGGTCAAGCAGCAGCTCCACCATTTCTCGGTGGCCTTGGTTGACGGCCCAGGACAACGGCGTCCGGCCGTAGTTGTCCTTTCGCGAAATCAGGCGACCATGCTTGCTGATCAACAGTTTCGCCCAGGTTACATTGCCAAAGTATGCCGCGAGATGCAATAGTGTGAACAAAGGCGGGCTTCCACCATTCTTCTCCCGCTTCCAGTAGACTTTCCACCATTCGCCCCGAATCAGAGAGTCGGCTCGGAAGAATGGCCGTGAGAACTCAGATGTTGTATCAATCACATGGATGGCGTGATGGAAATGAACCGGCCAATACCGGCTAGCATAAGATAAGAAGGGATCGTGAATGCTTCTGGAATTTCCGTATCCACGTTCGACGTGAGCTAAACAGGTCTGCATGAGGATCCTGTGGGTGTCTAGGCCCATATGGAACATGTTGATCCCCTTGATGTTGACTTGATCGCTCTGAAAGAACTCCTTTGCCGATTCGTGAACCAGGTTGACAACTACTCCTTCGACCTTCACGAGCAGCCCACCAGACTTGAGCCGTCTATCAGTTATTTCTGTTGCTAATTGAGTACTAGCTGCCGTGATTCCTGTGGCAACTGCTAGTTCCTCCAGTGTGAGGGGCCGTGCAGCGAGAACGACCCATTGAAGAAGAGGAGCCAATGCTTCCTTGTCGACGACCTGCCGGAGGAGCCGCTGGTATATCCCAATGAGACCTTTAGGAATATGGCAGAGAACTTCATCAATTTCGTCCCAACTCCCACTGTCCTGAAGTTCATTAACAACGAACCCGACCCACAGAAAGGTCCCATCAGCGCCAGCCAGCAAGGCCTGCTGGACCTGGGCGATCATTTCTTTGGAAAGGTTCTGCTCGGATGCCAATTCAGCAACTTTAGCGAAGATGTATCGCTCGACATCATGTGAGATTTCCGTGTCAGAGATATTTAGTTGGATCTGCTGAAATTCACCGAGTTTGCTCTCTAGAATGGCCGGCTGAGGTCGGGAGAGGATAATGAACTTTAGCTGCGGCGTTACGTTCTCCTCAGACTTAGACAAGTGATTTACAACGGCGTCAAGAAGCTGCCTGAGCGATTCCTTTTCGCATTCGTCCAGGCCGTCTAGAACACAGACTACCTGGGAAGCTGTGCTCTGCTGAAGTAGAGTCAGGAAAACCCTCCACAACGAGACAAAACTGGAAATGGTATATTTTTGGTTGTCTCCGCACCTTCGAAGGAGCTCTTGATTTCCTTGGCCAGGTGAGGATGGAGGTCGATCCATTGGTGCAGGATGCCTCTCATGATGGTCAAAGCAGTGTTCCTATTCTTGTCCCGGTTACTACAGAAGTAATACAGAAGGACGTTATCCACAGCGTCTACCACTGGCTCTGGCACCTCCGTGATATAGATTGCCAGCATGGTCTTCCCCTTTCCAGGACCCCCTGAGATCCAGAGGAGTGGGCTACTTGCATCCGCCAGCCACTCTCGATAATTGGGGTGCTGTATGAGCCATTCACAAGTGCCATCAACTCTGCGCCCTTTCAATGCAATGAGGGACTTCCGATCAACCTTCGGTCTTGTTAGAAGCAAAGCGTCAAGAACAGGCGCGGCCTCAGCATACGAGTTTACTGCCAGAGGTATTATTGTCTTAGACACCGTCGGTATGAAGGAGAGGACTTCTTTTGCGTATGCTGCGGCGGCAGCTGCGGCGTGGGCATGCCAAAGATTGGGCCTGTGCGAACCTGTATAGTCGCAAATCCCCCGGATGACCAGGTACTGGGCGCTGGCGGCATAGACATCCGTCATGCTGTTTGCCTCTGTCTCAAAACAGAGAATGTCATGCTCATGTGCGAACTTGTTCCGGGTAACTCTATGGCGCGTCAGATAGTGGTGGGCTGGAAGCAATCAGGCCATAATGAACTACGGGGCCCTGTGCCTCCCGATGCTGCTGGGACCGGACCCTGTCTGGATCGCAGTGACTGTATCCGCTTCCTTCAGATTCGACGGTTGTATGATCGTAATTCGGCTCCAGGCGTGTATCTTGCTCTGGGCCAGGACGGGCAAAGGTGACGGGGTCTTTCTGCACGATCTCAGAGATGTACTGGGACATCTTGCTTTCATCAAAAATGGCGGCTGTTTCGGCCTTGCCCATAGCTGTAAGGAGCAGTGGTGTCGGTAGATCTAAACCTCTGCTGCCAATATACCAGTCTTCCGTTCGCTTCCCCCCGTCCACGTCATACTGGGCGACACCTGGGGCCCCAGCTGTTGACTTGCTGACAACAACATCACCAAGACGGATATCCTCCTTTGTATCTGGCACTCCTCTGGCAATGCCAACCATAAGGTTAAGTTGGATAGATGTGTAGCTTGCATGTAACTGTTTGGTCACGTCGGCCACTGATGTTTTACCACACGCCCTGGTATCTGGATACGCTATAACAGCATTGTGGCCTTGGAGACTTCCCAGAACATAGCTGTTGTTATCGTCTAGATTCCTGTTCAAGGGAGAGTTGTTATAGACGCGATCAAGGGTTGCTTTTGCTGCGGCGACCTCTATAGGCAGTGTGCAAACCCACCCGACTGTGTAATCATTACAGGACGCCATTCTTGACCAGGGCGTAGGTCAAGAAATAAGAGACCCTAGAAGCGTCGATGTCGAGATTTAGTATTAGGTATGTCGTCGAAATTGCCTCGACCATCTGGGTATTTTTGGAACGGGATTAACTTTCTCTAGAATATTGCCTATATCATTAACTAGGTAGGTATAGGTGAGAAAAGTAACTAATTAATCCAACAAGGGGTATAGTTGTAATGATGAATGTGGTGGCAGCGATGATACACCACATAGTTAGTTACCATTCGAGTATATAATCATACATAGTATCTAACTACGGAGCGGTTACTCAATAACATTTAACATCGCTAGCCGCTGCACTAACTACTTATACGTCGGGTGCTGTGGGATTCCGTGGGTGGGCGTCTATGCTCGATGTTTCCGCAAGAACTGCGAGAAAGCCAGGTTACTCACATACCCCTGCCCTGCAAGGCCTAACTCCATCGGGTACATCTTTTGTTTTGTTTGGCGTTTTGACATGCATATGCATCTCCAGCCACCAAAGAAGTTAATTCTTCCAATGCCCCCGTTTGGAAAGTCATGTCTACACAGGCTAAAAAGTTGCTTAGCCACCTCTATTTGAAAAACATTTATTAAATACAAATATCTTCCTCTTGCTAATTCATTCATATAGTTATTCACTTATCCAATATCTCATCTATACTCCAGGATATAATATATTCGACCATCGGAATATCAATGTTCTACTGGGCGGGTCCAACCTTAGTGGACGGCCCGCCTTCCCGCGGCGCCCCTTTTCCCCCGCTCCCCGGCCCGCACCAAAAGTATAATTATATATGTTGAAGGTTGGTCGGACAGAAGACTTGGCCCCAATATTTACCTTGAGGCTGCAGGACATCCGTTTGCATCCTGCTGGCTCTCTTTCCCTGAATGGTTGTATAGTTTTGAATGTTTTGTACCGGACTGCTGCATGTGAGGCTGTGTCACTCGTCACTCGTCAGTCGTCACAAGTTGGTCACCAACTCACAACAAGGCCGGCGCTTAGCAAGGACAAGTGAATAAGATAGCACTTGACGGTTCTTCATTTGCCTTAGCTTCCGCTCTATTCTCAAATTCTAGTCTCCCCATATCACACCAAGTATCAGCACACACGACGGCAAATGGAAGTCGCTCCCCGTCTTCGAGTTTCAACCCCACCGCCGTCAGACGCGCAGAAAGGGCGGGTAATGAAACCCATCAGCAACGCCGCATCCAAGGCCAAGAGGGCAGGAAGGCGCCCGGCTCTTCTCTCGTTCGACGAGATGCCAGAATGGTTTCGACGTGAGTCGAACAAGTGGATTCTCCATGGATATCGGCCCATCTCAGGCTCAGCTCTCACTTCGTTCTCCAGCTGGTCGTATATCCATAATGAGTCTGTCAACATCTACTCCCACCTTATCCCGGCCGTTTTCTTCATGCTTGGTGAATGGTACCTTCAACAGTACCTTATTAGCAAATACTCTAAGGTGACCGGCGCCGATTTTATTGCCTTCTCTATCTTCATGTTGACAGCCGTTACCTGTCTATCATTATCGGCGACGTACCATACCTTGATGAACCACTCCCAGCACGTGGAACACTTTTGCCTGCGACTAGATATGCTGGGTATAGTAATCTTTATATTGGGTGACCTTGTCTTGGGAATATATATGGTTTTCTGGTGTGAACCTTTACCGCGCAATATTTACTGGTCTATGGTTAGTTAAGTCTATCTCCGTGTAACTACTTGAGTCTAATTGACACTCTTCCTTTTCTCGGTTGATAGATTGGAATTTTCGGGACGTTGACGATCTTTATGACGATGCATCCCAAGTTCCAAGGCTCGAAGTATCGCAATTTCCGAGCTTTGATGTTCGTGGCGACTGGCTTGTCCGGCGTTGCGCCTTTAATCCATGGGCTTTGGGTGTTCGGGATATCGCAAATGATGACAAAAGCTCTCCCCTACACCATGGCAAAAGCAGGCTGCCTTTTATCTGGGACTGCTTTTTATGCAGTAAGGCTTCCTCATTCCGCACACAAAAGAGAGATTGACCTTAACCCATGTAAAGGCCCGGTTTCCCGAAAGTCGATACCCTGGCAAATTCGATCTATGGGGCTCACATTCAATCTTTCACGTCCTGGTAGTATGCGCCGCTGTGGTCCAGCTGATGGGGTATCTAGATGCCTATGATCATGCACAGGCAAATATTGCTTGCTCGTCCATTTGAAATCCGTTCTCCTAGTATACATCCATTTCTTTAAGCATTTTCAAAATCGGTTATTGCGGATAGATTCACAGAGTTATACACCTAGGCTTCCTTGTGGTTGAATACATCCCAGCCATCGGCCTTGGAGAGGCAAGGGAAGGGAACCTAATTCAATTTGTGAGTGACAATAACTGTATAATTGACCTATGTCAAAGATTGGCTCTCGATGCCCTTTTATTCCCTAACCATGCACATATATTTTGAAATTTTCAATGAACCCGGCACGGGTAGTGACTCACATGATATAACAACCTTACGCAACAAGGCTCTTTAGCACTACCCTCTCAGCTCGAATCCAGCGGATCCAGATATCCCCAGTCTATATCTACTATTAACAGTTGCACCCTACCCATACAAGTTTATGTTCTAACCCTTAACTGCTAGAGATTCAAGAACATAAGAACAAATTACCGCCAGCGCCTGTGATGCGTCCAAGCCACGCTCTGCTAGCGGCGAAGGAGAGCAAGACAATAAGTAACTAACGAAGCGAGTGGCGCTACCTACGAATCTCTATACAACACCCGGAAAACCGACGCCAAACCGGCACTCTTGAGAGTCACCTGAGGCAGCCTAGTCCGCTGGAGGGCAATGATGGTATATCCACGAGATTTGATGTGGTCACTGGGTGGTAAAGGCACTCATCGTGCGCTATGCTAGACCGGCCTCCAACCCTAGGATGCTCTCTCAGCGACCACTTCAGCGTCGAGGCGACTCTCGCGCTCCAACAGGGAGAAATGGGCAAGCCGAGAAGCTGCCTTTGCCGAGGATCTTGACCTGGTTACACGGAGGATATCGCAACCCCTTTTAGGCAGGCTACTCTTCCTTGTTACTGGTGGGACAATGCTCCACCGTTGACTGATTAACTCCGGGCTAGTTAGTTAGTTAGGAGCTAACTAACTCGTTACCAACCACGTGGTAAAGGATCTGTCAAAGTCTTTTTTTTATAACTAGTCATCGAATCCTTCGTCAACTCTAATAGAACAACACGAATGGAAAGAATCAGTTACGAGCATCTTAGTTTGGCATATACCCCATTAATACCCCGATCGACTGCTTTAACAGTTTAAGCAGTGTACGGCGGCCTCAAAGCCTCCAGTATCTACCTCGCCTTTACCACTAGCCACTTACTCTCCTGTCTTGATCCATTCTACAGGCTCTGGTTTTTATACTAGTCATAGCGTGCGTGGGAATTGGCATCCTACAGAAGCTGGGCAAGTCAAAGTATAACAAAACTTTTTATGTGCCCACTGTCAGTGTGGGCTCACACCTTTCAGTGCAGTGGCAGATTTGACAGCAACTCATCCACAGTGATCCACCCAGATTCGGGTGGATTAGCTGCCCAGATTTCTGGTGAGGGTCTGTAGGATGCCAATTCCCCGCTAGCTATAGTATAAAAGCTATGTATAGCCAAAGGCTCGCTCGAAAAAGCACCTTGCTACACAGCGTGCCTCACTTCAGAGTACGCAATGATGGATACTAGTAAGGTAGTAACGTCAATAAAACACAGTGCACAAGGCGCACAAAAGACCAGCGCTTCCAACAGTTTGCTGCTGATGATTTCGGGGGAAGGGGTACGCCTGCCCGGCCCAGAATTTACCCCCGTAGATGGATGCGTTAGACGAGGCGTTTATGTACAGAGCTAGGCTAGAAATCTGGGCGGCTATCCGCCAAAGTTTTGAAGGATAAGCTACCCAGACTCCTGGTGAGGGACTGTAGAAAGGGAGTCTATCGATTGGGCTATTCTAACCTCTATCAACATGTCATCATACCACCAGACGCCCTTCCAGAGAATCCTTCATAGGAGATCCTTGATAGCAAATCCTTCAGGGAGAATCCTTCAGAGAGAATGCTTCGGATTGTACGCATGTATGGTTAACTAAGTGCTGGTATCCCATCATCCATTCGACTATAAGAACAGCGAGTTTCCCCCAAGCTGTCTGTCACAAATGCAAGCAGAACAACCTCAGAAAACAGTTCGTCTTACATTTCCACATCGCCTTTCCTCACCTTTAGCACACCATGAAGCTTCTTGATCTCCTCACCGTTGCCTTTACCCTTAGCGGTGTCTCTTCCGCTATCCCTACCACTGGGGCAAAGACACTCGAGCCTATCACCGGAACCGTTGTTTCTAGCGGTGTCACTGAGGATGGCGAGCCTTACACTATCACCTCTGACTTCGTTGATTTGACCGATACGGACTGTAAGTTGCCTATCATCTGTTCTGCTGGGACAGTGCCTCAAATTCCCCCCTGCAACCAGTCCTGGAGCTAATGACTCTCATATAGTGGCGCTTTTCGAGGGCAACTCCGGAAATACCACGACCAACCTCGAAAAACGCGGCTTCGGCGCTAAGGGCAACTGTGACCAGTGGTACGAAAACAAGTACTGCTACTGCGGCGGCGCAATTTCGAACCGTGGAGATTCCTACTGGGGTAGCCAGGATTTCTGCAACACGCATAAGTTCAAGAACTTCCGCGACGGATCTCTCTACTCTGTCAAGTGGCTGCCCACGGTCAAGATCGAGTATTGGGTTACGAACAAGTGCAAACACGACAGATATGTTGGAGACAACTGCGGTTCTATCTTCCTCGACCTCATCGATTGGTGCGAATGGTCGTGGATGACTGCTAAGGGAGGACATCAGAACTTTGATGACTGTCTTTTCTTCAGATTCGATGTGAATGGCCGTTAGAGTAGAACAGAAGGAAGGAATGGCCTTTAGAGGAAAGCCGAGGGAATCACTGTTAGTGTAGAGCTGGGGGAAGATTGGAGAAAAGAGTGCCTTGTTGTCTACGAGCTTAGATAGCAAAATAGTACAAGATCGTATATTGGGGACCTTCTAAGTAACAGCCTTTATATAAAAATCAATACACATCTACTAAACGTTAAACAACAACAACTACTACTATAATGATGGCGGTATAGTATATGCCATTAACACTAATGATTATACGGATCATCTTGGCGCAAAATAATTACATTCAAAGCATCAAAAATCCGGCGCCTAGCACATCCCAGACGTTTGTAATGATTTCGAACTTCGGCATTTCCTACGTTGAATCTGCTCACGATATACTATCTATGTTGCAAGCCTGCTCTTTAGACTTTATAATATGTATGATCACAACGGTTGACAGGGTTATCCTTGCCGTATCGCCTAACTACCTCGGAAGGCCATTCTACTTATTCTGAAATTCCAACAGATACGCCCTGTCCAAAGCCATCTCCCATTTGTCAGTTGTAGCGCAACGACAGGGGAGCATGCATCAAGTGTCCACCTGAACGACTGAACGAGTTACCCCTGGAAACTCACATCCTTCCCGCAGCCTATAATATCTAGTGGTTATCCCCTACCCCAAACCAACATGTAAAAAATATCTCCCATGCATCAACTCTGACACATCGACGAGGGTTGACCCTGTCTGGCCAGTCAAACAAGAAGCGGCTACGCCCGAGCAGCTCGACTATGTGCCTCTCGGTTATATATGTACCCATGTCGGGTGCAGACTATCGTGCTCTCGTGAATCTCTCTTCTTGATCCTTCTATACATCCTCCCACAGCCATCGTTCTTAATCACTAAACAACCAAATATGGCTGATTTCTACTGTGGACTTTACTTTCTCGGCTGGCTCCTTCTGCTAGCCTGCAGCAGGGCCACGGACACCCCAACCCCTACATCCCCACAGGTCGTGGAAGTTGACCTGATCTTTCCGCGCAACGAGACATACGCCCCTATCCCACTGATGCCGGTTGTCTTTGCTGTCCAGAACTTCCACGCTGCGAAGCCGCTCTTACTGAACTTCTACTACACCCTCGACCACGTCCCTTACACCCAACCAAGGCCCCTAATTGGCCTACGTCATTTACAGTATGCCAACTACACTGGCAGCAACACTCACTTTGAATATGACTGGACCTCCAAGCTTAATAATACTGAGGGCACGTGGATCTTTACCTGGGAATGGCGCGCAATGAACTGCTCGCAACCTGATGAGGCGCCGCCAGAAACCCACCCAGGACAAGGCATACCTTTAGAGATTGACACCGCCGGCATGCGCAATATTCTTTACTTTACTACTAAACACGGGGCTAAGCAACCAGATCTTGTTGCTGCAACGCAAGATAACATTTGTGCTAAGTCACAGGCTGAGACTGCGAATATCACGGAGATACTAGATGTTCCCGAGTATGATGATTACCACGGCACTCAGACTACGTGCGCATTGCTTTCGACTATTACTCCAACTCCAAATCCCTGTGGTGTCAAAATAGACTCCAGTATGGCATCAAGTATTTCATACGCTATTCAATCAACTGCATGTGTAGGAGGCTTGAGCCCAAATGTGACCTGCCCACCTAGCGCTGAGACGAGGAACTCGGCACACCGCGCAGTGCAATTTTCGGCCGGAGGCGTAGTGTTGTTGGCGGCTACCCTTGCTTGGCTCATTTGTATCGCATGATTTCTGATCCCATTGTATTTACAGGCATTATCAAGTACATGTACATATAGTCACTTCTCGATGAAGTTAGTTCCTCCTGTCGTGCATAATAAATTACCCCTAGCCAGCGCGGTTGGCAGGGGCTACTTACATACATGCAACACTGATAACCCTCTGGTCTTTGCGCACATTGGTTATTACATATGGAGAAATACCCTGCCCAAAGGCTAACTCGGCAGGTATGGAGTAAATTTTACATGGTAATTACCCAGGAAAATATATCCGGGAGGCAAAATGGTCTTTGATGTTTGCCAGTTTCACTATCCATGCCTCAGCAGCTAACTACCAATAAGACTTGCCCAGCTGCCTAAACTAAATTACTGGGCAACAAGCAACGGAGATCAAGGCCCGCCCGTCTAATTATAACTAGTTGACGCTTACTACGGTCCCTTGCAGTTAATCAATTAAAAGGGGCTAGTTAAAAAGAACAAAGAAATGAAATGGGCTGGCTACCCTAGGTATATAGCTTCTGTGTCTCCGAAAGTTATTAATATATCCACTTACCCACGTAGCGATGCCGCGAAGCGGTGTTAATAACTAGTTCCTGCCTGAGCCAAGTTCATCCACCGTCTATACCCAGCCAAAAATAAAGGCGTACAACGTTCAACTTACAATGACTAGTTACTGATATTAGTTACTACACGTTTTGCACCACTATCGTTAAGCGCCGATGTTTGGCGTGGCTCTTGGGGCGTTGAGCCTCTGGCTGCTCGCCAGTGTGGCGGCTACTGCACAGGAAAATGGACAACCAGCCAACCCAGGCTACGACGGTAGCGAATACCGGACTGGGAACTGGACTGAGCTAACTTGCGATGAACCAGCCGTCCTAGGCGACAACCTCTTTACTCCTTCACAGCGGTGGGGGATGTTGGACTGCTCTCACGCCTGGCAGGACGCAATCAATACATGGAAGACGTACGATAGGCCGCGAGCTAGAGGTGACAGGACAGCGTTCCTGAGGTCTATTTTCGACACAATCGAAGGACCGAAAGAAGCAGACTGTGGCATATTACACGGCACGAAATGTTGGAGCCCATTGACGTGCAGCTCGTTCGACCAGAAAGGCACTGGCCCAGCAGCCTATATGATATGGATTTCCATAACCCAGGTTCAGGATGTAGGTTTCCATTTGATGATGCCAGGCATATCATCACCCATATGTAGTTATCCGCAGTCCAGCTAACAGACTCAAACCTACCATGCAGATATACATAGAGATTGATTTCCATAAGAACAACTGTGAACTATTTGTCAATTTGCACTTGATGAATTCGAGACATGTTGCACCGGTATCGCCGCCTCCCGACCCGAAGTGGCTGCTAGCCCTGATAGATCTAATCACCATTGGGACTGCTGGAGTTGGCGGATTGGCTGCCCATTCTGGTAAGTGCTTGTGCTCTTACGCACTCCTGTGGCCGCAATGAAATATTGACTTGTTAAAAAATTAAAGAATTGGGGAGTATGCGATATTTTGCACCGAGGTCTACTAGATATGACAATTTAGTGGATACTACATCGCTTCTTATCAGACAAGGTACAAACTTGGCAAAAGACTTGCTAGAGGAGCCCAAGGTGTAAGTTGCCCCCTCCTACAATTGCTGTGCCATTTAGCTCAATTTTATGGCTAACAATTAGTGGAAATAACTATTTTACAGTGGTGATTGGACCTCAATGAAGCAAGATAACTTCTCGTGGACCCTAGGAGAAGCCGCCAATGCCTGGCATAACATCACTGCAGCCTCTCTCGAAAGTCTTTTCGACGGGAGCGATAGCTCAATAGATACGCTGACAGGTATCATTTCTGATGGCAAGCTCATTTACGGGAAATTAGTAGATTATGAAGGTGTTGATAACTCTGCGCCTGAGGATAAGTATTTTTCTTCTACTGTCTCTTCGAGAATTTTGTTTGCGTTCGCCATCCCCGCCATCTGGGCTGCCGCAGGGACGTTCCCTTTTGTCATTGACTCGGGCTATCCGTGTGGTACAATTGACCCGCTCGGCACTTACCTCTCTGTGGAAACGATGCATGCGACAGCTAGCTGTGTTGACGACCAATTGTACTATCTAGCCTCGCCAAAAGGCGAGGCACATACATTTATACCTCACGTCCGCGGCGGATATTACAGACACAACAAGTTTTCGGCTCTGCCTGGGATCGAGAATTTAAACCATGGGAACGACTATAGAGGCCTTACTTTAGATGATCTAGTCAAGGGGTGAGTTTTGTATTTCTCTGGAAACTTCTTAGTAAACCGTAGCTTGATACAGGCACTAACGCACATCTAGAGCTGTCCGCACATACAAGCAGAATGGCGGTAGAAACCTTGTCAAAGGCAACAACGCTGGGGCTCGTGACAAGCTCATAAGTCAAGATCTCACCTTGGAAGATTTCATCCGCATAGGTCAAGACATCACGACTCCGGGCTTGATCCGTATCCCTGTCTGCAGCCCTGATACGGCCCTCAAGGGATGGCTGGGACCTAACAATGTGCGTGACACCACATTGGAAAACTACCCGTGCTCTCTACTAGCCACGGGTAACGGTTAAGTGTGCAACCTCAACGTTCGAGGAATAGACGAACGTCGAATTGTATGATAATAATAAAGAACATTGAGGGAACTAGCGGATGGTAGACCACACCAGTTGTGGGCCAGAATCAGTGCCGGACCGCAGATTTCAATACCCGCAGGTTTGGTGTCGAAGTCCTATAACGGATGGAAACAATGCCTTCTGTTTAGGCGCACAGAATATCGTGGATATTATCACGGATATAAGCCAGTTTGTCGAAGATGGTAGGGTTGCTGTCAAGGGCGACATGTTATGTAAGGGGAACGGTGGCTGGAATGTCAATCATGGGATCTATTATTGGATATTTTATTAGTTGGAGCTTCTCATATAAAGTTTCTAAATGTATATATTGGTTGTATGTACGAAGTGCTGGTAGATTTGGCTTAGATGTACATATGGATATCCCCCTAAGGTTGCGTTGACTATAATACAATTTGACTTGTCTTTCATTCTAATTTTACATTCTTACACTGTATTGCCTGGTAGGTAGTAATATGATATTTGATTTACAAGGTAATAAGGAATAAATTACCACCTTGACTTGCTACTAAATGGTTGGGCTGATATAGGTAATGTATTCAGTTCTCCAGGGGTAGGTATAGGTATTGGCTGTGCAGAATTGTCGGATTAAACAACATATTAAATGTTGGAATATTCCACTTTAGCTACGACTCGCACTCATTACCCAAGGATTCCTTGGGGCATTAGGCCTTTTTGTCCCTTGTAGTCCAACATTAAACAATATAGAAATATGGAGGGTTTTTTGCAAAAAGGGGTAAAATACACTAGAATACATTGGCTATAGCCCATTTGGGTATTATGTGCTAGGTTTATTAGCGCAGCGGATACTGCAGTAGAATGAGCAAGAGCGTAGATATTGAAAAAATGATTAACGGACAGCAAGTGTAAGTTCTTGTGGGGAGTGCAGCATTCTAGCATCCCGTTGCCAGTTCGAAGATGATGCCACTGGTGGTGGAAGATCGAGATGTATATCATCTTCTGTTGGACCACAAGTGACAAAAAGGCCTGATGCCCCAAGGACGCCTTGGGTAATGTGTGCGAGTCTAGCTAAAGCGGATACATATCTCAACATCTTCGTATAACTCAGGATAATCATATTGACCTTTGTTGTCACCGTCATCGTTGGATTCTTGGGATGCCTCGGCGCTGCCAGCTAAGGCGACGGTGGGTTGAAGCATCCATTGTAGTTGTAGAAGTGCCGGGTTGGGTAGGGGAGTTCTGTCGTATGCGGTGATATGTATGAGTGTCCCCGAAATGATTTCCTCATTGGATACCACATCCCACAGCCGTATCCGGCGGGTTCCAACACGAAATACACGCGTTCATGATATTTGTGAACGGAAGGATCCAAGCATATATGGTTCTGTATCGTCTCAGTAGCTACAGGGCTAGTGAGGGCATTATACCAAGCATCAACTATTTTGGGGTCCAGAACATGCGTAAAACACTCCACGGATTGTCTTTATCGTTGGCTATATCTGATGGTGGCAATCCCGTTATGAAACGTGGGAAAGATATGTAGTATGGCCTTTCCTTGTGCTAGAAAACCAGTGCTTTTCCTCGTGGGGTTCTAGCTTGTCGAACATGGATATTACCCTTGAAATTGTACAGCCAGTTCACTACACGAGTATTTGTGTCGGTATAGAGCAACGCCACGACAACATAGTAGTCAGTGAGCTTAATATGCTTAGGGGGCTAGTCTGTGGCGTCCTTCATATCTGTTGCCAACTCTATATATTCCACACATCGCAAGGCACAGCGTTAGTTGTAGTGTTGTCTTCATTAGGTTGCAAGAACTTGTTTGCCCACGACTTCGCACTCTCATCTTTTCTTCCGGGAATACAACGGACATACTCGGAGAACTTGTCTGTCACCGTCATTAGTGCGTTGCGGTTCTCTGACTCCGGGAGATCGATGATAAAATCGAGTGTAAACGTGTCGAATGGGCCGGCAGGAGGGATTGGAGTAAGTTGACCATAGGGAAGATGATTCCGAGGTTTTGTAACAGCACAGGCGGGACAGCCAGAGACAGCAAACGCTGAGGGTAAACATGTAAGTCAGATGTAGTCAACTGAATGATAGGAACCGGTGACCAGTCTTTAATAAGGCCGCAGGGGCCAATTCACTTTCCCACCGGCAGTTTAGGGATCATGTTGGCCAGATGTCCGCATGTACAAGAGAAAATCCCAGCCTCACTGAGTATAGCAGGTTTTCTTCTCCCTTGCACCTCTCAAAGACCGCCTGTGCATTTTTCTAGGTATTATTGGACCATTTGTGAATATCGAGGGTATATAGAAAAGTGAAAATCAACGGCCATGCTCTTACTGCGTGAGCTATATTATGACTGTCTATCATCCGGACCCGAATTTCACCGTCCGACTTTGGGGCAACTGTGACAAGCTGAAAGTTATCATAGCACTGAGTATGAAGGAGCTTTCTACCGTCATCTTTAATATTTGTATCCCCATTAGCACGCTTTTCTGCCTCTATTTTATTCAGTTTCCGAGTCACAACGCATCGGTGATGGTCTCGATTAAGCAGCCTCATCTCCAGGTTAGAAATGTGCTCTGTGCTGCCAGATTTTGATGCATGTACTGTGAACATAGCGATCAAAGCCTTACAGACAACGCAGATAGCCGTGAGGTTGTTAATATTTGCTAATAAATCTCTAACAGCTTTGATAATACTCGGCAAGACATCGGGGCCGCCGATATAGAGGATAGTCAAACCGCTGCCTTCCGTGGGTATTTCCGTTAGATGCATTTTGACCAACCAAACCTAGCTCCTCATTGGTCATCATCTAGGCGATCCTGTGCGTTGATAGCCATAGTGTTGATTTCATCATTAGTCGGTGCGTATTACCTAGGCAGTATAACCGAGTAGTTGGAGAAGGCAGGTGTAGATATTAGTTAGAGGGTCATCAGCAAGCATACGAAGATCAACTGATTTCCTCCCAGTTTTAATAGCCCTAAAGGGAGTTCGTGAGTAGGTGGTGTATCTTCAAAGGCTCGCATGTTCCAGACCAGAATAGTTTATACGACCAAGCCTTTAGTGTTGATTTCATGCTGGACTTAGTGTTCAAATATGCCATTCAACCAAAAGAGTGAGCCTACACTAGTGTTAGGTAGCAAGCTTCGTATATAGTCAAGCAAGCACAGTAGGGTATAATCCAAAATATATAAATTCTAGCTTGTGGTAGCTCTGGTATCTTGACGATGTAAGGAATCAGAAAATTCAACTGGGGTATTGATATTTATACAAAGAAAGTCTCCAGGTTTGGTAGACGTCGGAATTCACTGCTTCCCAACGTCACTACGATAGCTTCACTGCTTGAGTGACTGCGCCTTTGCGGCTCAACAGCACGTCATAGGGTCTTTGCCATATTTATGGCTTTCAAATATGGTACCCAAGATGCCTAATTGCAATGTAATCAATATTGGTGGTACAAAAATTAAGGTCGGGAATGGTATCATCATTTCAGTGCTAAAACTTCGCTCTTACAGTATCATATCACTTCCTAGCAAAACTCTTTGGGCCGCCAGTGCTATGCCGCAATGCCCCAGTAGCCCCCATTTTTCGCTTCCCGCCAACCCAATTTTCCTTAACGTGCCTACTGGCAGTTGAACTCTTTGGTGGAAGAACAGGATTGACGCCATTACCGGAGCTATTCAACACCCTGATAGCAGTAGACCCAACCTTCATATCCTTTGGCCGCTTATCGACTGCATCTGTAAGCCGTATATGTTTTGGTTTGCCCATCTTGAGCTTTTCCATATCAAACGCTGTTATTAACGGCTGAGACGGCTCTGCGTTTAGAATTTCGTCAGGAAGAAGTGCGGGCAGCGGCGCCGATAGGCCCAGCCTGGACTCTCGTGTTCCGGCACTGAGTGTCATTGAGCTCTCGGACTGCTGTTCGTCATGTTTTGATGTCTTTGCTTCGGCTATCTTGGCCTTGGCTTCTCGACGGGCATCAGCTGCCCTTTGGATAGCTGCTTTTGAAGCGGCTTGTTGTTGTAGGCGTTTTTCATGCTCTTTTCGCTTCTCCCTTCGCAATTGCTCGTCCCTGTCATAAAGCAGTCAGTACCTAGTGCAGTTTAAGAATATCCTGTCAAGATAGCTTACATGTGTCTTGTTTCTTCCTTTTTGCGCTCAACATCTCGTATTTGTGATAGCTGAGCAGCATTGCTAAACGCTTCTGGAGCTTCGTCATCGCTACTATCATCCTCATCATCCTCGTTGTTTGGTTGTCTGGTTGTTCCATGTTCCGACTCTGCACCGACGTCTCCCTCGTCATCGTCTACGTGGGTGCCATTGGTTTGGGCGGGTTCTTCGCTCCCAAAGCGGATTTTTCGATTAGGAGCGACAATATCTTCATTCTCAGGTGCTGCTGAGGTCGAATTGGTATTTGGCCGGTTGATTATTGTAACAGACTCCAATACCTGAAGGTTCTTAGGTTTGGCGCCATCTCCCTCACGCTTCGTCGTATCTTTCGATTTAGTTGTTTTCAAGCTTGTCTGGCCTTTCCGTCTCTTCTGTGGCCTGTTTTCGGTGGTCTCTGTAACGGACGATGATGACGTCTCCTTGCGTTTTCCATTAGACACCGGAGCTCCCTGTGTTTCTGGCGTTTCTGGCGATAAAGTCGAATTGCGGGTTGCTGTGGCCATATTGGCGGGCTGTTCTTGTTCGGACGCCGTATCTTCGGTGCCGTCTGGCCTCTTGAACAAACCACGAGCAGCGGTTACTATCTGAGACAACATATGGAGCGAAAAAGATTGAAGAGTCGTGAAAATTGCGATTATTCCTATCAACGATTATCTTCTCTCTACACCAATAACATCTATTTTTTTTTTTGCAGGCGATAGTCGGACTTTTATTTCCCCGGCAGCGATAGCCGATCGCCAATTTGAGTTCGATGAGCGGATGACACGGAGAATAAAGAGCGAGGAAAAGTGCGTGTCTTGCTCGTAGTACAAGACTGATAAAGGATCTCTGACTGCTTACATGCTATTAGAAGACCAAAGCAAAGTCCAGGAAAGAAGTCCCAATGTATCAAGATGCCGCCCATAACGCCAGGAACGCTTTTTTTGTCCAAGTAGAATATTCGTAGTCGTATATCGTTAAGTCTAGCTGTAGAGGCCCGAAGCCTCAGCAGTTCTCCGTCTCTCTTCTGCCTCCTCTGCAGCCTGGAGGTAGTCGTCTTCTCCAACATCGCTCACCTCGTCCCACATCTTCTCAAACTCCTTCATGTCGTGTGGTGGCACCGCCCACATGTTTTCTCTCAATCGCTTGTTCCTCTCACGGTCTTCCTCCACACGCTGCTCGATCTGTTTCCGGTCAACAGTGACCCTTGACTTTGTGGCGTCCAATCCGGCCTTCCCGCTATCTACCGTTCCGGGGTCCTCGAGCGGCTCCAGGTCAAGGAGATGAGCCGGATAGCTTTCTCGTTCCTTGAGACAGGCATCGATCTCAGATACTGTTTCGTGAGATAGTATCTCCTTCGATTGGAGACCGTTCAAAACACGCCTTACATGTTTCACATTGGCAGCCCCAGAGCCGTCTGCAGGGGCAACGGCGTCGACAATTTGGAGGATATCACGTTTAATCATGTGGACGAATTCGGGGTGGTTCTCATTCGTGGCCATGTCGGCCAGATGCTCGATGAAGTACATGATGTTGGCCCGGGTATTCATATTACTCTGCAACCAATTTGTCAGCTTGTTATATTACCCATTACCCATGAGGCATTTCACAATAATAAATAAAATAAAAACAAAACTGCCGGGCCTTGCTCACCCTTTCCAGCTGCTCCAAGATGCATGAGTGGAGGTCCTCCCCCATGTCCCTGTGTTTCAAGACATAGTTGGCTGCCTTCTGCGACGAGGTGAAGGATGCGCTTAGATGTTGCAGCTGCGTGGTAAAGCGCATGCGGACCTCAAACGGGTCGGCCATGCTGGAAGGGTCGGTGTCACAGTCTGTCTTCCGCTTTTTGCCTCATGAGATCATGGCTCTGTCTCGTCGCTCGCCTCCCTTGCCCGGCCTTGCTCTGGTATTCGTTTCCTTTTGGTTTGATAGTCGCCTGCCTTTTCGTGTTGAAACTTCCCTCCAAGAGACTAAAAAAGCCACGCTGACGTAATAGTGCATTAAGTAAGTCACCCAAAACGGGTAAAACCGGGCGCATGGGCCCCTTGCCCTCGGGCCGATGTTCTTCCGTTCTATTCTTGCTTTTTGCTCATTTTAACGAAACAGGAAAAGTTCGCGATATAAAATCGACGTCGGACCCAGCGACACCACGAACCGCTCGACGCCCTTCATCCTCCAGTTTCAGCACATTCTGCACCCGCTACACAGTCGTTTTCGCCTGTTTCCCACCCTGCACACCCGCAATCATGTCTTCGTTCATGGACGGCACTCTTTCTTTCGGTCACTCGGGGACGACAGTGACGTTTCTTGGATGTGGTAGGTTCTTCCCGCAGCGCCGGGGGGGAACTAGGGATGCATGTTCCGAGGAAAAACAAACGAGTGAATGCGGCTAACTTGGCGTCGTTGACGATGACAGGAACACTCGGCACTTCGATTCTCTCGGGCGTGATGGCGTCTCTCTCGGAGCCGCGAAGCTCGTCCGCCTACCCGCCGCCCTCCGGCTCTGCCACCCCTTCAGAGGGCCTGCCAGTGCACCAGACTCCCTCCAAGTTCATTGCCTGTGTCCGCCGGCCGGAGTCTGTTAAGCGAATCCAGCACATCCTCAGCCCGTACAACCTTCCCTTGACCATCCTCCAGAACGAGAACGTCAAGGGTGTCACCGACGGCGATGTCATCGTGCTCGGCTGTAAGCCATACATGCTTAGCGAGGTTCTCAACGTTCCTGGCATGAGAGAGGCTCTCAAGGGCAAGCTTTTGATCAGCATCCTTGCTGGTGTGCCCGCAGAGCAGATCGAAGAAGTGCTGTACAAGGATTCCGATATCGACTTGGCCGACAGATGCCGCGTCGTCCGTGCCATGCCCAACACCGCTGCAATCGTCAGAGAGTCCATGACTGTCATTGCCAGCACTAACCCACCACTCTCCCACTTCCAAAGCACTATCGTCGCCTGGATCTTCACTAGTGTGGGCCGTGTCATCACCCTCCCACCACACATCATGGACGCAAGCACTGCCATGGCCGGATCCGGCACTGCTTTCGTTGCCCTTGTGGTGGAGGCCTTGGCTGACGGCGCCGTTACCATGGGTCTCCCCAGAGCTGAATCGCAGTTGATGGCTGCTCAGGTCATGCGTGGAACCGCTGGAACGGTCCTGAACGGCGACCAAAAATGGTTTGATTCGCGAGAACCCAGCACCCCTG